TAGGTTTTACCACAATTTTTAAAAGCTCTCCTAAAGATCTGTACAGCAGTAATTATAAGGCGGCATGACCTACTTCCATTGATAAGATAAAGAGATTGAGCCAGGAATTTTTTTTTTCCCCAGATAAGATTTGTGACCAGATCAGTGATGCTGTCCTTGATGCCCACCTTCAGCAGGACCCTGATGCCAAAGTGGCTTGTGGTAGGTTCTAAACACTGCTTATCAAGGTAACATCAAGAAAACTACTTTGTAAGAGTGACATCTGAGTGTGAACTTATCTTTTATTAGAAACTGTTGCTAAAACTGGAATGATCCTTCTTGCTGGGGAAATTACGTCCAGAGCTGCTGTTGACTACCAGAAAGTGGTTCGTGAAGCCATTAAACACATTGGATATGATGATTCTTCCAAAGGTGTGTTTTAAGGAGTTGGCTTTTCTAAGCTCATTTTCCCAAATATTTTCAACCCTGTTTATTAGCTCTTAGTTCCTGCTAACCTGTAATTCCAGTTGTACAGTGTTATTATCCCTTTTGTTCCAGCCCTGTTCTCTGAAAGTTCTAAGTGTTGGTACAGGTTTCCCCTCATCCAAAAATAGGACATTTCTTAAGAAATTTGTAGGTCGAAACAATGCAAAGCAAGGCTTCACTTTTACAATAGACATACGTTGTTAGTACATAGTTTTTTCATAAAAGCAAAAATCCAGCAGATTTTTTTTTTCAGTTAATGAAAACAAGTACTAGTGTAGGTCTTTTTGTTAAAATGAGTGAAACACTATTGAAAAGTGTGTGTGGGGGGAGGGGGGTATCTGTATTTGATTTCTTTAGTAGTAGTTAAAATTCCAGATACTTGTAAATAGAAGGCATAGGTATTGCCATGGCTCCTTTTTTTTCTTTTTAAGGCATTGTTTTGTTTTTAGGGTTTGACTACAAGACCTGTAATGTGCTGGTAGCCTTGGAGCAACAGTCACCAGATATTGCTCAAGGTGTTCATCTTGACCGGAACGAGGAAGACATTGGTGCAGGGGACCAGGTATCTTGGTATAGAGTCTGTCTGCATCTCTTATCATTAAATTCTGAAGCTTGGACTAATCACTTTGGTGACTTTTTCCTTTTTTAGGGTTTGATGTTTGGTTATGCCACTGATGAAACTGAGGAATGTATGCCTTTAACTATTGTCTTAGCACACAAGCTTAATGCAAAATTGGCTGAACTACGCCGCAATGGTACTTTGCCTTGGTTACGCCCAGATTCTAAAACTCAAGTAAGTGATGATTATAAACCTGGATTGCATTGGCCCAGAACGTCAGTAAAGTTGTTTAAAGCTGAGAAAAGACAATATTTATCCTTTGTATTATAACTTAGCATTGTCTTGGTTCTCTGTCCTGTCTAATAAATTGATGTTCTGGTCATGTGCTTTGCCTTCAAGGTGACTGTGCAGTACATGCAGGATCGAGGTGCTGTGCTTCCCATCAGAGTCCATACAATTGTTATATCTGTTCAGCATGATGAAGAGGTTTGTCTTGATGAGATGAGGGATGCCCTAAAGGAAAAAGTCATCAAAGCTGTTGTACCTGCAAAATATCTTGATGAGGATACAATCTATCATCTACAGCCAAGTGGCAGATTTGTTATTGGTGGGCCTCAGGTAAGGCTTTATAATACAATTCCATTTACTTTTTTTGAGTTCTGTAACGGTTACTTGCAGATTTGGCTACTACCACCTTTTTCTGGATTTTTAGAAGTCTGCATGTGAATCTTCTGAGGATATTTGAGTGACAGAAAATAGGTGTTTAACAAACCTGACCTAGAACCATTTATTAGAAAGCACTAGGTATAAAATGACTTAAATCCTGTAATTTCAGGGTGATGCTGGTTTGACTGGCCGGAAGATCATTGTGGACACTTACGGCGGTTGGGGAGCTCATGGAGGTGGTGCCTTTTCGGGAAAGGATTATACCAAGGTGGACCGTTCAGCTGCTTATGCTGCTCGTTGGGTGGCAAAATCCCTCGTTAAAGGAGGTCTGTGCAGAAGGGTTCTTGTTCAGGTATATACTCTTTTATATAACTGGGAGTGACTAGAAAGGCATGCAAGTGGGAGGGCATTTAGCGTAGTATTTCTTTTTTAAATGCCAGCATATTACATAAGTGTGTGGGTCTTTGAATCACTGACTCTTATGACATTTGAATCCTTTTAGGTCTCTTATGCTATTGGAGTTTCTCATCCATTGTCTATCTCCATTTTCCATTATGGCACCTCTCAGAAGAGTGAGAGAGAGTTATTAGAGATTGTGAAGAAGAATTTTGACCTCCGCCCTGGGGTCATTGTCAGGTAAAGATGGTAACGCCTATTGTTAGTGAAAAATGAGGGTGTGGGTGTGTGTGTATATAGGAGATATATTCAAATCCGAGAAGGTGAAGGTGTGAAGACTCAAGTGGGGAAATGTTTTAATTCCTAGAACTGTTATCTTTAAATTGCCTTTAGTAAAGGCTTATATTAAGAAAAATCTAAAATTAACAGTGTTCCATGGCTTAGACTAACCACCCTAAAAAGAAAGTCTTCCACATTTGTTATGGGGATTTGTGTTTGTGTTATTTAAGAATGTGTATTTTACCTAAAAGAAATTAGCGTACAGTTAAGTGGGATATCGAGGCTGCTATAAAACTAAACAGGGTGTGGGCATGGGACCTTGGTAAGTATGCCATAATCTCAGATGAGCTTTTGATACTTGGAATTTCTCAGAATAATGACAAGTTTTCATATTTGTTGAGCCAAGGTTGGAAAAACAAGAACTATAGTTACTAATAAGGACTGTGCGAGGAGTTTGGACACCAGGGAAGTAACAAACACTTCTGCCACAAACTTTTTTCCTAGCAAACCCCAGAGAACTGAACTCATTTGCCAGAACTCTTGAAAATGAGTCTTGCTGATTGTTTTGCTTTATTTTAATTGAATGCTACATATTAAGTTACGGACTTGTATATTCCAGGGATCTGGATCTGAAGAAGCCAATTTATCAGAGGACTGCAGCCTATGGCCACTTTGGTAGGGACAGCTTCCCATGGGAAGTACCCAAAAAGCTTAAATATTGAAAGTGTTAGCCTTTTTTCCCCAGACTTGTTGGCGTAGGCTACAGAGAAGCCTTCAAGCTCTGAGGGAAAGGGCCCTTCTTCCTAAATTTTCCTGTCCTCTTTCAGCTCCTGATCAGTTGCAGTCACTCTAGTCAATGACATGAATTTTAGCTTGTGTGGGGGACTGTAAGTTGGGCTTGCTATTCTGTCCCTAGGTGTTTTGTTCACCATTATAATGAATTTAGTGAGCATAGGTGATCCATGTAACTGCCTAGAAACAAACCAACAACACTGTAGTAAATAATGCTTTTTGAAATTGAACCTTTGTGCCCTATCACCCAACCTTCTAAAATCCTAATTGCATTGACTTCCCCACCAAATGCTGAAAATGTCCTGTAATGTGCACGTAAAGTACTTGTAGTTCCATTATAGCCTCTGTCTGGCAATGCCATAGCCCTGTCAGCATGAATTTGTAATGTCTTGAGCTCTATTATGAATGTGAAGCCTTCCCTTATCCTCCCTATAACTTGATCCATTTCTAATTATGTAGCTCTTTGTCAGGGAGTGTTCCCTATCCAATCATTCTTGCATGTAACGCAAGTTCCAGTTGGAGCTCTAGCCTGACATTAAAAAAAAAAAAAAAAAAGGCAGTTACCATTAAACCATCTCCCTGGTGCTTATGCTCTTAATTGCCATCTCTTAAATAGCACCAAATCAAAATCTCTCCACTTTCCAGCTGTCTTTTGGAGGACGTACGTAATAAGGTTTTTACTTAGTAAACCAATCCTATGCATGGTTTCAGCACTAGCCAAACCACCAACTCCTAGCTCTAGAAAAACAGGCACTTGGCACCCTTGTGATGTCATACAGAGAAGTCACAGGGCAGTACCTGAGGGTCTGTAGGTTGCACACTTTGGTACCAGATAACTTTTTTTTTTTTTCTTTATAAGAAAGACTGAGTACTCCACACTGCACAATAATTCCTCCCAGGGTTTTAACTTTGTTTTATTTTCAAAACCAGGTCCAATGAGCTTTCTGAACAGCTGGTGTAGCTACAGAGAAACCAGCTTCCTTCAGAGAGCAGTGCTTTTGGCGGGGAGGAGGAAATCCCTTCATACTTGAACATTTTCTAATTGCTTATTTATTGTATTCTGGGGTATGGCGTAAGTACAGAGAAGCCATCACCTCAGATGGCAGCTTTTAAAAGATTTTTTTTTTTTCCTCAACACCATGATTCCTTTAACAACATGTTTTCCAGCATTCCCAGGTAGGCCAAGGTGTCCTACAGAAAAACCTTGGGTTAGACCTACAGGGGGTCTGGCTGGTGTTAACAGAAGGGAGGGCAGAGCTGGTGCGGCTGGCCATGGAGAAAGCTGACTTGGCTGGTGTGGTACAGAGAAGCCAGCTTGTTTACATGCTTATTCCATGACTGCTTGCCCTAAGCAGAAAGTGCCTTTCAGGATCTATTTTTGGAGGTTTATTACGTATGTCTGGTTCTCAATTCCAACAGTTTAATGAAGATCTAAATAAAATGCTAGGTTCTACCTTAACTGTGTCCATTATTCTTTAAAAGTGTTTTGGTATGCATATGCTCTGAGAACATATTCTTTATCCCTGAATAATTGCAATCTTTTGCCTGGTTCAGGGAAATTACCTCAACCCCTTTCATCCATTACTGCAAACATTTTTAACAAGTTTGTAAATCCACACCTAGCACTAAGAAAAATGCCCAAAATTTGAGGTGTTCATCCATCATTGCTATTTTGGCTGATGCAATGGTCAAAATCCATGTGTGCTTTATTGCAGCAGCCACTGAGCTGCCAATGTCTTAAAATTGCCTGATTAAGGACCTAAAACATGGAATGGGAATGTTCAGTCTTAAACCCATTCCTTTTTAGCTTTCCAATGTGGAAAAAAAAATGAGTTTTTGTGCCTTGAGTATTAATCCCTTTATTATAAACACGTTAAAGGCTGCAGGTGACACACCGTTGGCAAAATTTTTGAAGGGTGGTGAGAGGCTTACAAAACTAATCCATTTTATGTTACATAAAGTGAAAATTTGAACATCAAATTAGTGAAGATGCTGTACGTTTCTAAAGCCTTTATTCTTGTAGAGGTTTACTACACAAGACCTTGAAGCATCCCTTTTTAAGCCTGGAGCTAAAGTACAGCAGCCACTTGGCACATGTTTACACTGGCATGTATGAAATCAAGTGGTGGTTCAACTTTTTTAATTGACCTGTAATGACTCAAAGAATGCTTGATTACACTTATTTGGAGGCTTAAACTATGTTGGGAGAAGAGGCAAACTTAAATCTTGAGTGAAAGTCTCAAAAATTTTTTTAGAGAACAATGTGTTGCTGTCAAATAGCAACATGGCTGGCCAAACGGAATTGGGGATGAGCTCGCTGCCCATTGGCTGGTGGGATAGCACCAGAGAAATTAAGGTTAGGTTCAATATTTGCTAGGAAGATGCCAGACCTTGAGGAGCTCTAAACTAAGAAGGATCTTTGTAAAGGCCTGTCTTCTGTATAACAAAAAAATTAAGGTTGAATAAATAGTAACCAGCCCCGAGAAGAGCAACCAAGGTGTCAAGGTGATGGTGACTGCAAATGGTTGAAAATCAAAGTATGCAACGTTATGGAATAAACCTAAACTGTTTGGGTTAGAAGGAAATACGACCTATGAAGTTTTGAAGGGGTGACTTGACAAGGGATTAAAGATCCAAATGCTGGGAGTGGAGTAGAACGAAATGGAATACTAAAGCCTGGCTAAAAGGACGATAGCCCATTCCTAGAACTGCTGCACAGGACCTGATTCCTCCTGAAATGAACTCATTTATTCCTTTGAGCTTTTCTTAAATGTATTAAGATAACCACCTTTCCGCTGCATCCCACCCCAACACTTTCATTGGAGAAAAGGTGGCATACTAACGGTTTTGGGATAGCATCCTTGCCTATATTAAAACTACTTTTGTAGGAGTCCCTTTCCCTAATGAACTACTTTTCATACCAGTCAAGTAATGAATGGGAGAGTTGGGGGTCAAGCGCAAGGGAACAAAATAGAGCTGAACTCACTGGCAAAGGACATTGTGCCAAAGTATATTGTGTCACTAAGATCAACAAAACTTTAAAACAGTTTCCCTCACATTGCTCTTACCAACCTGTGGCACAGCTACTGGCTAGCTAACCCACAAAAATGCCTTGTAGGAATCAGGTCAGGCCCAACCTGCACAATTGTATCTGATCTGGCCTTTTAACTAAATTCCAATATAAAGGCTGAAAGAACACAGAGGTAGTAGAGATGAATAGATTGAAGAGGAAGAATTGATACAACTTGGAATTTAAGAAAGGTGATAAAAAGGATGAATCAAGGCTGAAGATTCAGATGACAAAAAAAAAAAAATGCAGTTGCCATTCACTAGTAAAGGAGATGCAGGTCTGAGTTAGGGATGAACAGAAGTTCTGTCTAGGACAGAGTGAAAGCTTTGTGAGATCCCCAAGTGGAGCTAGTTAGGTCTATAGGTACATGGCACAAGGAAGCAAGCTAAGCAGCAGCATAATCATCCTGAAGTGTGTATAGTGAGAAGGCAGCTACCTAGTAAACAACCACTATCTGAAGAGGTGGGTGTGGGGTGGGGCATGGGAAGAGAAACCTGAAAACAGAGATGCAATTCTTTATCAAAATTACTGGGACTGCCAATTTACTGCTAGTCTTTGCTATGAAGCCATGAGTGCCCAAAATAGGAGCCTTTGGGTTTTCCTTTTTTCTCTATGCATTTCTCACTTGCTAGCCCGATGCCCAAGGAATTGAGGTGCTTCCTCAATCACCCTGTACATCCAAACCTACAAAATAACTTCAAACATTGTTCTAATCCATCACCAAGTTTGGTTAATTCTTACATCATCACTTTCTTCTCACCAAAGGCTAGAATAATGCTAAATTAACACTAAGCTTGAGAGAGCTACTACTACCAATCATCTAAATTTCCTTATTAGTTTATCTTTGTCCTATTCTCATTGCTGCTAGTGAAAAACTGGCTGTCCCCATAATAAGCACAATGAAGGAGAGAAGAGAAAATTACTCTCTGCATTTAGAACTTAATCACCATCTTACTCTTACCTGTAACTAAGACAAATTTTAGTCTACACTATTTCATAATTATTGTCAGTGATTCTGCAAATTGCAAGAGGCAGGGTATGGGACCTTAAGTCAAACAGACAAAATTCAAACCATCAATACATCTCTTATTAGGTGTTGTCTTTGAGCAAATTTATCTCTGAGCCTCACTTCTTTCAACTGTTAAAATAGGGCTAATGGCCAGTAAGGACTAAATGCAGTAACAGGCAAAATGCATCACACAGTGTCTAGCATATAACAAATAACTTGAGAACAGGCACTATTGTCATCATGGTACATTAAATCTTTTTCCCTAGGGAGTCAGTCACTTTAAACCTGACTCTTACCCCTTCTTATCCTAGAAGGGCATTTTCATATTGATTTTAAACCCCTCCTAACCCCTCAACCTTGATATGATAAATCTTATCCTTGCTTCACTTCCTTGGCTCCTCTAAGATATCTTCTCTGAATTTAAAAGAACTATAAACAAGGAGGAAAAATGTCTAAAATATCCATTTCTTCACATTTCCAATGCATAGGTTAATGGTCCTATGACTGGTTGCTCCCACATCTGTATCCAACATCTGCCCCAGTCAGAACTCTGAGTGGACAGGGTCAGAATTAGGCTCAGAAGGATTAGAATTTGAAGAATCTGTGTTTGAATGACCCGACTCTCCAACTGGCTCAAAGGGTCGCAAGTTTGCATAAGTCACCTCTTGGGCCAGCTGCTCCAGGGAAGGGCGACCTAATGCCAGATTTCGAAGTGAGATACAAGTCATCAGGAAGCTGAAAAAGAGGAAAAAGGCCACACAGTCCAAACTCCTACTTCTATGTAGGAATTCCTGCCAAAGCCCTTAGGATTCCCTGGTCCTACGTCCTCTCATTTAGGCATAAGTGAAAATATCCCCACAGTGACCCACCCATCCCAGCTGGAAGGGCATCCCACTCTTTATATGGTCTGGTAAAGGATTCAACAGTGGAATAGGAATAATCCACGGGAGGCTGGTGACAGGATGAGGCAAAACAAGACAGCAGGCCATCAGACAAAGGTCATTTACTCTTTCCATTAAACCAGGGAAAGGAAACTGGAGAGGGGGAAAAAGATTTTCCCCAGTGAAAAGACTGTCCTTTCCTGGGAGTGTGTGTCCTGTCCCATCCCCCTACCCCTGGCCCCATTACCTTTACCAGAGAAAAGTTACCAACTTACCAACATCCTGATGATAATGACCAGTACTGCTGTGGGTAAAACTTACCTGCGGCGAAAGATATAGAGCTTCCGCAGCAAGAAGCGGGAGAGCCGCTCATGGAATGGGGTATTTCTCCGGCGCTCAAGCTCTTGGAGCCTTCGCTGGCGTCTAAGAAAGGTCTGAACCAGAGGTGTTGGCTCAGGGCCCCCTTGCACTTCCCCTTCCAGCAGAGGCTGCAGCTCTGGAGGTAAAGGCCCCGTTTCTGCCCAGAAGATGGCAAAAAGAGAAATCACTGAGATCATTCTATTTTAGAATTCTCCTTTCACCAGCCAGAAGCTTCAAGTTCATTCTCTGATGGCTAGATCCTCAATCACAACCCTGATTTCTCATAACCAGGAGCTTTCCCAGCTCAACTCTTTATATACTCACCAGTTCCATTCTCCACCTTCTCTTTTAATTCTTGCAGATATGCCAGGTCTTGCTCCAGTGCAAGCTCTGTAGTATTGACGTAGATGTACATGTAGCAGGAAGGACTGGGTGATATTGTATACACCTTATGGTACTCCCCAGCAGGCAGCTGACAAATGGGAAGAAATGGATATATTTCACTCTCTGATCTTTCCCTCGGCAGTCTACGGGCTTCCTACAATACCCACCATACCCCAATCCACTCCCACCCCCCCCACCCCCCGCCAAGGCATCCAAAGGAACTGACTTCTGGGATCCTGGATGAGGAGGTTCACAGACCCACGGACCCTTGCATTTTGATCTCCCTTTTAAGCCTATAATAAATTAACTCCATTTATCTAAAATTTTCTGCCATTGTTAACTGCAGCGAAATACCTGCATTTTTTCTCCCTCGTGAAGAGTCTGATTCTTCTGTTCTGCCACCAGCTCTACAGTCACCTCCCCTTGCAGCAGCTGAATACTAGTGTTGCCTAGGTCTTCACTCACAAAATTCTCCAGGTGCAGCCCTGCCAGGGGCAACAAAGTTCCCCATCCCATCTTATGGAAGACAAAATCACTCCCAGCCAGAATGGAGACATCACACCTTTACTGCTGCCACCAGTCAGGTTTTAAGAACCTTCCTCCCACCAGGAATGCTCTATCCCCCTTGCCACATCCAGTGTCCTCAGCCAAGGAAGCCACAAAGAAAGGCAGCAAAGCTTTCTTTGCTTTCTTCCATACCAGGGAAATCTGCAATGAAGACCACCTCTGTGTGGTTGTCCAGGCTACTCTTGATTTCCTGTAACTTGGTCCTCCAGGGAGACAGGTCCATCAACAGTGGCTGCAGCCAAGGTGTACGCTGGAAGGGGGACCAGGCGGCCTGCACAATGTCCACACGAGGGTCAAAAATCCTTAGGAAAGAAAACCATGTTCTAAGGAGACCACAGCCACCTACTCACCAGAATTTCTGGTTCTGTTCCTTTCATCACTATTCCCACACAGAGGGAACAGGGTTTCCAGATAGAAGAAATGGCTTATGTCACCATGTCTGAGGGCAGAGAAAGAAGAAAGAGATTCTGGAGCATAGGGAAGAATGAAAGTTAGTGGCCACCTGAGAATTGTGTTAACAGCTTCTTACCAAAAAAAAAAAAAAAAAAAAAAAAAAAAGTCAGTTACCTTTCCTTCTGGTTGATGGTGCCCCCTGCTGGAAGCAATCAGCTATGCCCACAACCAGGCGAACAGGGACATGCACCAAAGGGACAGCCTTTCAAGCAAGACAGCACTGGGGAGCATGGGCTATTCGTCTCGGCAAAAGGAGTGGGACTTCCATTTCCCCCTTCTCTGTCCCCCTTGCCCACCTCTGCTGGAAGCGGTCATTGATGGAGACCCAAATATCAAAGTAGATCTGGGGCTCAGTGACATTGTACTTGGGAAGCAGGTGGCTCAGGCAAGTGGCATATTGCTTCAGCATGTCTGCATGATCCTTCCATCGCCGGCTCTGCGTGAATACCTGCCCCAAACCCCCACATTAGTCCCACCTCATCATTATCCACCTCTCGGATAGGTCATGTAATGCACTGCCAACAGCACTAAGAGATCCCTGCCTGGTGCCTGTTTTGAGCAGGAAACACACACACACACACACACACACACACACACACACACACACACACATGCACCCCAGCCCCCCTGAACTTGTCTTTGGGGAAGAATTTTTCACTACTAGGCTTTTTATACTTACCTTTCCTAAATCTAATTTCAATTCAAAGGAAATGAACGGCACTGCCCTATTTCAACTTCTACAGAAGAAGGGTCTGTCAACCTGGCTCCTGAGAAAGGGCGGAGTGGACCCAAATGTGTTTTATCATTACGTTTCGGAGGGAATCAGACCCCGACACTCCAGGGAGCTCTGAAGAACTGTAAGTGGTCAGCATCACACATCTTACCCCAGGGTTAAGGTAGCCCAGCTCGCCAGTGCGGCCGTCCCGGTAGGTGATCTTCACGTGCTGGTGGGAGCGTGAGTGCACCATCATGTCCCAGGAATAGCCATACAGCCCATTTGTCCAGTTGTTATAGCCCTGAGAAGGTAGGGCAGCAGCAATCAGCCCGACAGTTCTCCTATTTAACTCCATCCTCAACCAACGCAGCACTTGCTAACCAGCCCCCACACTTCCCCTACTGCTCTGCCCTCTGCCACTTCCCCAGCTAACCCCCAGCTCACACATACCTGGGTGAGGAAATGGGAATAGGGCAGGAAGAGCTGCTCCAGGAGGTAGAGCAGGGTGAAGGCAGCACCGAGCCGATGGCGCAGCCCTGGCTTCTGGCCACCTTTGGCCCGGCTCCTCTTATACACGCAGGACATACTGGGCTGAGGGGCAGCTCTGAGGGGCAGCAGCTCCTGCAGCCTTTCGGGGAATCGAGATACTAGCTTCCGGGGCCACTCAGGGGAGCAGAAGAGAGGGCTGCTGGCCAGCATGACGTAGGGGAACATGCCTAGGAAAGAGCAGGGAGAAAATAATGTTTCAGATGCTGGGTTCAGTGGGGTGAACATGGGTAGTCCCCTCAACCCCCTCTCCTTTGAGAAACCTCTCCCAGGTATTCCACTTGTGATGAAAGAAGCTATTAGTCTGAGTTCCCCGAGATTCCTTACTTGGCAGCATTCTAGCTGAGCCCAGAGGCCCCGGTTCTCACCGCCTGTTTATTGCCATTTCAGGGACTGCATTCCTGTCTCCCACTGTCCACACCTGCACACCTGTGGCTTCCCACCTCCTACCAGACCACAGGTACTGACCGATGCTAAAAAGCTGGGAATTCATGCAGTGGAAGTAGGACACGAAGAGGAGACCAATGGACCTCGAGGCATCAAAAAAGAGCAGGAAACCAGCTGAGAGGTCGAGCAGCAATCCGCACCAGTGTACCACTAGTAGACTGGTCATCTCCTCGGACAATACTAGTCTGCAGACACCAGATACAAAGATCAAAGGTCAGGCACCAGCCCACTGGGGAACCCAGCATTTCCAGCACATTCACAGCAAAGGTACCTCTGCCACCCTGTCCTCACCAGAGGAAGTACCACAGTAGGCAGAGAGAGGAACTCCACATGAAGACACCTATGGGAGAGTTTCCAAGAACCTTTCATTTCCACACACTTTAGGTGTTTGATTTTTTTCAATATACCATATGTGATAACCAAGGGCAGATTTCCTAGGGCAAATCTGACTGAGAATGAGTGTTTGGGGGTGGGGCGTAGATTCAATTCTTCACGGAGGTTATAAAAGAAAAAACTTTAAAAGGTAAATGTCTAATTAACATAGTAAAGCCAAATGTTTGGAACTGGGAAATAACAGGGAAGAGGAAAAAAGAAAGTAAAATACGAGGAAAGAAAAAATGGGAGGAAGGCAGAAATCGAGAGGCAAACCTCTGTTTTCCACAGAGCTGGCAACAACGGATTTGTGAGGACTATGATGCTGACCGCCTTTTTTTTTTTTTAATAAGATTTTATTTATTTATTCATGAGAGACACAGAAAGAGGAGGAGACATAGGCAGAGGGAGAAGCAGGCTCCTTGTAAGGAGCCTGATATGGAACTCAATCCCAGGACCCCAAGATCACAACCTGAGCCAAAGGCACTCAACCCTTGAGACACCCAGGTGCCCCGCCTGTCTTAGAAGATGGACAGTACGCTGGCCAAGGTATCCTGGCAAGAGGCTAGGGTGGCCACACAAGGCACAGGCACCACCCTTGGTGGCTGCTGAGAACACCAACTCATTCACCAAGTCACCTTATTCTGATTTTCCTTTCCTCTTTTAGTTTTTTTTCCCTTCGTTCTTGCCCATACCATACATCTCCCAGGGGCTGGGAGGACCTAGATGTTTTGGTATCACTGACTATGCCTTCTGCTGAATAGAAAGATGAATGGACAGAGGAAAGCCTGTGGCAAATCCCGGTAAAGCAGGAACAGCAGCCATTACCACAGACCCAAGGGAGGCGAGGCCCCCACTGTGCACCTGTGCCCCAGTGAGAACTCCGCCCTGACTGCCACTCACTTGAAGGGACTGAAGAGCCAGTGCCGGGACAGATACTCCATAGAATAGCCTTCAACCCAGTCTGCGTCCAGCTTTTTCACACCCGCAATGAAGTACACAATGAAGATCTGCCAACACAAAATGCAAAATGAACGTTCAAACCAAAAAGAACCTTGTTTTCTAACAGTATCAAAAATAACATGCGTTCTGATCAGAGTTCAGGGCCTATGGAAGATTAGATTCATTCAATTCACTCATCCAACACGTATTTATTGACATTCTACCAATGCTAGGCACAGTATTAGGTACCAGGGAAAGTCATGAAGCCTGGATCTCTCATAATGATGCTAATCTAGCAGGGAAAAAGTTCTCTCCTTCCATGACGCGATGAGAGAACCCAAAGACTAGGGGATTGGAAACAGTCAGCCTTGCTTTCCAGCAAAGGGGAAGAAAGGGAAGATCCAGAGAGGCAGAGTACAGTACAGTCTGGTACCAGGAGGGCCATGCTGACAGTGGCTGTCAAAGAACACTTCCCTCTTTCCTAAAATTCCATACCTGGCCACGTAGCATGGTATAGTTCCAAAGGGGCACATGGGCATTCCGCTTACGAGCATTCAGCAGGCCGTCCACAGACCTGCACCAAGGGAAGTAAAGATTAAGGAGAACTTCTTAGCCCAGTACGTTTCTACTTTTCTTTTTTAAGTGTAATTTTCTATCCCGGGATATCTCCCATATCCTGTCTCGACCTCTGGGCTATTCTGAGGCTCTTGAGAATCATATGAGCAAATTTAACAGAGATCATTTTAAGTTGTAACAGAAAGATTACTAGTGAGTTATAACAACAAACAGTTCCATGTTTACCACTAGTTAGTAAATTAATTTGTCTTCATGGAACAAATCAGGAAAAGGATTACTAGAATATGATTGAATTTGAAAAATAATGAATTTGAGGGAGTGTTTAAAAAGGTAAAGGTGTATGGAAATATATAGCGCATTTAAGAAAAAAAAATTATCTAAGGCAAACTTTTTATAGACCTAGATGCCAGGATCTAGTGCTGGAAAGTACCTGCTAACAGCTTACCTTGAGAGAGAACTGATAAGCCCAAGATACTAAGACTAGACACATTCTGGGGAGGCAGAAGCAAAGCAGGTTTCAAGAAGACAATGATCGAGCAGAGAAGTTGGTGAAGGAGCTTACACTTAATGGTTAAGAGCACTGGAATCTATGGTCAAGGAGACCTGGATTCTCACTTGTGTCTCTTACCCTCATAGGTGACCTTAAGCAGATCCTGTACTTTCCTAGGCCTAAGCTTCCACTTCTATAAATAGAGCAGCACTATGGGCCTCATGGCATTGTAATGAGGAAAAATTTTAAGTGTTTAGTCTAGTGCCTGACCAAATGGAAAGCCCTCAGTAAGGGAAAAGTATTTTTTCAAACTGTGGAAAAATTATAAAAATGAAATTTTTCAGAAGTATTCTGTCAAAACTGTCTCTTAATTTTATATTATCAGAGCTGGGCATTCTGAACAAGTTTAAAGGTTTACAAAAAGGCAGCTCGGGCGGCTCAGTGATCTAGTGCCACCTTCAGCCCAGGGTGTGATCCTGGAGATCCAGGATCAAGTCCCGTGTCGGGCCCCCTGCCTAGAGCCTGCTTCTCCCTCTGCCTGTCTCTGCCTCTCTCTCTGCATGTCTCTCATGAATAAATAAATAAAATCTAAATAAACAAACAAAGGTCTACAAAAGGGGTATCTATAGGCATAATTAATGACTGATAAATCACTAACAAAGTCAACGTTTGAGATTTTTCTCCTATACTCATCTTACTAACATGTCATATTTGCATATTTGTTTTTCACTTAATAGGAAGAATCCCTAGAGGTCATCTGCTCTGCCACCCTATCTCCAAATAACTTCACCACCTCCCCTGAGAGATGGTCACCTAAGCCAGAGGTTGGGGAGGGTTACCTCCTCCCAGGACAGCACTGCTGAGCAGCCCTGGTGGGCCCTCTCCTTCTGACATGACTCTGCCTCACAGCAACTTCTACTCTTGGCTCTAACTCTGCCCCTCTGGGCTTACACAGAGGAAGTCTGCTCCCTCTTCCACATGACCACCCTTGAAGTATCTGAAAACATCTATGTCTGGCTTTAGTCTTCTCTTCTTCTAAATGGGTTACAGGAAGTGGATAGATCAGGGCACCTAGGGAGATAGGGAAAGAGTAAAGGGGGTGGGAATGGAGCCATTTTGTTTTTTGTCATCCCACGTGCCCCAACCTCACTGACCCTTCCCCCTCCCAAATTCATCCAAAGTGTGACCCTGTAACCACACTTTACAAAGCATGGTTGAAAATATGCTTGCTGGGGCATATTCTAGGACCTCACCGGGCTCCTACCACTGGTCACCATCCTGACCCAGCCAACCCCTCCCCCTTTCCCCTAGATTCATACCAGTAGTGGTTTGCATCCATGAATGTCAGCTGAAAGGCCAACAAACCATACAGATAGGAGTGGTTGTTCCATGACGTCTTGTCCAGGAGAAACACATACCAGTATGGCAGCAGGAATAACACACAGCTTATCCGGTAGCACAGGCCCAGCATCATGCCCAGTGCCCCTGGGATTTGTGAGGGAGAGGATTAAGAGGTCAAAGGGTCACCACAGGCCCAGCTCCCCCCGGACAGGCTGTGGGTGGGATTAAGAAAAATCACTGGACATTTTATAATTGTTAAAACAAATGAAAATCAAATGTTATTTGAATACTTTAAAAAAGACTTATGAGGTCACAACTCAGATGACACACAGGTCAGTAGGATGAAATTATGAGTCACAGCAGAAGGGAAATAATGAACCCAAGACTTTGTTCATTCACCAGCATGCTTTGTATTTCTGGGCTTAGGGAGGCCAGTCAATTCTCCCATCTCTCCCATACTTTCCCTCACCCAGAAACATGATGGTATAGACAAGATACATCCAGTCAAGTGGTAGTGGTTGCAGGGCATTCAGCAAGGGGAAGCGGCACACATCCAGCCCATCCAGGTATCTTCGGTCCAGGGAACTAAGTCCCCGCTCTTGGGGAATGTCCAACACCATCATCAGCCCTGAGAAGGCAGTTAGGGAGGGGCTGTTAGGCCTCAGCAAAGGAAGCAGTAGAATATACTGGAATACAGCTGGATGCACTCAACTCCAGGGTCAGACTTTTTACCTAACCCTGGCTCTGCCATTTATTCATTCAATTTATAATAATTACTGAGTGCCTACTCTGTGCTAGGCATTATGCCAGTTTTGTGATCTCAGGTGGCCACTGTACCTCACTGAGCCAATTCCTCATTCCCTATGTAAAAAAGGGACTCATAATATTCTACAGGGTTACCAGGATAATTAAGTGAGAAAAGTGCACAGAATGCTAAAAAAGCTGTTCAGGATTTGATTTTTTTTTTCTTTTTTTAGGATTTGATAATTTAAGGTCTGTCCTACCAGGCCAGAAAAAGTGTTCTAAGGTGGTGTATTTCAACCTTCTCCAGTTCCCAGCACACCCAGAAAACAGTATTTGGCTTACCACACTAGAGTAAACAGAAGGGGCTACTCAGGTCAAGAAGCCAGTTCCAGTTAAGGCAGGGTTTCTCAACCTCAGGACTACTCACATTTTGGGCTGGTTAATTATTTGCCGGGAGGGACTATCCTGTGCATTGCAGGTCACTTAGCAACATCCCTGGCTCCTAAGCAGATACCAGTAGCCAATTTCCCTTACCCCAATCTGTGACAAATAAAAATGTCTACAAATATTGCTAAATGTCCCCTGGAGGGCAAAACTGCCACCAGTTGAGAACCACTGAGCTACGGGGACTAAGATCTCATCACATCTGTAACCTATTCCAAGCATACATGCTGTGGCCTGAGTTAGGAAACTCTGGATTAAGGAGTCACAGCCAAAATGTCTGCCCTGTCACACCTGCTATTTCTCTGAGGTCTAGTCCTGAGTAGTTACTGGGCAACTTCAGGCTACAAGCAAGATGGGTCTCTGTTCCTCTGCCTCTGTATTCCCTATGGCCTCAGATCAAGGCATTTGTAGCCTCCAAACCCTAATCAGAGGCGACAATGCTGGATTTGATCCTAAACTCCACAAAGATCTCTTTGTGGAGATATCAGGATATCTTCAGGTCTGGGGAAAAGGGAGGCAAGTCACTAAGTAAGTAACCTAGAAACGCACAAGGGACCATGGTTATTCTCCCACCCACCACCACACTGGCCCCTCCCAGAAACTCGATTTACCAAAGAGAAAACGGAAGACGGCCAGGCTGGCAGGATCCGTTGGTCGATTCAGCAGAGTTACCAGTCTTCCCCAGCTGGAAACATCTGTCCACTCAAACCCCAAGAGCTTCCCCATTCTGCTGCCCTGACTGGGCCCTTTAGACTGTCCAGCCTTGTCTTTCTGTACTTTATCTGCAAGCAACAAACAAAGTGTGTGTGCAACTGTGGAGATGGAAGTGCTTTAAAACTGGCTCCGCCCCATAGGGACACTGGGTGCCTCAGCGGTTTAGGGCCTGCCTTCAGCCCAGGGCGTGATCCTGGGGACCCGGGATCGAATCCCACCTTGGGCTCCCTGCACGGAGCCTGCTTCTCCCTCTGCCTGTGTCTCTGCCTCTCTTTCTCTCTGTATGTCTCTCATGAATAAATAAATAAAAATCTTAAAAATAAATAAATAAAATCGGGTCCGCCCCAAATCACAGAAAATACGGCCCCAACAGCCCCAGGGTTTCTGCCTACCAGGGTTCTCCCACTGATTTCTGACTACTGGAAACACCCTTGCCGTGCAGCCTCTCCTGGATCTCCCAGTGTCCCCTCACCGCAAAGCTCCCCGAGTGGGACTGCAAGCTTGCTCTACAACCCCCTTCCCAAGGCCCCACAGGGCATCCTACCGCCCCCGCCCCTTTGAGACAGCGCCCCTCTCTCCGTCGCACGGGAGGACTCTGAGCCTACGTGAGTCCGGCGGGCCCCGCGCGGACCGGGCCGACGCCGCCATGGGTCCGCGGAGGGAAGACGGCCACCTCACGAGCGCCCCAGCAGGGAGCGTCGCGTCGCGTGGCGTCGCGTCGCGAGGAATCGCTGCCCTAAGCCCCGCCTCCCTGACACATCAGCCCGCGCGCGGCCGGCCGGAAAGCGCTGGGACTGTCGTGAAGGGCTCTCGCCGGCGGCGCCCGCTCCCTGCTTGGCGGCAGGGGGCGGAGCGAGGGGGAGCCCAGGGGCGCGGGCTGCTCTCGCCTCACGGGGTGACCCGGGAGGAGGGAGGATACTCCCTGACCCGCGTGTCTTCAGCAGTCAGATCAGTCTTACCCCGAAGCGTCCCAAAGCCTGACGCTTTCAGCCCTAAAAAGCCTGAGTTCTGTCCATTTCCCTGGGCCCCTCTCGCCCCATGAGGTCTCTCCAAATTGTGGTGTCCCTGCAGTGAGTGCTCCCAGACGTGAGCGAAGCGGGTGTAAATGTCCAGCTCTTCTTCAGACAGGCTGACCTCCGAGTTGAGGACGCAGCTGCAAGCGCTGTCCTGGCGTAGGGAGAGGGTGCGAGTTCTCCTTTATTCTCTCTTCCGGTACCAGCCGGGAACCAGGGGTTTGAAATCAGCTGGGGAAACCGGGACGCCACCACTGCAGAGGGGATGTAGAATAGGGGCAGAGCGCAGAGTGTGTGGTCGATCGCGGAGGATTCCTAGAGGTGAGGCTTGAACAGCACTTGCCGTACCTAATTTTCTGCCCTGGAATTGGCCAGCAGGATCACAGGAAGGCATCCTAGAATAGCGGTTCTCACATTTTCTTGGTGTCAAGGACACGTTTACGCTGCTACACATTATTGAGACCCTAAAGAGCTTTTATTTATGTGGGTTATATTTTTCCGCATTTACCATATTGGAAATTTACACTGAGAAATGTTTAAGATACGTTATAGGGCAGCCTGATTGATTATAGGGCAGCCCAGGTGGCTCAGCGGTTCAGCGCCGCCTTCAGCCCAGGGCGTGATCCTGGAGACCAGGAATCGAGTCCCACGTCGGGCTCCCTGCATGGAGCCTGCTTCTGCCTCTCTCTCTCTCTCTCTCTCTCTCTCTCTCTCTCTCTCTCTCTCTCTGTCTCTCATGAATAAATAAAATCTTTAAAAAAATATGTATTGATTTACTTAAAAACAGTAATGAACCCATTACATGTATACATAAATAACTTTTGTGGAAAAGGTATATTTTCCACAAAAATTGCACAAGTAGTACTATATTGTTTTACATGCATATCTAATGTCTGGGGGCGCCTACGTGGTTCCCTCCGTTAAGCGGCTGCCTTCTACTCAGGTCATGATACTGGGGTCCTGGGATCGAGGCTTTCCTCTGGCTCCCTACACAGCGGAGAGCCTGCTTCTCCCTCTCCCTCTGCTGCTCTTCCTGCTTGTACTCTCTCTCAAATAAATAAATAAAATCTTTTCTAAAAAGCTAATGTCTGGCTTAATTGGAACAGCTGGATTCTCCTATCTGCTTCTGCATTTGATCTGGTGTTCATTAAAGTACATGAAGGAAATCTGGCCTCACAGATACTTATTTGGAAAAAGGAAAGGTATTTTAATGACCTTTTTAGGTAATTGTGGGTATCCTCTGATACCACACCTAAACTTTATAAAAAGTGGTAGTTTTTTAGTTGGATATGGAATCTGAAACCATATCAATGAACCTTATGCTCTGTCACATTAAAATCATTGGTATATCTTGCACTTTGAATGAGCCTTTTACAAAATCATACAATTGTTATTTGGAAAACATTGGCTCACTGAGTTACGCTGCTCTTCCAAATGTGGAGTCGCTCTCTCTTTTTCTTAATTTATTAAAGATTTTTATTTATTTATTTATTCATGAGAAACACAGAGAGAGAGAGAGACACAGACAGGCAGAGGGAGAAGCAGGCTCCATGCAGAGAGCCTGATGTGGGCCGGGGTCCCCAGCATCACGCCCTGGGCTGAAGGCGGCGCTAAACCGCTGAGCCACCCGGGCTGCCAAATGCAGAGTCTCTTAACTGTGTTAGGAAGCTGCCAGGCTCACAGTGGCAGATACAGGTTTTCCAAAATTCAAATTTTTATTTGAAAGCTCAAATTTTATCATTGGCAACAAATACTGTCTATTGTTTTCCCTGAAGGAACAACCTTTTATTTTTTGAAAAAAATATCTGCCAAATGTGCCAATTTGAATAACCGTAGTTTGTCTAATATCCACAAGTAAAATGATGTTTCATATTTTTTTAAAAAAGAAAAAACAACAAAGGTACTCAACGTCTTTTATTAGGGAATTGCAAATTAAAACAACAGTGAGATAATCATTAAAATGGTTGCAATCCAAAGCATCACCGATAACAAATGCTGGTGAAGATGTAGAGCAACAGGAACTTTACTTCATCGTTGGTAGGAATACAAAATGGTACAACCACTTTGGAAAAAAGTTTGGCAGTTTCTTATAAAAGTAAACATGCTGGGATCCCTGGGTGGTGCAGTGGTTTAGCGCCGGTCTTTGGCCCAGGGCGCGATCCTGGAGACGCGGGATCGAATCCCACGTCAGGCTCCCAGTGCATGGAGCCTGCTTCTCCCTCTGCCTGTGTCTCTGCCTCTCTCTCTCTCTCTGTGACTGTCATAAATAAATAAATAAAATTTAAAAAAAGTAAACATGCTTTTACCATATGATCCAGCAATTGTGCTCCTTGGTATTTACCCAAATGATTTGAAAAATTATGCCCACACAAAAGCTGTACACAAATGCATAGCAGCATTATTCATAATTGCCCAAGCTCAGAAGCAACCAAGATGTCCTTCAATTGGTGAATGGATAAACAAACCAGCAAATTCATACAGTGGAATATTCAGTGGTAAAATGAAATGAGCTATCAAAACACAAAAGGATGCGGCGGATCCTTAAATTCAAATCCCTAAGTGAAAGAAACCAATCTGGAAAGGTTACATACTGTACGTATAATCCAAACTGATATACTGGAAACGGCAAAACTGGTTTTAATGCAAAAGATCAGTGGTTTCCAGGAACTGGGGTAAAGGAGGGAGGGATGAACAGGTGGAGCACAGGGGATTTTTAGAGAACTGAAACTATTCTGTATGATAGTGTAATGGTATCATGAGGCATACATTTGCCAAAACCCATGGAATGTGAACCCTAACATAAGCTATGGATTCTCTTAATAATCATGTATCAATATTAGCTCATCAATTGTAAAGCAAATATACCATACTAGTGCAAGATGTTACTAATGAGAGAAAAATGGGAGAGTGCTAAGGGGTGTGTGGGAACTGTCTATGCTACTAAAAAAAAAAAATTCTGTTAATTTAAAAACATTACTGGGATCTCTGGATGGCGCAGCGGTTTGGCACCTGCCTTTGGCTCAGGGTGCGATCCTGGAGACCTGGGATCGAATCCCATATCAGGCTCCCGGTGCATGGAGCCTGCTTCTCCCTCTGCCTATGTCTCTGCCTCTCTCTCTCTCTCTGTGACTATCATAAATAAATAAATTTTAAAAAAAATTAAAAACATTACTTCAGCTCACAGCTTAATGACACAAGTGCTTTTTCTAGGAACAACTGTGAGACAGCCATCATACTTGGGTATGCAAAGTGTTGTGTATTTGACATTTCTTCACACAAAATAGTTAAGGATGTGTACTCCAGTGTCAAGAATTAATAAAATTAATAATTCGTACTGCTTCATTAGAGACATTGAAAATGGCATTTTTTGAAAATGCAACTGTGCAAGGGGGAATAAATGCATTGAATACCACTACAATTTGGTGCCACTGGCTCTTTCCTGCTAAGTTGCCAACAGTTTCATAACTCCCAATTGCTTTTGTATCATCAGCACAAATGGCAACATAGTTAAAAGGACAAATAACGTATCAGTATTAATATAGAAGTAGTTTTGTCTTTGAAGAGTCCAGGGGTTCTTGGACCATGTGTTGAGAACCACTATCCTAAAGGAAAGGAACATCTGGAGTATATGTAAAAGTAGAGATTACTAGGGACAGATGCGTTTGGCAGGTAGAATCATGGGGCTAACAGTGTTCCTGCTGGGGAGGGTCTGGCCCACTTCCAGGTCATCCTAACAGACAAGTCACCTTGGAAGCCATAGATCTATTTAGGGGATGAATCTCTTTATCTGCTGTAAAACCCCAGTTCAAATGAATTCAGTGTGGGTCAGATAGTCCGGGCTAGCTCTTCTAAGACCATTCAAAATTAGATGGTTCCATCAAACTCAGCATTTATATTCTGTTATGTGCCAAGAACTGGACTAGTTACAGAGAAAGAAACAGATTATTAAGCTGTGGCCTTTGTCCTATAGGAGTTAAAGGATAAGGAAATAAAAGAAATAATAGAATAATGACAATAGAATGTACAAAATCCTAAGTATTACATGAGGTTCAAAGTGCTGCGGGAGTACTGCGGAGGAAATGAATCACGACTAGAGAACTCAGGAAAGTTTTCTGAAAACTTGGAGCTGGGCTTTGAAGGATGAGTATCATTTTAAGAGGAGAGAAGGAATTCAAAAGTTCTTAGTATGTTCTTGGGTGACCAGAGAGCATTCTGGGTAAGAGAAGTACAGCTGTGATAACTCAGTACCTCTCTATCCCATGACTTGTTTTTTGTTGGGGGGTATCCAGTTTATCCTTTCAGGATCAGTATACAGACTCATGCTATTTAGTATTCATTTATTCATAAAATGGTCCAAAATTTAGGAAAGAGATTTCTTCATGGGTCTTCTTCTTCTTCTTCTCCTTCTTCTTTTTAAAAATATTTTATTTATTTATTTATTTGAGAGAAAGAGAGTGCATGTTGGGGGCAGGGGGTGAGGGCCAGAGGGGGAGGGAGAAGCAGATTCCCCACTGAGTGTGGAGCCCGATGTGGGGCTCTAGTCTATACCAGGACCCTGAGATTATGACCTAAGCCAAAGACAGACACAACTCAAACAATCAAACCACTCAGGTGCCCCATGCCCCCATGCATGGGTCTTTTCTAATAAAAATTGTATTTTTACCTGCACTGCAAAAAAAGAAGCTCTCTGTCAGATCTTTTGGCTCAATACCTGAAACATTTACTGAGTGACTACTCTTGCATGATGTATGTTATTTTCAACAAGGGGTACCAAAATAAAGACATAGCCTCCGACTTCACAAAAGTTTTTTTTTAATTTTTATTTATTTATGATAGTCACACACAGAGAGAGAGAGAGGCAGAGACACAGGCAGAGGGAGAAGCAGGCTCCATGCACCAGGAGCCTGATGTGGGATTCGATCCCGGGTCTCCAGGATCAGGCCCTGGGCCAAAGGCAGGCGCCAAACCGCTGCGCCACCCAGGGATCCCCCGACTTCACAAAAGTTAGAGTCTCGGAGGTGTCAAATGTGTATGCCACAAATGGCAAAGTATATTATGGATTCTATGAAAGATAAAATGTGGGATCCCTGGGTGGCTCAGCAATTTGGCATCTCCCTTCAGCCTAGGGTGTGGTCCTGGAGTCCCGGGATCGAGTCCCGTATTGGGCTCTCTGCATGGAGCCTGCTTCTCCTTCTGCCTCTGTCTCTCCCTCTCTGTGTGTGTCTCTCATGAATAAATAAATAAAATCTTTTTTAAAAAAAGATAAAATGTGTTTAGGGATAAGCTAGCTTGGGAAACTGGTAGAATGGGAGTACCACCCTGCAAGAGGAACATGAGGAAAACATAAAGGGTTTGGTTTGGCTGTTGGAGGTGCCTGTGGAGAGGGCACTGGAGAGGCAGCGATAGCAATTGAGAACAAGGTCAGGGCTGGAGAGACAGATTTAGGGATCACCCATAAATGGCTGCTGAAACCATAAAGCGTTGCACTTCCCTAGGGAGATGAGGGTTTCAACCTCAGCATTATTAACATTTGGTCTGTATAATACTTTGTTGTGAGAGGGCTGTCTTTTGCACATAGGAAACTTAGCATCCTCGGCTTCTACCTACTGGATTCCAGAAGCACACACCCCCCCCCCCCCAAGTTGTGGCAACCGAAAACATCTCTGTTGTCAAATGTCCCTTGGAGGGCAAAATCAGCCTCATAGAAGACTGTTGCTCTGGGAGAGTGCAGAGTCTAAAGTGAAGATGGTCACAGGTGGAAGCTTCTGGTTCTAAAAGCACAGTCAGAAAGAGAATGAGACATTGGGAATGATTGGGGGTGGAGGGGTGGAGTGTGACTGTCCCAGATGGGATAACCAGCAGTATAACAGTTAACAAAGGGGTTTGGAGGCAAAAGAGGCCTTGGCAGTGGTGAGAGCTTTCTGATCCTTCAGGGAGCAATTCCAGGTGTGCCTCCTGAATGCTCCTTTTCCTTGTTTTCCAGCCTTTCCCCAGAGAGCTATAGAAGCAAACTCCCTACTTATGCCATAAATAAGAAGACTAGCATCGAGGTCAATGCACTCTCAAAGTTTGCCTGGTTGCTTTGCAGGCTGTTAATATTCCTCTTCCACTATTGTCTAATCTTATTTTCTCTATCAGTCTCCTTTTTCACTTGTAAAGTGCTTTAGCAGGAATATAGAAATATATATCTGTATTATTTAACCCTAATAATAACCCTGCAAAGCAGCTTTCATTCTTTTTATTTTATTTATTTTTATTTTTTTATTTATTTATGATAGTCACAGAGAGAGAGAGAGAGAGAGAGAGAGAGAGAGAGGCAGAGACACAGGCAGAGGGAGAAGCAGGCTCCATGCAGGGAGCCCGACGTGGGACTCAATCCTGGGTCTCCAGGATCACGCCCTGGGCCAAAGGCAGGCGCCAAACCACTGCGCCACCCAGGGATCCCAGCAGCTTTCATTCTTCTTCCCATTTTGCAGATGAGAATACTGGAGCTCCTAGAGGGAAGTGGCCTGCCCAAGTCTATATAGCCAGGGAATAGTGGAGCTGATACCCAAATCTTCTGATCACACAGGCACTGAGAACACTCTTCACATCATGATTGCTTCTTTAGTACAACTCTTACCATCTAGCATTTTTCTTTGCAAAGTGACTGCTACTCCATTTCTCCTGGGATAGAGCGTTCCTTGACTGCAAAGGAATCGATGACTTATTTCTCTTCTTGTACCCTGCCCATAGTACCATTTCTTTCTTTCTTTCTTTCTTTCTTTCTTTCTTTCTTTCTTTCTTTCTTTCTTTCTTTCTCTTTCTTTCTGATTGATTGATTGGTTGGTTTATGATAGACATAGAGAGAGAGAGAGGCAGAGACACAGGAGGGAGAAGCAGGCTCCATACTGGGAGCCCGACTCAGGACTCGATCCCAGGACTCCAGGATCGCGCTCTGGGCCAAAGGCAGATGCTAAACCACTGAGCCACTCAGGGATCCCATCTTTCTTTTTTTAAAAGTAAGTTCTAGGCCAAACATAGAATTTACAAAGTGAATTCTAGGCTTGAATTCACCACACCAAGATCAAGAGTTACATGCTCTTCTAACTGAGCCAGCCATGTACCACCCCCCGTCCCCATAGTACCATTTCTCCTCACAGTGCATTGTTTGGTACCTTACTGAATGTCTCATCTTCTGAGGGCATTAGCAAGGTGGTCTTTTGACAAAGGATAGAATTGTGATGTTCCTACAGGAGAGGCCAAGACTGCAGGGGCTCTGCATAGTGAAGAGGAGGGGGAGCACTTTGCAGTCCCAACTGTGGGTGCTGGAAAATTTCCCCAATGGTTTCTGGGCCTAGGCCAAGCGTCAGCTCCCCCAGGGACACCAGTGTATGTCCAAAGCTGCCAGCATCATGCTAGAGCCTGGTCACTCCTCAAATCCTATAATCCTGATTTCTTTCTTTCTTTTTTTTCTTTTCAAGATGTTATTAATTTATCCATGAGACATACAGAGAGAGAGGCAGAAAAATAGGCAGAGGGAGAAGCAGGCTTCCTGCAGGGAGCCCAATGTGGAACTTGATTTCAGAGCCCAGGATCACACCCTCAGCTGAGGGCAGACGCTCAACTGCTGAGCCACCCAGGCGTCCCTGTAACCCTAATTTCTATTCTGGAAATCCTCCTCCATGTCTTTATGCTCTCCTCAGACATCCTACTTTGGCCCTTTGTTTCTTGGCACCTATCCTATGTCCCTACCCACCACTGCACTTAGCATCTGGAATCATTAATAATAGTAATCATAATAGCCACCATTTACTGAGGGTTGTTTCAGTGCCAGGCATAGATGGTGAGGTAACTGAGGTTTATAGATGTCACATCAGTCTGTTCAAGGTCACATGAATATTAAGGCATAGATCAGTGTGTCTTATAATAGAAATATAATTTGAGCCACATTTGTAATTTTCAATTTTCTACTCATCAAATTAAAAGAAACAGGTGAAATGAGCATTAACAATTTTTAAAATTTAACTCAATAAATCCACAACATTATTTCAACATGTTATGAGTATCAGTTAAGTGTCTGCCTTCAGCTCAGGGCATGATCCTGGGGTCCTGGGATTGAGCCTGGATTGTGCTCCCGGCTTCTCCCTTTCCCTCTGCCCTTTCCCCTGCCTCATGCTCTTTCTCTCAAGTAAGTAAACTAAAAAAAAAAATAAGTCTTTGAAATACTTGGGGTGACTGGATGGCTCAGTGGGTTGAGCATCCCACTCTTGATTTCAGCTCAGATCACTGATCTCAGGGTTTTGAGACTGAGCCCAGTGTAGGGTTCCATACTCAGAGAGGAGTCCGCTTGAGATTATCTCTCCTTCTGCCTCTGCCCTTCCCCTCCTGATGTGTGTGTGCCTGTGCTCTCTCTCTCAAATGAATAAATAGATAAATCTTTAAAAAAAAGAAATACTGTGTGTACTTTTACATCACTTCTCAATTCAGACTAGCCACAGTTTAAGTGCTCAGCAGCCACATGTGGTCAGTGGCTATGGTAATGGACAGCATAAGTACAGATCAAGGATTCTGACCCATCTCCACTTGACCTCTTTATAGATTTTCTAAGGATGATGAGAAGTGAGACAGCCACATTCTCTGTGAAAGTAGGCTGGTACTGTCCATCAAATTTCAGATTTGCAAAATATAATAATCTTATTTAATTGGAGATATAAGATTTCATTATAAAGTAGAATAAAGTATCTCAAAACAGAGGTCCAGAAATTGTCATTTCCTTTAACAAAATATGTGTTAGAGAAACTGACATTTCTCTCTTAGAACTAATAATACTTCTGGGATGGGACAGGAATGTTTGTTCTCTTTTGCCTGTCCCTGTTTTTGTTTTGTCTTGATAAATACCATCTGGGAAGACTAGATATTCTGTGGCCTGGAACCAGGTGGTGGAAAAATCCTTTGCCTGGGGCCCTTCTCTTGTCCATAGGGCAGGCCTCTGACCATTTCTGACTAGACTCACCAACCCCTCAAAGCGGCTCCTGAAGGAAATGTTGAACTCTGGAAGGGAAGAAGGGATTGGTAAGCCATCATTCCCTCGTCCCAACAGTGGACAGGTCTTCCTTTCAGAAACTGTGGCAGGCACACTGAGTGTGCTATCCTGTTATACGTCCCCACCATCCTCTGAGGTCAGCACTAGCACCTGCCAAAACCAGAGAGGTGAAGAATTTCACTCAGGGTCACACTAGTACTCTGGAGCTTTCTGACACCCCAGCCTAGGATTACAGCACTCCAGACTTTGGGGGATTTTAATACTTTCTGTCCACCCCTGAACATGGGAACAGGGGTTGCCAGCAAGAAACTTTCATATCTGTGTTCTGTTTCCATGTGAACTACCCCTGGTGGTGTACTTAGAGTTGACTTCAGTCTTTAAGATTTGGAGTCAGATATTCGGGACATTAAAAAAAGGGGGGGGGGGAGCCAGCTTCCCTTTCTATATCAGGAGGTCCAGCCTCAGGAAACCTAGGAGGGCTGCTTGATCTTTTTTTTTTCTTTTTCTGGTTCTGATGCGTTAGAAGATCTCTGGTGATCGGAGCCCTGTTGCTTTAAGCCCGAGCCCAGGTTTGGGAGGAGACTGGGAGGGCTGCGGAGGCGCCCGCCTACCTGCCGGGCCCCGCGCTAGGTGAGGCTGGAGCCGCTCGGGATGCCGGCGGGCGGGGGCAGGCTGAAAGTTGGAGCGAGCAGGAAGTGAAGCGAGGGCCGCCCGGGAGGAAACAGACGAGGCGAGTCTCGCCGCCGACAGGCCCGAGCCGCTTGGAGACATGGTGAGCGCGCTGGGGGCTCGCGAGGGGCTGGGGGCTGGGGGCTGGGGGCTGGGGGCTGGGGGTCGCAGGGCCGCTGGCCAAGTCCGAGGGCTGGCCCGCTGCAGCCGGCGGCCGCTCTCCTTTGACAACTTGGCTGCCCGGGCGGCTGCTCCTGCGCCTTCTCCCTCCCCTGCCCTCGGAGCTGGCCCGGAGCGGGGCTCCGGTGGGGGTGGAGGCTCCGAATTCCAGGCCGGGGCCGCTGAGAGGCCCTTCCTGGCCTCCTCCGGCCCGCCGGGCGCCGGGCCCGGTGACCCCCTTGGGCAGCGCCTCCGAAGTTCCCAGGGCGGATTCCAGCCCAGCGGCGGGAGCCCTCCCCGTCGGCCCTTCCCTTTATCCCTGTCGAGAAACTCCAAGAATCCGTCTCTCTCTGCCCGGCCTAAGGAACCGGCCCCCTCTCTTTAAACACGGAGAAGAAGGCGAAGGGTTTGTAAAAGAACCAGAAGTTGGTTCTCCGTGACAATCCGTCTAGTTTGGACCCGCGCTCCCGGCCTGTTTCGGAGGTCTAGTGGGTCAGGGAGGGAGGAGCCTAATAATGGTGTGCCCTCCCTGTTCAAAAACTTTATCAGCCAGGGAGGACTTGCCCTCCATTTCCCTCAACAGCCAGACTGCTGATTTTATTTAATATCTGCTTAAGCAGGCAGTGGCAGCTTGGTGCCGGCACATGGGGCAGTGTGTTGGGGAAAAGCAGAAGTTTATGGCGCAATGGCTCTCCCTCACGGGGCCTGGTCAGGGCCTTGGAACCCGGTGGCTGTTGCTCTGGGTCACAGCAATTAGGCAGCTCCGGAGGTCTGGGGAGGGTGGGGGGTGGGAAGCAGCTCTCCAGCTGCTGTCCAGCAGTGAGGGGGGTGTTGTGCCAGCTGAGGGTGTTCTGCTGGCCAGCACAGATACTTTTAATGAGGATCCTTTGGTTAATAGTGGTGGGTTTAGATGCCAGCTCAGCAGTTCTCTGCCCCCATCTGAGGAGCAAGGCTACAGTGGAGTGGGATTTAGGGTCTGTGTTTCTTTTCCTCCTCAGGGGCCCTGAGAACCTGAAAAGAAACTCGATCTAGTCTGTCTAGCATCAGCACTCACCTTCTGGGGCTTAAAAGTGCATTTGTTTTTGATCACATGAGTAATACATGAAAACATTCTTTGTAAACAGTTCAAGCATTAAAAAAAAGCTAAAGTCCACCTTAGGCCTTCCCCTCCCCTGGCCTCTGAGGCTGAGTCTCAGTTCCTCCACCACTTCGCCTAATTAACCCCTGCGTTGCTGCCCAGGAGGAGGCCAGTGGAGGTGTTGGAAATGATCGTGTGCGGAACCTGCAGAGTGAGGTGGAGGGAGTCAAGAATATTATGACCCAGAATGTGGAGCGGATCTTGGCCCGAGGAGAAAACCTGGACCATCTCCGCAACAAGACAGAGGATCTGGAAGCCACAGTGAGATGGGGAACCCACAGGGGTTGGGAGCAGGGCGGCTGGGAGCTGGGCAGTAGAGGAAGAGAAGGAGGGAGAATTGCTGGCGCTTGGGGAATTGGTGGTGTTGGGGGCAAAATGAATAGGAGGGAAGTCTGCCTTTTCACTTGTTTTGGGAATTGACAAGTGAGCCCCCTGTTTTGATTCTGCTCTACTCCACTAATTGGTACTGGGGTCCAGGAAATGGCTCCAGTGACCGGGTGGGTGGGGCTGATTCTTGGAGGCCTTTTCTGAGACAGAAAGGTAGATGGCCCAGTCAGCCCTCACATTCTTAGGCTTCCCTCCCATGAAACTGATGTTTCCCTTTGAAGATTGCCCTTGACAATCATTTGGACCTGACCTCCCTAAGCCAAAAATATTGGCTCCGGAAAAATCCTCCTAGGGCCTTTGGCCTTCTTGAGGAATCACTAGGCAGGGGTGGAAAACTGCTAGAGTTTTGCTGAGTCTGCTTTAAAAAGAAGCTGGGAAGAGCAGTGAAATTCTTTGATCAGGGGGTCCTCTGCTAGCTGAAGGCTAGAATAATATCTCCCACATATCTTGCTAGACCTCATTCTTTTCTCTCTCCAGCCATGGGCTGAAGCCAGCTGCTCAGGGATGGAGTAACTCTAACAAAATACTCCAGCAAAGGTTGGGGCCTAAGGTTCTTTGTCCACAGGGAGAGACTGGCTGTGGCTTTCCAAGTCTTGTGCATAAGCTTGGGTCTAGTTTCCCTGGGACTTAGTGTTTGTTTCCGCAGCCTATTCTGGGGAGCATGGCCCAGGGAAAGGTAATTTCTACGATTCCAGTTGAGGAGGAAGAGCAGTTTCTCTTACCTCTGACGTCTGTACTGCCCTGGTCTGTCCTCCAGCCGCAGATGTCCCCATAGGGCACGGAGTCATAGTCCCAGGGAGATGTGCCCACCTGGAGCTTGCACCGGTTCGCCCCAGGGTGTGCTCTCCCAAGGGCGGATTGTGCAGACAGTGTTGCACCTCTGGGTGTGAGCATATGTAAAAGGCCCCTCAGTGTACATGACGGTGCATGGGTAAGAAGAGAGGAGGGGAGGCAAGAATTTAGAATTCTAAATTTGAGTCTGGCCTATCAGATTGTCATGAAGGTATATTTGTCAGGGTAGGAGGACAGAACATTTTTTGTGTAATGGTCTGTTCCCTCAACTGCTCACTTCAACATTTAGATGTATAGCACGTGGGCCTCTGTCTTCTTGTTCTGGTGGGAGGAGGCACTGGTTCACTCTGCCTTGTCCTCAACAGTCGGAGCACTTCAAGACCACATCACAGAAGGTGGCTCGGAAGTTCTGGTGGAAGAACGTGAAGATGATTGTCCTCATCTGCGTGATTGTTTTTATCATCATCCTCTTCATCGTGCTTTTCGCCACCCATGCCATTCCCACATAGGGAGCCCCTCCTCCCACCCCGCCCTCTTCTTTAGGGCAACCCTCCATAGCAGGTGCCAAGAAGGGCCCTCTCTTCCATCCTTGTCTGCAGGAAGTGCTGCTGCGTCCTCCTGCCCCTCACCCTGAGGCCCCTCTGCCACACTGTCTGCCCCAGGCACCTTGGTCCCCCAGAAGGAGAGAGTTGGACTGTGGCTGTTTCATGGGCCCTCAGAGTTGGTTGGAGAGATATCCAGAAGGCCCAGCATGGGGCTAGGACACTGATGGTGGCCGGTGGGCAATAAAGACCTTTCAGTATCCCTTCACATGTGAGGTAATTTGTCCCCTTCCATTTTTGCCTTTGGTCCTTCTATTTCTATTCTCCCTGGGGACAGCTTCTGACTGAGATTCTCCTATTTGAGGCCCCATTGTTGGAGGGGTAGAAAGTGTATGTTTGGAGAAGAAAGATGGAGTCTCCCCATCCTTCTCTATTTTCCATTCATTGTGACAGGTCTCAATAACCAGAGTTTTCTGAGGGTTTCCACATATGGAAAATTCAAAACCATTTTAGGGTGGTACACAAGACTCCTAAGGGCTTGAGCCTTGCCATGTGCCTTTATTACTTTTCTACTAGAAGTGTTAGCCAAGACAGGCTGAGGACCTCCTTTCATCTCTTTTCTATGGCCCTGGTGCAGTCTAGAGCAAGGTGCTAGAGGAACTGGGCCACTTTTCCTTCTTTTTGGTTCTGCAAAGTTCTTTTGTTTATTTTTTTAATTTAAGTAATCTCTCTACCCAATATGGGGCTCGATCTCATGACCCTGAATTCAAGAGTCACATGCTCTTCTGACTGAGCCAGCCAGGCACCCCTGGTTCTCAAAGTTCTGTTTGTCTTTTGTCTGCCCTTTTGGGACTTAGCAGGGCCTCCGGGTCTCAGCTGAGAGGGTGAGCATCTCTCACCATATCTTGTGGCTGGGCTCAGTCAGTGTCACAGGACAGGGCCTATGGCCCTCCTTCCCCTCCATGTACAATGGGCTTCTTTGTCTTTGGTCTTCCCTTCTCCCTGCCAGGTTCCACATCATTGTCACTCTTTCCTGTCTTGGTTTGGGGAAAGGGTTCTTGCCATCTGTGTCCCTGTTTCTCCCATGGGCTTTCCGGTATTGAAAACAATCTGTTTTGGGGGTGGGGGGGGAGTGTGGAAGGGACAGGGTTGGAAGACAGGATTTGGGACTCCTCCTGGCAAGTCAGGTTCTGGAATCATATTCGGAGAACCAGGGAGGAAAAAAAAAAAAAGCCCTCAGGGCAATCTTTGTCCTCCTGTGTCCTCCTATCTCAGACCATGGTCATCCTCTCTCCTCACATCCGTCATTCCTGGACTCAAAGTCCACAGAACTGGGGTGAAATCACTTCCTTGGGACCCAGACTGCCCAGGGTAGGAATGTGGGCCATACTCAGGCAGGCTCAATGCTAGGACGGAAGCCCTCAACCGCCTTCCCCAAGAGGAGCCACAGTTGAGGTGGTGGGGGAGGCAGGGGGTGGGGGGGCCACAGGTATCTGCAGCCACAGGGGAGATGAGCGTGGAGTCAGGCTCTGGAGGAGGGGCCTCGCCCATCCTCCCTTGGAGGAGCAGGGTTAGACGAGGGCAGGGCTGCAGCTGGCCTTGTGGTGAAGAGGGAAATACCGAAAAGCTAGAACTAGTAACTTCTCCCTGGGGGTCTGTTTTCTTTATTGAGGTGAAATTCACACAACCTACATTGTGTAAGTGGACACACAATTGTAACATACAGTGGTACCATTCTGAAATTCACAATTCAGCGGCAGGTGGTGCATTCACAATGTTGATGGTGAATAAAGTTTCTTTCATTTTGAAACTTTTCGCGGAGTCTGGTTACCAGCGACTGCACTTCACACGCGCTAGCTGTTCCAGGCGTCGCTAGCACAGGGCCCGACGGTGGCAGGGATACAGATGCTTGTGGACGAGGGAGACCTCGGCCCCAGAGCCCGCTCCACGCTGCCCGCTTCAGAGACTGGGTCCCCGACGGGCCCCCGACGTGTGGCCGCGGGCCGAGCGAGCCCGGGGCTGCCCAGGCGGGAGGTCCGGGCTCCGGAGGCTGGGGCACCGTGCGCAGCCGGGCGGGTGCCTGCAGCTTTCGCTTTGCCTCCCTAGGTCCGGGCTCCCGGGCAGGCGCCCCCCCGCCCCCGCCCCCGCCCCTGCCGGCCCCGCCCCTCCGCTTCCTCCCGGGTATCTGGCACCGCGGCCGCGCGGCGACACAGGAGCCCCGGCTGGCTGGCGAGGCGGCGGCTGCAGCTATGGTGAGGGCCGGGCGGGGCGGAGTGGAGCGGGGCCGGCGGGCCGGGGGCAGAGGGCGCCGTAGGGGTGCGAGGCCCGAGTCTGCAGTCCGAGGCTGGGGGCCTTCTCCGGTCCCCCCGAGAGTGGCGGCCGCCGGGAGCCGGCTGGGCCAGAGCCTCCACCGGGGGCGCGCAGGCCGGCGAGGGACAGTTCGGCCGCCCGTGCGCAGCGAGCAAGGCTCTGGCTTCCCCCTTCCCGGAGCCAAGGGGTTACAAGCCTGGCTTCGGGTTTCAGGGCTTCGGAGTCAGGCTTCCAGTCGGACTCCGGGCTGAGATCCTGGTGGTGGCCACTTACCGGCGCTGTGACCCGGAGCAAGTCACTTAACCTTCTTGAACTTTCTTTCCGCATCTGTGAAGTGGGGTCAGCATTACCTGCCTTACTGGGTACTTGGGAGGTTAAGGGAGATACAGTTGGCAGAGCCCCGCCTGGTGCTCCTGAGCAGTGTAGGTAGTGTGGTGACCTCTTCGGCCCTTCCTGGAGCTGTGAGAAGACAGAGCAGTGTGGCCGGGAGTTGGAAACCCGAGCAGATGGGGTGGTAGCCAGCCGCATGGCAGGGTGTTGGAGGGCATTCTTCTGACCCTAGGTAAAGATAAAGGTACATGTTAACTATACAAGTTCCATTGAAGTTATCAGACTATGGCACAGGCCTGTCTCCTAACCTCTACCCAGGGACACATTCTTGAGGTGAGTCATCCCCTACTCCTGCTGCAAACTCTGGCCTGTGTCCCCACTTGCCATCTCTAAGACAAAGGTGTCAGCCGCGAACAGGTGGTGGCAGTACCTTTCCTCCATCCTCCGGACTCCTGGGAAGATAGGCTGGGCAGGAAGCAGGCTTGGTACGTTAAGCTTCTGCCCTGGAGGAGCTGACAGAGGTGTGATGGATGTGGCCTGGCTGGGGGTCTGGATGCCTGGATGGCCTCATCTCTAGGGAACCAGAGGCAGGAAGAGGAAGCGGGACAGGAAGGTTGTACTGAGCTCTAAGGCCACGCCAGGAAACCAAGGGAGGCTCCAAGAATGGGACAAAGCTCTGAGCCCACTTCCCAGCATACAGGGCAAGGGATCTGGCAGGGCTAGGGGTGGGCTTCCAGTTGGCCTTGAGCACGTGGGGGAGAAGAGGAAACTCCTAAATGAAGGCTGAGGCCAGGATAATTTATTGGTGGATACTGGAAAACTCTGACACTCTCACAGGTTCATCTGAGGCCAGCAGTGGATCAGAGCCTGGGGAGGGTACACTGATCTTTCACCCTTCCCATCTCCTAGTCCCATCCCTCTGTTTCACACCTGCCCCTGTCCCTGGCCCCAACTCTTTCCCTTCCTTCTCCCCACTCCCTTCCCTACCTGGTCTTTCTTCCTTGTCCTCTCCTCTGATTCATTCAATCAACAAACATTTCTTGGGCATTTCCTCCATGCCGGATGTCGTGACAGGTATAGGGATAGAACAGGAACAAATAGTGATGGGTAAAGGCTTGAATTCATTCATCCTATAGGTGGTCTTCTCTCATGCAGTGTCCAGTGAATGTGAGTTTTGAGCCACAGGCTTCCCTCATATGCACAAGGGTTGGCTTGGCGGCATTAAAAGGTCTGGGGAGTCTTTAGCAGCCAGCTAAAGTATTTGCCCCCACCCCCACCCCCACCTGCATTCATTTTAGCACCGTGGTGAAGAATGTGATTCTTGGAGTCTATTGGTTCCACTCCTGGATCGCCTGCTTACTGACTGTACAACCTTGATGATTTAACCCCTCTGAGTCTCAGTTTCTTATAAAATTGGGATGATAACATGCCTTCAATGGATTGTTGTGAGGATTAAATCAGATCAGGTGAACAAACAGCCGGCAGCATGGTGCTTAGCTCAGAGTACGTGCCCATTGAATGGTGGCTGTTATCACCTTCAAGACTTAAAACCTTCTCAACAGCCTGCAGTGCTTGATGGAAATAAACTCTATGCCAGTTATCAAAGGCCCAGGTGACGTTCTGTGTTTAGGTTAGAGACAGTTAAGTGCACGAGTTTGCAATAAGGAGAGCTTGCTTGGCTGTGTATTTTGTAAAATTATCTAAGAGGTTTTATTGACCATTTGTATTGTATAATTCTTGAGATCTGACTGCTTAAAAAGTAATCAGCCAGGGAGCTTGGGCTCTGTCCATAATAATAGCTCTTCCTCATTGAGAATTCAGTATTGTCAGGTATTGTGATAAGCACTTTGTTCGTGACACGTCATATGCCTTAGTTAACATCATGTAGGTATCATTCTTGTCACCACTTTACAGATGAGGAAGTGGAGGGTCAGAAAGTTTGCATAGTGGGTGAGTGGCAGAGGCAAGATTTGAGGGAACCCAGGGCTGCAGTGCAGAGCCCCGGCCCTTGGCTCTGAGCTCAGGTGAATGCTGACCTAGCAAGGAACTGATACACCCCTTCACTGCTTGCCTGCTGCACACACAGCACCCCTCCCCCCATCCCCAGTTCTTTGACTAGGACAGTGGTGACAGCTGGAATAGGGTTTGTCTCTCTCCCAGAGAGAAGGGAGCCAGGAGAGTTAGGGCAGAGAGGTTTGGAGAACTTTGTTTTCAGAAGAACCAAGGGTGGGGTGCCTGAGTGGCTCAATGGATGAGCATCTGCCTTTGGCTCATGTTGTTGTGACCCCGGGGTCCTGGAATTGAGTCCAGCATCAGGCTCCCTGTGGGGAGCCAGCTTCTCCCTCTGCCTATGTCTCTGCCTCTCTCTTTCTCTGTCTCTCATGAATAAATAAATAAAATCTTAAAAAAAAAAAAGGAATGAAGAACCAAGGCTATTTGGCTTGGAAAAACCTGAGATATTTGAGGGTTGAAGGCAGATATTCTGTACAGAGGGTAACGGTCTGTTGAGAACATTTCCTGTGTAACTGCCACCCCCTGTCTGCCATCCGTGCTGCTGCTCCCCACTCCACGGCCCACCCTCGGCCCTGCAGACGTCGGGCAGGGCTGGGAAATGACCCGGTCACCCACATTTTCCCTCTACACTCTCTGCTCCCCACGAACTTGGCAACTCCTCACAGCCTTGCTGGGGCACTTTTCCACTCCTTCTGGATGGCCTCCCTGCCCAAAATTTTGTCACTGCCATCTATGCCAGTCTACCACGAATAGAGAAATTATTCTGAAGCCTCTCTCCAGTGTCCTCCTTGGCTCACAAGTCCACACTAGGTCTTGCTCAGCCCTCTCTGCAAGTGAATGTCCTCTATTTGGACTTTTACTCTGTGCATTTGTGGGCTCCACCCTGCCCCTCCGCCCATGCCCTCTGCCTGGTCTGCCTCTGCCGGAATGCCCCAGCTCCACCCCATCCTGCAAGGGCTCATCCACCCGGGGCTGTCTCTGTTCACAGGAATCCACTCTCTGAGGGTGGCTCCAGCACTTAGTGTTTGTTCTTCACAGCACAACCCTTCACTCGTCTCTACTTGTGCCATGCATGTCTCTTTCTCCCAGCCTATAGTGAGCATCTTACAAATAGGCATTCAGAGATGTTTTTCCCTTGTCCACTGTGTGCCAGGCACTATGGTGGGTTCACTGTGGCAGGAGAGGGAGCGTGGCCCTGTCCTCTGGTCCCTTACCTCCTTCCACATCCTGTAGTGCTTTATTTCTCCCTGTGCTAGTGGAGACCTGGGCCTATAGGATCCTTTTCCCTCTGGTGCAGGGAGGGCCAAGAAGGGCCCGGGGGTTAAGCCTGAGGCCTCTCTGTACCCTGGGGCGAATGTGTTCATTTAGGCCTGGTCCCACCCTGGCCCCCGGATAGGCCTGGCTTCGCAGTGTGGGGAGGAGGCTGCAGCTCGCAGTGGGAAGCACAGCCAGCTCTCCTGGAGAATGGGACCCAATGTCACCCCACATTGGAGAATCCAAGAACAACAGCTGTGGTTTTCATAGCGGAAAAACCAATATTCAGCATCCCACCAACCTCTAGCGATGATTGTTATTTTCAGTCTTTGTTCCTTCTCAAGTTTTTGCCTTAGGCTGTTAGGAATGTGGGGTTGCCTTGGACTCTGTGAAGGTAGGCTGTGTGAATTTGTTGACTACCATTGTAGTAACAATAGCGGTGATGACGGTTGACCAGATGAGTGCAGCTTCCCTGCGCTCTGCTCTGCAATTATTGGTCCTTGCTCCCCAGTCACTGCTCCCCCAGCCTGGGAGTGCACCCCTCTGGCATGGTTTGCCTGTCCCCTCTCCAAGTAGGTTGCTTTTCTAGCTCATGGGTAAATATTGACCTACTTGGGTTTCAGATGCCTGCCCCTTGAAACTCCTGCTGGGCTGGATAAACATACTGGGATAACATCTCTTGAAAATAAGAGTTGCTTTTGGAGAGACTGCAATGTGATTGACCCACTCACTGAGTCCTTATAATGGTCAGCACCACATTGGCCCCCTTGGGGCCACCAGGATGGGAGCAGACAAATGTAGCCTCTCCCTCTGGGGCTTGTGGTCCACTTGGGGAGATAGGACTCATAAACTGGGAATGCTTGGAGGCTGTGTACAAGGCAGCTGCAAGGATCCTGAATGTGGATTCTTGCCTGAGTAGGAGTGGCCCTCTGACCACCAGATCCTTCCCCTTTCTCTGGTTTTAAGTGGAATTCAGTCAAGTGCCAAAATGTCTGCTGTAGACAATGGGCAATGTGGTCTGGCAGGAAAGGGAGCTTGGCCAGGGCTCTGTGGGGAGGAGATGAGAACAAGGATGGGCTGTGGGGGACTAGGCGGGGAGGATGGAGCTTCTGTGGTTTGTGGATATGCTGGGATTGAGCTCCCTGATGCATCCCTGGACCTGCTCCTGAATTTCCAGCTCTTACAGGGGTGGGGGCCTTTGCCCTAGGTCTGTCTCAGTTGCATGTGTCCAAAGCCTGATCTCTTTCTTGATTGTGATGCACACTCTCTCTTCCTCTCCCCTGTTCTCTCAGCACTCCCCACCCCGCCACACTTGGTCCCTGCCCCTCCCTTCTTAGTCCTCTGAAATGAGCTGGGTTCTTTTGTCAGGTGTGGTTGCTGCTCAAGCTGAGAAGTCAAAGAGTTGGTCTTTTCTCTGTGAGTTGGACCTCAGTGAAGATTCTTGGGTAGCTGGAAGGCTGAGGCCAGAGGCCAGGGTTGGTGAGGTTTCCAGGCAGACAGAGAATCAATTGTGAGCACTGATGTGGGAGGCAGAACTGGCCTGGCCAGTCAGAGGGAGGTCTGATCTCAGTTTGTTTCTGTCTGTGTGTCTGTGGGGTTAGGCAAAAGTTATGATGTGTGGTGGTCCACAATTACCTTTCTAGTCCTATGGGGTCGGTATCTGCTCTGTCTGGCTTCTAGCCATGTAGCTTGGTTCCCTCTTCTTTACTACTGCTTTAGGCCAATAGGAAGCCACAGGGCAGGTGCACATTGGATAGAGGCCATCCTAGGGCAGGTGAGCAAAGTATCTGCTCTGTGGGGGAGTGAGATACTGGGAAGTTTCCATCCTGAGGCATCTTGGAGGAAGCTGAGATGCTGTAGCCAAGGCTGACCTAGGATCTGCCTTGATGGGCAAGGAGAGGAACCTGTGAGGTCAGAGGCAGGTCATATACATTCAGGAGACCAGTCCTTCACTCTGTACATACCATACTCTCACATGAAAGATGCTGTTTCCCCTACCTGTACACCCCCCCACACACAACACACACAGGGGTGGGGGGTGCGGCAAGGAGGCCACTAGGTCTCAGGATCAGATGAGGGCCGGGTGGGGGCCTCATGCAGTTCTGACCTTGGGCTTGGTGCCCAGGCAGGGAAAGAGTTGGAACGATGCCAGCGGCAGGCGGATGAGGTGACAGAAATCATGCTCAACAACTTCGACAAGGTCCTGGAGCGCGATGGGAAACTGGCCGAGCTGGAGCTGCGTTCAGACCAACTGCTGGACATGGTGTGAGGCATGGGGGAGCAGGGATGGGGGAGGGAGGCCAGGAGGAGTCCTCAGGTTGTGCTCAGGGTCTCCAGGCTCTGGGGGGCCTGAGGCTTGCCTGAGCGCCCGGGGGGGCCTGTGGGTTTGTGGAGGTGCCTATAGCCTCAATAAGCTCCAGGTAGGCCTCATGAAATAACAAGTCCTTGGTTTGAAGCTGTGGACCCTCCTACAGGTTGAGGGCTGTTATTGTTACTGGGTGTGAGCCTTGGAGGAGTGCAAATCAAGGGCTCCATCAGTGTCAGACCAGCAGTCAGGCTGGGAGGGTCCCGGGGCAGGCTCTGTGGAGAAGGGGAGCAGACAGGTTGGGAAGATGCAGGAGGAGGTTAGGTCTTGTGAGGGGCGTGAGGGGGTGGTTGGGAGAACCTGGCCCTGGGGCTTGGGGGGGGGAACCACTAACTCCCAACCTGTGTCTGGGGATGTCCACAGAGCTCAGCCTTCAGCAAGACAACCAAAAACCTGGCCCAGAAGAAGCGCTGGGAGAATGTCCGTTGCCGGATCTACTTGGGGCTGGTGGTGGGCATTGGCCTGCTCATCATCCTGATTGTGCTACTGGTCATCTTTCTCCCGTGGAGCAGTGGGGACAGCAGTGCTCCACATGCCCAGGATGCCGGCGCTGCCTCAGGGCCTGGGGGCTGACCCAGCTGGGCCTTGAGGATAGGCCGAGGGGCCGCACTGGCTGGTTCTGGTCTCCAGAGAACCCTGGCGTTTGTTTGCTCCCATCTGAGCCACCCAACTGAGCACTGAAGAGCAACTCTGATGTGTGCACCTTTGCATCTCCTATCACGCCACAGACTGGCCCTTGAGGGCAGCCTGCTGCACTAGCTGTGCCAGGCCAGCCCTACCTGGAGCTCAGTAAAAGCTGCTGTTTGGTTTAAAGCTGGTGTTTGTATGTGTGTGTGAAGTCCTCCGAGTTGGTTCATCCTCCTTGGCCTCCACTCCTGCGGTTGTTTAGAAAGTTGGTAGAAGGACTTCACCCTTGGGAGGTGGCCCCTATACTCTTCCTTCCTTGTATGTGATCCAATCCTACCTGGACAGAAACTTCTGGGGTGCAGGTGCAAAGAGAGAGTGGCTCCCAAACCAGAACCTTCAACTAGTGCCCTCTGAGCCTGTTTACCTCAGAATGAAATATATTCTTTTTCTGATGTCTTTTTTTTAATTAAGATTTTATTTATTTATTCATGAGAAACCCAGAAAGAGAGGCAGAGACACAGGCAGAGGGAGGAGAAGCAGGCTCCATGCAGGGACCCCAGTGTGGGACTTGATTTCTGGAACCCCGGGATCACGCCCTGAGCCAAAGGCAGATACTCAACCACTGAGCCACCCAGGTGCCCCTTTTTCTGATGTCTTGAAGATGCTCAGAATTAGACTCCAGAAGAAGGCACCTCAAAGATTTTTATCTCACGAGGCTTTCACTTTTGGATAGATTTTTTTCCTCTCTGGACACCCTGTCCTCCTCAATTTTTCTCCTGGGTGTTCTTCCTCAAGCTTTACACCTGATTACAGATGAGGCAGATCGCAGTGAAAATGGGGAGATCCCTGGGTGCTCAGTGGTTTAGCGCTGCCTTCAGCCCAGGACGTGATCCTGGAGACCTGGGATCGAGTCCCACGTCGGGCTCCCTGCATGGAGCCTGCTTCTCCCTTTGCCTGTGTCTCCACCTCTCTCTCTCTCTCTCTCCCTCTCTCTCTCTCATCAATCAATAAATAAAACCTTAAAGAAAATGGGAAGGGCTTTTCTGGTGCTGTAATGGACAGTCACAAAGGATGGCCTAGACTTTGTCCTGTAGGAAAGAATTCAGCCTCTTCAAAGCTCCAAGGCCATACAGGGCCAAGCTGGCAGGGCCTTAGGGTCACAGGAAAGATGATTGGGTAAAGGCTATGGAAGGAGGAAAGAAAGCCCTACCAGGGCCACGGAAGCTGGGCAGTCTCTGCCTGGGCTACTTGACTGCACCGCAAACTCAAGTGTGGAAGAGGAATTCAGGGTCAAATGTGTAACAGAAGCAGTTCCTTGTTAGGTGAAGTGAGGGCTACTGACAGAGAAACAAGAACAAACCTGAGAGTTGTGTGGAGCTTTACCCCTCACAGAGCTTGTTGCTTCCACTGGGCTCATTACCATCTTTTTCTGGGAAAGATGGAGAAAACTGCTTGGCTGTGTAGTTGGTCGGTAACACCACTTAGAGGCCGTGTGGATTTGGGCAAGTCACTTGAGACTTGGGGTTTACATACGAAAAAAGGGATATTTAACTCCCAGAACAATTGTGAGGATTATTTATATTGTGTGTAACATATCCATCAGTGTAATGGTTCTAGATGCCAAATAAAAAGTAGCTGTCATCCATTTCATTTAGTGCAGTTCTCAAGCCTGCCTCACATCAGAATCACCTGTAGAACTTCTAAAACTATCACCCCCAGGCCTAGATTAGTTAGTATCAGAGCTAAGATTTAAATCCAAGTGTGCAGGATGCCTGGACACACACATTAGCCGCTGGCCTACACAGCTCTCATATAGGGCCTGGATCAGTTCTATCAGAATCTTTGAGGGGAAGTATCTGACGCAGGGTTCTTTCCCCCTCAAGCTGCAACCCCTGGTTTCATCTCCAGGATAGCCATGGGTAGCCAGAGATGCAAACTCCTTGAAATCAAGCCATTAATTTTACAGAAGCTAGCGGAGAGGCTGAGGAGTGGGCTGAAGGTCACACACATAGTTCTGTGAGCGGGTAAGGCCCTAGATTCCCTGGCAAGGATCTTCCCTCTCTCGTTGGGGGACTTTTACCCCACCCTTGATTGTGTCTAACAAAAAATAATCAGGACATTTTTGTTTTGCGGGTTGAGAGGGTAATCAAGGGCCAACTCCTGAACTACCCAGAGTGCAGCAGGTGCAGAAGTACTGGGCGGGGACCGGGCAGAGCAGCGGGGAACGTCGTCCTTCCAGGTTCGCAGGACCCTGACCCCCTGCGTCACCGCCTCGCTCTCTGGAGGGCCTCTAGCACCTGCACGTCCTAGGCCCTCTGAGCCGCAGAGCGAACCCAAGGCCCTACAGCCCCGACACTTGGCTTTTCAGGGCGCCGAGCACGCGACCCACACGTCATTCGCAGGTACCCTCCCCCAGGTTCGGAGCCCCAAACAGCTGTTTTTTCCGACCGGCCCAAGCCCCTGCCATTGGCTGTAGCCTTTGGTCACCTGACTTGTTCGAGCCAACGAGAGGCAGCAGAATTAATACTTCCGCTTTCATGCGCCTAACGAGCCTCTGTGCCCGCCTTTCGGATGCTCTGATTGGTCTCCCTCGCTCAGGCCCGCAACTTATTGGCCAGCGCCGTGGGGCCACAGTCCAGCGGCCTTCGAGGGCTGTGTCAGACTGCCCCGCCGCCATGGCGTCCTATTTCGATGAGCACGACTGCGAGCCGCTGGATTCCGAGCAGGAGGCCCGAACCAGTATGTTGCTGGAGCTCGCAAGGTGGGTGCACGGAGCTGGGAGGTGGGGGCTCGGGTAGCAGGTATCTGGGCTGGGGCTGGCTGGACAAGGCGGATTATAGAGGGCAGAGAGTCTGGGGAGGACGGATGAATCTTATGATGGAGAGTTAGTCCAGAGACGAGATTCGAGGAAGATCGATAATTTGGACCACCCGTGGGCGGGCCGGGGATGGTAGGAAAGACGGGAGCTGGCGAATAGGGAGGAGTGGGGGGCGGCAGGACAGTCGGTTCTAGCAGGGGAGGGGCCGTGTGGGCGTGAGTAGGTACGTTCGTTAGGAACAACAAGCACGGAAACCACCATTGCCACTTGGAATCTGGCTTTACCAGGTCATGTCGACATGGCCTGAGTAATTTCTCTTAGCCTGTTGCCTCATGTGTAAAATGGGATTAGGACAGCCCCGGTGGCTCAGCGGTTTAGCGCCGCCTTCGGTCCAGGGCGTGATCTTGAAGACTCGGGATCGAGTCCGACGTTGGGCTCCCTGCATGGAGCCTGCTTCTCCCTCTGCCTGTGTCTCTGCCTCTCTCTGTCTCTCTCCTGAATAAATAAATAAAATCTTTAAAAAATAATAAAATGGGACTAAATAGCTTGCATGCTTGGGGTTGTCTTATACCAACCGCAAGCCATTTTCCATTGTGCTTTTTATCTAGTGAACACTTTTAGGGGCTAGCTGTTGGTACTAGCTCGACAGAGTATTTATCTGTTAATGCCTACTGGATTGTGGGGGCAAAAAGAAAGTACGGTTTTCTTCGGTTCTGATCATGCATCGTTCCTCCCAGGTCACTTTTCAATAGGATGGACTTTGAAGACTTGGGGTTGGTAGTAGATTGGGATCATCATCTGCCTCCACCTGCTGCCAAGGCTGTGGTTGAGAACCTTCCCAGGACAGTCATCAGGAGCTCTCAGGCTGGTGAGAACACTAATTCTTACTATTTGGGGCAGGTTTGCCAGACGCACCCGCTCCCAAGCTAGACTGGTCTAGCCCTTCAGTTTTCCAGGTCAGGTTGGGGCAAGAATGTCTTTCAGGAGTGGGAGCCGGGAGGCAGGGCCTGTAGCAGCTCTCCTGATCAGCACTCCCTCCTAAAGAGCTCAAGTGCCCCGTGTGTCTTTTGGAATTTGAGGAGGAGGAGACTGCCATTGAGATGCCTTGCCGTCACCTCTTCCATTCCAACTGCATTCTACCCTGGCTAAGCAAGGTACAGCTTCCTTTCTCTCAGCCCTTACCCTGCCCTGAGCCCAATTCTCAAGCCTCTTTCTGTTTATGGACTGTTAGGGGATCAGAGAAGGGAGAGGGTACGGGTGGGAACTGGGAGCAAGGGGCAGATGTTAGCTTATGAAGACCAGACCTGGGCTGGAACACTGCCCTCCTTTTCTCAGACAAATTCCTGCCCCCTGTGCCGCCATGAGCTGCCCACTGATGATGACGCTTATGAGGAGCACAGACGAGATAAGGTAAGGGCTGGTGGTAAGTGAAGAGGGTGGTAATGCGGACCCCGCTGTCCTCAGTGTTCTCATTCCCTACCTTAGCAGGCTTGGTTAGGCCTCAGAGTCACTGACTCTGGTCGTCTTCCTGGTGACTTTGGTGAGGGACAAGAGCCTTGGCAATGCACAAGCTTGGGACCTGAAAACAGTGATAGCTGTCCCATCGCTTCCCCCACAGGGCTTCAGGTATGACCCATGCCCAGTGTTTCCTCTTTCCTTCAGGCTCGCAAGCAGCAGCAAAAGCACCGGCTTGAGAACCTCCATGGAGCCATGTACACATGAGGTGCCTGGGGTTGAGCACTCGTCCTCCACAATATCTTCCTCCTGCACCTTGAATCCTCATTAAAGATTTCTTTACCCACCCTGCACTGCATTGCTCACAGGCCTGGGCAGGGGTTCTGTATCCTCCATGAGGTCCCTACTGTGGTTGGGGGAACCACAGAAAGTACCGGGCTGCATGTCCCTTCCTGCCAAGCCTACTGGCCTGAGAGCAGTGGAACCCAGGTCAAGAACCTGGCCACTGGAGCAGCCAGTGACTGGGCCTAGGTGTTCATCGTTGGAAAGCAAAATGTGTCAGGGTCTGGCATCCAATAGCTACTTACGGATGGTAAACAAAATCTAGCCTCTGTCTCTCTCCCCTGCAATTTTTAGTCAACCTTGGAATCCCACGGGCTTTTTTTCATTGTGAAAACTGTTTCTAGCATTTCAAAGTTGCTCTCTGGATGAGCAACTCCTTCCCCCGCCCCCATATCCCTTACTAGAGAAGCAAACTTCACATGGAATTGGGGAAGGATCAGGTCAGTTCTTTAGACTGTTTTAACGCCTAGAAAGGGTTTCAAGCTCTTGAAGGATATTTGGATAGCACCAGGCATCCTTTATTCTTGGCAGCCCTGCTTTCAAAGAGCAGTGGGCACTCTCCCTGAGGGCAGGGGATTCCTCCCACCCTTTGCCTAGGGAAAGCCGACCTGGGTCAGGCCCTCTCCTGATTGTTTAGAACAGACTACAAACATGCAAATTAGAATTCTTTTAATAGATTAAAAAAAAAGTATTAAAATACCCACGTGGTTCTGCTATGTTATTTGCCTGAAAGTAAGGGGCCGAGTGAAGAATCCCAGTGCAGCTCAGTGGGCCCAAAAGTGGGCCTTCCCACAGACTAAGGAGTGCTCCCCCTTCTATTCCCTGACTTCTATCCCTCTTGCTGTTTCCAGCCCCCAATTCCTGCAGCGGGAAACCCCAGTGGTGTTGCCTTGGCACTGGGGAGTAGAAGGCACCTGAAGGGCTGGCTGGGTGAGTGAGGATATGTGACCTTTAAACATAAAACACTGCAGAGTCAAGCAGTAGGTTGCGTGTGGCCCAGGCAGTAGCCAGGCCTGCTCTTCTATAGCACAGGTGGGTATGGGATGGCCGTTCCTCCAGCAGCAAGGAAACCCATATCCCAACAAAATACTTTCTCAAAATTGTTTTTGGTACAAGATAAATGCAAAGTTATGAGGTGGGTAGCTGCTGAGGCTGGGCCAGCCACCCTCCCCAGGCCTCAGATCATGGCGATGCTTTCCGGAGCACAGTTGAGGTGAGTGGAAGGGCTACTGCTTCCGGAGGACTTGCAGGCCCGGCCAGGGGCAGGCTGCAGGGCAGCCACCAGTGTCTCTGAGGAAACTGTCCCAAACTCATAGCTGAAGGTGCCGTAGAAAATGAGGATGTCGATCACAAACACCCACTCGCACAGGGCTGCCCCGTGCTGCAGCTGAGAGCTCTCATGCATAAAGAAGACACCACCTGGAATGGGGCTAAGGAAGTGTTCAGTAGGACACGTGGGATGTGGTGACACTCCTACCTTTCCAGATAGATAACTAAGCTGGGCCAAAGAGCCTGGTCTCCCACCTGGGAGGGGAAGAAGGAAAATACCCTGGGCAGTATTTTCTGGATATACGTGTGCCAAGCTCTCACCCACTCCCTACCACCTACCCCCCAGCATCTTGGGTGGGGAAAGGCTGGGCTTGAGGATGCGCTCCTGGCTGCCCTGTCCTGGAAGGATACTGAGGATTAGGGTGACAAAGGCGATGGCTGCCAGCACAATCCGCAGGTAGGCCATAGCCAGGTCCTGGGGGGCAGTGGCCCCATGGTAGGAGAGAGCACAGTGCAGGCAGACAAAGAGCAGGCCAGCAGGGAAGGCCACACCAGTTCCGATGTAGTGCAGAGACTTTGCATGATCCACCTGGGCCCAGAGAGAAGGGCTGATCTGTGAAGCAGCGCTACCTCCACCACCCCTCTTCCCCACCTCTATCTCCCTTCCCTCCCAGACCCTTCTGTCTCCTCCCTCAGCCTTGAAGGGCTATCTCTGCAACTTGGGTCAGCCATCAGGGGACAGGGCACCTGCAGACAGCCAGGACCCATTAGTTAAAGTTCAAGAGGCAGGCAGGTGGGCCCACCTGGAAGTTGCCGACCACCACCAGGCCCGCAGCATTGGTGCAGCCTGTGATGAGCGTTGTGGTATTAACCCAGGAATGACGACTCTGCTCCAGGAGCTGCCCATAGAGCAGCAGGCAAATCAGGACCACTGGAGGAAGAGAGCACAGGTAGGGCCAGCTCTGGTGCCCTCCTCCCAGACTGGCCCAGCCCAGCTAGCCCACCGACACCCCCACCCCCGTCCAGACACTGAAGGCTGAAAGGGAATAGAAGGGCAGGTGGTATACTGGGTTTCCTCAGGCTCTGGCCAGCAGGGTGGCTGTGCAGGAGACTTTGGCCCTTGTTGAAGAGAAGAGAAGTAGCCTCTCTTGCTTTTTAGCCCTTGGTGGGAGGGGGCTACACTAAGCAAGGGCTTCCTGGGCCTTTCTGGGAGGGGGGGTGGGGGTATGGGTTGGACTGGGCTGGCTAGTGGGGCTGAGGGCACAACTCACCCATGAAAGCACCCATGTTGCCAATGAGGCTGAAGAGGCAGCTCTCTGGGGGATATGTGCCACACTTGCTGGGGGTGGGGGGCAAGGACAGAGTGAGAGAGGGGCAGGAGCACTAGCACCCCCATTCTGGCCCATCTGTCTCTTGCTTTATCTGTGCCTGTCCTTAGGCAGGCCACTGAATTATGAGAAGGACCAGTTGTGTATCACAAACAACCCGCCCCAGGCTGGGCCCTCCCCCAAAGCAGAGCTCATGTGTGTGATGGGTAAGGGAGTACCCAGGATTGCTTGGCAGAGGGTGAGGACTCTCCTTGGACTCGCTGTGGCTATCAAGGCCTGCAGCCAGTCTGGCTTTCCTTGTGCCAGAACTGGGGCTGGGCAATCAGAGGGCTTGAACTTAAGTCCAGGTGCCTCCACTTAACTAGCTGTGTGACCTGGACAGATGACATCCCTCAGTCTGTTTTCTTGCCTATAAGACGGTGAAAACAGTAGCTTCCCCAGTGCTGGTACTGGGATTAAATGGCCCTATGCATGTAGAGCATTCAGCACATGGTGACTGGCATGTAAAATTGTTATCAAGTACTCTTAATACACTCATTATTCCTGAGACTGAAAGACAGGTCCTTGTCTGAGGGGCTTGGGTCTCCCTGACCTGCCCAGTTTCCAGGCCTTACCTGATGAGGGGGATATCATCCAGGGTGCAGCAGGTCTTGGGGCCCCCTTGTTCAGCAGGGTCAGGAGAGCAGGATTCGTTGTAGGACCTGGTAGGCAGGACAGAGGGTAGTCTGGGGAAAAGTGTTTCCCCTAGGTTCTCGGCCTATAGTCTCAGGCCTCTCAGGGATCATCCTCCCAGACTTCCCTTGGCAGGGACAGAAGAGCCCACTTCCCAGAACTGGCCTGAGAGAAGCCAAAGGGGTGAAGGGATGGTGGGAAACAGGTAGATGGGCACGAAGCCATGCCTGGGGAGGGACAGGCGTTGCCAATGTCAGATAAAAGCAGTCAGGCTCAGAGTCTCCGTCTGGCTCGTAGCAGCCCCGACCCAAGAGGGAACAGAGATGAAGGGAGCTTTAGAGGGAGGCTGTCTGCAGAGTACACCATACCAGTTCTCCACAGGGCATGCGTGGCGGTTCATCACGGCCATGGCATACCTGCGGGAACACAACCGTCACCCCACACCCACGACCCTCCCAGCCCGGCTCTTCCCTACTGACTCTTCTGCCTTGACTCTGGCCCCAGTCAGCCTTTGTCCTTGCTGGGGACTTGTGTTGAGGTGATCCTGAAGCTTGACACCACAGGAGAACCCATACATGGCCCCAAACAAGAGGACCTGTGGAAGTAACCCTGGCTAGAAGTAGGTCTGTCTGGGTCACCCTACTGGACAGCAGTGGTGCCAACGTCCGAGGGGACTGTGTGCCCAGGCACAGGGCCAGGTTTTGGGAGACAGCTAGTGGTCCTGGGTACTACCCCAGAGCCTACAGCAGGACAAGGGGCTGTATGTGTGCCATCGAGTTCCCGTTGGGTCCTGGGAGGCCCTATCCCTTCTAGGCTGGGGCCCATTTTGTCCCGTAGTTGCCGTCCCCCTCCCCCTCTTTACTCACACAGTCCATAGGCCAGTGATGGAGAATGCTGACAAGCTGACAGGAAGGAGGATCCAGGCGGTCATGAGGGAGGGGAGCCAGGGTGGTGGTGATGTGGGGGGAAGGACAAGAGGTAGGTGGGAAAGAGGGGGCCGGCCCAGCTACCTTAAGGTACTTCGCCAAAACCATCAGCGGCCCAGGCCTGCTGGAGAGAGACAGGTCAAAGTCCAGGGTCCAGCGCCTGGCCGAAGTCGGTGGGGGGAGAAGGTGGTCAACACTCAATTCACAACGCCCACGTTTTGGGCTGAGCCCACGCCAGAACGTGGACATCTGGCTTCCACCGGGGGCCTCCTCATTCCAGCCCAATGCCACCGGTGCGCCCAGAAGCTCAGGCGGGGCTCTAACTTCTGGGGAGGGAGTCCCGCTCCCACGCCCGAGGGACCCGGCAGGGGGAGGGGCTGCAGTTAGGGCTGTCCAGGGGGCCGCGCCAAGAACCTGCGGGCAGGTGCGGGCCCGGGCCGAGCGGCGGCCGCGCAGGGAACAACCTGACCGCTGGCGCCCCGAGGGGGGAGGCAGGTTAGCGCAGGAAGCCCACCTCGCCCGCCCCTCCCCCCCGCGTGGGGGCACGGGGCCCTCCTCTCCCCACCCGGAGCCGGGGACGCGAGTCTCCCCAGCATGTCCTCCGAGGCCGCGGACATGAAGGGGCCCAGTACGCACCTCCCCGGAGCGCCGCGCCCTGCTCGGCCCCGCGTGGCGCCGTCTCTGGCTGCGGCCCTCGGAGCAGCCCTGGAAGGTTTAAAGGGCCGAGCGGCCCCGCCCCTGGCGCCCCGGCCGCGCCGCGCCGCCCGACGGGACCTGGAGTCCGCGCGGCCCCGGCCCCCGCGGCCGCTCTCTCTGGGAGACTACAACTCCCGAGCCCCCGCGCCCGCTTGGCGGTGGAAGCGTGGGCGGCGCCCCGCCTTCGGGGGGGCCTGAGCGCAGAGGGCTGTGGCGTGGGACTCGAGCAGAGGCTTCGACTCGGAGATGCCCATAGTCCCGCGTGCCCTGGGGCTGCTTTGGAAGCTTCGGGAGGCGGGAAGCCCCCGGGGCCGCACCGCTGTGATTGACCTTGCGCGCAAGGCTGGAGGAAGCGTCTCTAACCATGGCGCCCCGCGCCTGCCTCTGTCCTGGGCGAGGCGGCTCTGCGAAGAAGGGAGCACGAAGTCTTGGCTGTTACTTAAATTCAAGAGCCCTGGATTTGGCTTATGCTTCCCTCGGCTCAGCAAACTCTTGAGGGCTACTTTCATCACTTTCACCACTTTTCAAGGGTCCAAGTATAGAGTACTGTAAGAAGTCAGTGTCCAAAACATGTTTCCTGGGTGATGAACACTTACTTGAAACAAGGCCACAGATATTCATGGTCACACGTGGCCAGGTGTTGGTAACCAAGAGAGATAAGGCAGGCTAGAGACCCAGAGCAATTTGGGAAGAGCGAACAGGATAGTGTGGGAATAAATTACCATCGGTTTCACCAAAATGTACAGGCCAACGTTGCCTTCTTGGACATACTTTTCACATACCAAAAGTGTGTCTCACACACTAAGAATCCCAGCATGTGCTGGAACCTCTGTGAGACACCAGGGCTGACAGACCACGGGCCTAGGCTGCCAGGAGCAGGGGAAGCTTAGATCTGGCAAAGGTAATGTGCAGAAACGGGGCCCTGTACTGTGGGGGAAAAAATAAACTAGACAAGGACCTGAAGGAGCAACCTTTTTTGGACCCAATGGAAAGTAAAAATGGAAACAGGAAATCTGTTGGGAGAGTGCTTTTCTGAATTGCATCAGGACAAGTAGTTAAGGAAGGCCCAAGAAGTATGGTTGTGCAGAGTGATCACTGTACAATACCTGGCTGAATGGATCAGTGGGGTTTAACATCGAGTTCACTTTTTGCTGGCCATGCTGTGCTCCAGGACACAGAGGTGTTGCTTCTTAATTCACAGAGAAGCACCATCTTCCTGCCCAAGTGTGTCACCATTGGAGCAGGCACCTTTTCCTCACCTGCCCAATGGTACTGTGAACCCTCAGCATTTCCTACCTCATTGGAAGCTTTGCAAATCTTAGTCAACATTTACTATATCCTGCTGATATATAAATCCTGGGTTTGAGTGTCTGTCCAACTGTTAATGGGGGAAGACTTGAAAAAACTACTTAGGTCCTAAACTGGCTATTCTAACATACAATGGGAGTAAGACAAGCACTCTAGAACCAGGACAAAGAAGCAAATTTTGGCCTAATAGGATAATCTCAGCAGTCCCTAAAGTAGAATTACTCCAAGATGGGACTCCCTAAGACAGAAGGGCTTTTCATGGAGAGTTGGTAGGGTGGAGTCACTTATCATAGAAGAAGTGGGTCCAGACATCTTTAATAGTCCCTTCCAACTCTAATGCTACGTGACTCTTGTTGTTATGCTCCAACCTGGGCAGTTCTTAAAATAGTCAAGGCAAAGCAAGAGATGAGATTTCAAGTGCTGATTCTGTGGTGCTGAATGACTTTAGGGCAGGCATTTAATCTTCACTTCCCTTATGTACACAAGTGATTTCAAAACTCTTGGCAAAAACAGTGCTGTAAAAATAGTTTATTGCTTAAAAAGAATACTGTTTTTGAAAAGTACCTTCCATCCAAGATTTTCAAATAACTGCACACTTCATTCACACAGCAGAAACATTGGAAATGAGAAAACAGAGTAATATATGGCTTGTTACGCATTTAACACAACTTGACCGGTGCAACCAACCCCTCATCCTGGAGGCTCTGAGAAGGAAAAGGAGCCAAATATTCAGACGGTTTTTACTTTTAGTGTCACTCTAATTACTGGAGAAATTTGGGGTGGGTGCCTATGGTTTCTTACCATCTGAGTCCTAAATAATAGGAATTCAACAAGGGAGCTTAAAATGTTTCAGATAATTGTTAACAATCTCTGCTGATTCTCCCAAGAGGTAGGAAAATAATCTATCCCCATTCCTCTTTCTATATACAAAGGTCTCATGTATACTTGTAAACCAGCTGGGGATCCTCTACCCTACTATCCATGCATCCTGGCAAATGCATAGCAGGTTGGATACACACTACCTCAAGGTGTTTTCTTCCAGTTCCATGGGCTAAATCTCTAGTTGGCAGTGCCCTTCAGAGTGGACCATGGAGGTGAAATGCCCCTTTCAGAGACTCATACATAGGGAGAAGCATGTTATTGCCCACATTGGTCCTACTGGCTGGCCAAGTGCCAGACTCCTACTCTCAGTACAAAAAGCTTTACATTCTTGTTTTCCCTTCTTGTGTTACATTCTTCAAAGACTTCTATGCTTGCCAACTGGCTAGAACTCAAACTTTAGTATTTACTCTTATGCAGCCCAAAGCCCCTAAGAACCCCAGATTCCTTCTATTTATTATATCATCCATGGTGGCCCAGGAAACAGAAAGCCTTAGAATCCAAGACCTACCCTCAGTAAGTGGAGAACATTCATGGACATGAGATACGTCAAAGAGGCTACCAGACTTTTTTTTTTTTTTTAAGACAGCCAAGAATGTGTCTAGTCAAATGAGTGTTCATTCTGAAGCAGCCTGCCTAAGAGCTCCAGTTAATCTGACACTGTTGCCACTGTACCAAACAGTATGGGGCAGTCTTCTTTGTGACATCCCTAGAACCTGTGGGAAATGCTCTGTAACATGCTCCTTGATGGCAAAGCACTGATTTTTGAAAACAGCTAGAAGATATTTGGAGGCCAGTCTGGTGAATCAACTGCATAGTACCAGTACCATCCTGGACCCCAGACTGAGGGGTGGCAATAAGCAATGAGCCTGAGCGGTAAAGCTGTCAACTGGCTGAGGGCTATATCACCAGAGAAGTGCTTTAGGCATACCTGGAGCAGTGGCAGCATCACTACCAACAGGCCTCCCTTAAAGGACAACCTCTCATTTAAGTACCAGGCTTAATGCTTTCTATAGTCCTACTGCTTAAATTAAGAATTAGGATGCTTTCTTGGGTGGAAAACATTCTACGTGAACTTGATATGCAAAATGCCTTAAGAAAATAAATTCACAAACAAGGAGTTTTCATCAATCTCTTACCTGAGAGTGTGAGGATTACATGACAGACACATAAAAGGTCACATTAGGTACACACTTCCCTTCTCACAAACAGGAATGGAGGATAGAATTTCAGGTGCCATGACTCTGGCTTCTTCTTCTGGTCTTGTTTCTAAATTCTTTAATAAATCCGTGAAATAGGCCATCCAGTTGTGAGAAGACAGACCCAAGAAGTATTTCCAGGCTTCTTAGGAAGCCTAAGAGTTCCAGTGAAATCCTATTTCCAAGTCAGAAGATCAGTTGAAAAGCTGGAAGACTAAAATCCCCAGTCCTCAGAGCTGCAGGGAAGATTGGGCATAGAGTATGGCATGGCCTCCTTGACTTAGAGGCTCTAGAGGGTAGTCAACATTGTAAGTCAAAAGGCACTTCTAGCCTGGCTGAATAAGCAGCAGACAGATTTTCTCCCCTAAAAGTAGAACTGAGCCCAGGACTGGCAAGTTTAAGGTATTTAACCTTGGGCCAGCTCTGTGGGTCAGGAACACTCTGGTCCCTGGCTCCCTTCACAACCAGGCCCATCTAACTTATCTACCTCACTCACCTTCCCAGAATTTCTCTGGCACTGCAAGCTGTGGCTTACTGGATTCTAATGATGCAGTTAGTTTAAGTAGTTGCCTTGCCCCGTTTCTGAGGTGGTAGATTTTCAGGGGTGTAGGGCACAAACCAACAGTGCCCTTAGGTGTCCTTTAAGAGAAAAGCTGCTGAGATGGAACAGCCAGGCAGATCTTGAGACCCTGATGTAGAGAAACCCCTGGGGCATGGGGACTTTGGTTTCAAGAAGTCTTAGTGTTCATGGGCTCACTTAAACCCCGTACTTCCAGTCACTGAGGTTAGGTCAATTGCTGGAAATCTGAAGTGGTTTGGAACTGCAGTGCATAGGATGTCTTATGAACTTCTCAGACCTTAGCCTAACCCTGTGTTAGGGAAAACGTTCACTGAGGTGAAAGCAGTGATATTCCTAGGATCTTTACCCTAAGGATCTCCGTTTATACTCTTAGGAAATAGGAAAGGAGAAAGAATGAGGCAGGGGAAGGGCAGATGAGAGAGGCTCATTTCGCTGCCCATTGTTTGGGCTTTTTTTTTTTTTTTTTTTTTTTTGCAACTAGGGGTCCAAATAGGCAATTATTGCTCATGTTGAATTTCCCTTTGTATGTACATTCAGGACTGTTAAATCACATTTGGAGAGTCAGCTTCAAGCTTGTTTTGATAATTCCCCCTTAGCCTGAGCAGAGGATGGTCTGTTCACAGCCAGGGATGAGGCTGAAAACTGGAATCCCATAGCTCTAACCAAGGCAGGTTTTGCTGCAAGAAATCCTTGCAGTTGAGTTCTGGCATCATCCTCCTAGGTCTCTTTATCTAGACAGTGCCAAACAGTGCGGTATAAGCGAAACTTGCAAAAGCCATGGAAGGGGTGGGATACATGCTTGCAAGTCAGTCTCAAAAATGAAGATCTCCCACTTTATTGGTATTGGAATTACTGGGAGAGCTTATCAGGAAGGTAACTGCCCCCCCCCCCCGAACTCCCCACCTTCAAAGTCCTGAGCAGCTGGAAGGTGAAGTCACATTGGGAGGTGGGGTGGAACTGATGGATTCTGAGACAAAGATGAGGGAATGGAAAGAACAAGGAAATGGCTGAAAAAAAGGTCTAGAAAATATGGACAGAAGTGAGCAGAAGCAAGGAACAAAGGAACCACAGAACAACAAACACAGTTCATTGAGCTGGGTAGAGCAGCAGTGACTAGATGTCCCATTGCATAGGACTTCAGTAAGAAAGCAGCATGTTGGCATAAGGTTTCATACACCTTAGCTGTCCCTGGAGTCTCTGCTTCTAGAACACCAAGCTAGCCAAACAAAATTCTCAAATCCCAGAATACTAAGCTGGTCAAATGGCCAACATACAAGAAAGAATGGCTGCAAAGGAGATGGTTAGGCTTGTCCCTGCAAAACTGTTCCTGCGGATGTGTGAGCTCAGGGGTGTGTGTGTGTGTGTGTGTGTCTCAAGATCAGCTCAGACTGGTCCTGGCACCCCCAAACTAGGAGTGAGCTCCCTGGGCAGTGAATCCAGCCTGGTGAGAAAGCCTTCAGCCTGGTCAATGTCGGCTCTGGCGCTTTGCAATCTCCTCCTGGATGCGCAACTTGAGGGCCTCTCGCATGGGTGGATCCAGAGGCGTGTGTGCTGACACCTCTTCACTCACCCTTCCTGGATCATCATCCTACGTGGAGGAAGAGTCAGGAAGCTCAGGGCCTGGCCTCTTCTTAAAAGGCGACCTGCCCTGTCCCTAGACAACATTCTCACAGAACTTCATTTGACTCACAGCTTCTTGCCAGTGCCTGTCATTTCCCAGGTGCCCCTGTAATAGTGATTTTCAGCTGGAGGCCACAAGCCCTCCCTGGTTCCTGCTGAGAATCACTGTGTGGCAGGCGTGAGTTGTGCTCAAAAGCATCGCCCAACAGTCTATGCTCCCATGTGGAGCCGACACTTCCCACTGGCCCTGAGGAAAATAGCGGCTCAGGCTCTGGCATTGATTTCTAGCATGGCCAAGGACCTTCAGGCTGCAGCTGTTTCCGTGAGGCATACCTGATACACAATAACTGAGGTGACCTCTCCGCTGTCTGCCTCGTATTCTAAACAGAAGAGCTGATGGCCAGAAGGTTCTGGCTCGGAGCTGCCACTACTGCTGCTTTCACCGGACTCCTCACAGTCTGGGTTGCTTGGGTGGGTAGAGCCATCTGGAAGGATGAATCACAATGAGAGGGAAGAGGGGAAGGCTGCTGGAGCCCCTGCCCACATGAATAACACATGAAAACATACCGTAAAGGATGTAACAATCTTCTTATGGACTTTGTGCGTGTGTTATATGTTAAGTGTGGTGCCAATCGATAGTTTCATTTACCTTTGTATCCCTGCTCTGGGGCCAGCACGGTTCTATCACGTAGTAGGTACACAATCACAATGCATCTTCATCTAGTGAATAACGTTGGAAGGTAGTGCAGAGATGGCCAGAGTCCTACGTGGGTTTAAATTCAGGCTCTGCCATTTATTAGCTGTGAGACCTTGGGCAAGTTAATCTCTCTGTGCCTGTCTCCTGACTGTGAAACAGAAATGATAGTAGTTTCCATCCTAGGGGATCTAGGGAAAACTAAGTGAATTAACGTACCCAAGATCTAAAAACACTTTAGCGATCTAAAAATCGCTAAACAAATTTAGTGCCACAATAGTTAGCTATTGTGACCTCTAGGTCCCGGGGAAGCTGGAGAAAAGGCCATTTAGAATACTTAGTTTGAGTTTCATTCCACACCCATGTCCCGGTCAACTACAGGTGTGCCAAACTCTGTCAGGCCTAAAGCACGACAGCATGGTGGGCAAACCAGTAAACAACGACTTGCTGGTTCCCAGATAATTCACGTTAATCGTGATGCTTCACTGGGGGGGGGGGGGCACGAACCTTCTCTGTTCTCAGGGAGAATGTGAGTGGAGAAAGGGGAGCGTCGAGGTGAGGGTTCCGGGAAGGGACGACATGAACTGAGCCCTGCGGGTTCAAAAGCGGGTTTTTCCACGTAGAGAAAAGAGCGCAAAGAGACAGAGGGCTGGGGGCCGAAAGGGCGCGCGGGCTGGAGCAGGCAGGCGGGGCGGGCGGCCTCACCTCGGTGTCGCGGCAGGTACACCTGCAGGTCGGGTTTGCGGGGCCGCGTCGGCGCGGGCGTGTGCCGCCTCCTCGCCTTCTCCTTGGCCGCCTGCTTCACCTTCTTGTCATAGTCGTCCCTGCGGGGAGCCGAGCGGGAGTCAGGGACGGCCGGGCAGAGCTAGGCTGGGGGCGGCGGCGGGGCGGGGCGGTACCGGGCCAGCTGGTTCCGTCGGATGTGGTGCACAAAGCCGTGGCTCATGTCCAGCCGCCCGCCAGGCTTGCAGCAGACCCCCTGTCCGGGCTCTGGAGCTGCTTCCATCTGGAGCCCTGCGCTCGGAGCCGCCGCCGACTCAACGGCCCCAACGGCCGCGGTCCCGCCGGGGGAGATCCGCGCCGCCCCTCGCCGGACTTCCGGCCCCGCGCCCTGAGGTCCCGCCCCGAAAGCGCCTGCCTGGCCGAGCGTCGCCCCGCGCAGAGTTCCCGGCGCGGGTGCTGCCTCGGGGCATGCGCGGCTTCCACTCCTCTTCGGGGGATTTTCTTTGTGACATTAGCAATACGAAAGAGGACTTAGGCTGACTGCTGATACATCAGAAAATTCAGAAAAACACAAAGCACCCATTACACCACTCAGCGATCGGTGTGTGGAATCTTCCTTTCCTTTTTGTGGTGACAAAATGCTGTGTAACTCCCATCACCAGTTGCCTGACCTCGGCTGACTACTGAACGCCGCCGAGCCTCGGTTTCCTCATTTGTAAACGAGAACACAGCGCAAGTACGTCAAAAAGAGGTTGTGAGGGGGCGAGTATTCAGGCGGGTCACCCAGCGGCACGCCTGCCGCGCAGCCCCTCCAGCCCGCCCAGCGCCCGGGCCCACCGGTGGGTATGGCTTAACTGTCCCCGCGGGAGGACCCAGCGCTGTTCAAAATTTGTATATACTTTTGGAGTCCTCTTTAAAAACGGAGAGGGGCACCTGGGTGGGTGGCTCGGCTTGAGCTTCCGCCTTCGGCTCGGGGCGTGGTCCCGGGGTGCGGGAATCGAGTCCCACAGGGAGCTTCCGGCAGGGAGCCTGCTTCTCCCTCTCCTCGGGCTCTGCCTGTCTTCTCTGTCTCTCATGAATAACTTAGAAAAGGACAAAATTGGGAATTTGTGATTAGCATAGCGACACACCGGTACATCCACACATAGAACACCACTGAGTAATCAAAAGGAACAAGCTGTCGGTACAGGAAAAGGCGTGGAGGAATCTCACAATAAATTCTCCTAGCTAATAGGGCCCGGCCAAAGAGAGGACACGCCCTGGGCTTCCGTTTACATAAAGCTACTCCCCGTAGTGACAAAGCAGATGTTTGGGGAAGGACAATTTTGGAGCTGGTGGGTAGGTTTCTTATCTTAATCGTGGTGACGGTCTCAGAGTGTGTATACACCCATCCATCAGTATTTAGCGAACTGCACACTTTAAACATGCATTTGATTGCATGCCCATTCCATCTCGGTAAAGCTGGACAAACTCCATCAGGGCCGTGGAGGGGATCGCGAAGGCCACAGGCCCTGAAGTTTGAGCTTTCTTAGCTTGATCAAGGCCGTCTCTCTCTGCCTGTGGTTTGCATTTTCCTGGGACGCCGAGAACAATCCTCCAAGTGCGGAGTTGGAGTAGCTAGGTTGCTGCAGGAAGGGGATGATTTGGGGAGGTCGCCTAGTTCTCTGGTGAGCCGCGACTGTGGAGACCACCTCCCGGGCACAAAGAAGCTCGAAGAAATCCGGAGCCCAATGACACCTTTTTTTTTTTTTTTTTAAAGTCCATAAAATTATGGGTAAGGCGGCAGTAGGCCCGCAGGCTCTTCTCAGGGGCGCACGCAGAAGCTCAGAGGCCACAAGAAGCGCAATATTTCTCGCGGCACGATGTGTCCTGCACCGCGACTCGTAGAGAGCCCTGGGCACGATACCAGCGCGGCTTCTGATTGGCTCCCTGCCGCGCGCTACAGCGTGCCTGGAGCCTGCGCAGAGAGACCGGGCCGGTAGAGGAGATGTCTGGGCGATCCAAGCGTGAATCTCGTGGTTCTACCCGCGGGAAGCGCGAGTCCGAGTCGCGGGGCAGCTCGGGTCGCGTCAAGCGGGAGCGGGAGCGGGAGCGGGAAGCCGAGGCGCCGAGCTCCCGGGGCAGTCCAGTGCGTGTGAAGCGGGAGGTCGAGCCGGTGAGCGCGCGCGAGGCCCCGACGCCAGTCGTCCCGGCTGTGCGGGTGAAGCGGGAGCGCGAGGTGGACGAGGACTCTGAGCCTGAGCGGGAGGTGCGAGGTGCGCGGGGCTCGGCTGGGCGCGGGCTCGACTCTCGCTTTCTCCTTTTTCCATTTCCAACTTTCCCTGGGGGTGGGGGTGAGTGGGGAATTCACACTCCCTGGTGTCCGCGACCGGACTCGACTGCATTGTGGTGAGGACCGTACTAGTTGTCTAAGACTGTAATTTGGCCTTCCGGTCCTGGATATCTGTATATGATTATACTTTAATAGTAGCTCTTAAACTTCTTGCTTGGAATCCTCGGTTTGGGGCAGCCCCGGTGGCCCAGCGGTTTAGCGCCGTCTTTAGCCCAGGGCGTGATCCTGGAGACCCGGGATCGAGTCGCACGTCCGGCTCCCTGCATGGGGCCTGCTTCTCCCTCGTCCTGTGTCTCTGCCTCTCTCTCTCTCTCTCTCTCTCTCTGTAACAAGTAAATAAAATCTTAAAAAAAAATCCTCTGTTTGAACTATATTTGCATTTCATATAGAGTCCGGAATAGCACCTTGCTCATAGACTGCTTGATAAATATTCGTTGAATAATTAATTTCAGGATATTCTTTGATTTTTTTTTTTTAAGTGCCTTGTCAGCTTCATGTTTCCCTTTCTTTGGAAGAGACGTTGTTTCTTAGGTATCTTGTATAGTTGTGATAAGATTGTTTTTTTTTCTGGGACACACTAGAATCCCATTTGTTCTTCTGGTTTGTCTTTTTGTTTTCGTTTTGTCTTTCCCTTTTTATTTTTATGATGAACTAGATCACAGGCACCAAGATGGACCGAGTATAATGCACAAGTATGGTTTAAAGGAGAGTGAAAACATACATCCTTAAATTTGCCATTTGTCAAGAACTGTGAAGGATTTGAGATTTTATTTGCAAGCTGCCTAGGTAGCCTGCCACAGTTTTCTGGATGCTAATGAAGACCGTGGAGTTTGTAGTGTCATTCTCCACAGTGCAGTTTTTTTTTTTTTTTAAGATTTTACTTATTTATTCATAAGAGACAGAGAGAGAGAGAGGCAGAGACACAGGCAGAGGGAGAAGCAGGCTCCATGCAGGGAGCCCGACGTGGGACTCGATCCTGGGTCTCCAGGATCAGGCCCTGGGCTAAAGGCAGACGCTCAACCGCTGAGCCACCTGGGCTACCCTTGAAGGGAACTTATACTCACAGTGGAACTCTGGGCTTACAGAATTTTTTATAGTGGTTTGTGAACTTGCCTCCTATTTGCTCTGTGGGGAGATCCCTGTGTCTGTCTTCCAATGCTGTTTACTATACATCTCCTTAACAAGGTAGTCTGAAGGCAGATAGTGCCTCTGGTCACAATATGGACAGAAACATGAGAGACCCATGGACAATTGTCTCCTAATGCTATTCACCATTAGAAGTGGTACATAACCAATACCTTAGAAGCTCCCATATGCCCTTTCTCAATTGTATCTACCTTCTTTACTTGCTTAGGAATTGACTGTTCTGAATTTTTTTCTAATAATTTCTATTTTTAGTTGTATATCCCTAAATACTACTAGTTTTACTTTGTATTTGATATAAATGGAATCATACTATATGTGGTCTTCTGATTTGCCTTTTTTTACTAGCCAACTTTTTGAGGTTCATCCAAATTGGTGTTTATGGCTACATAGTGTTATATTGATGATACACCAAAATATGTTTATCTGTTTTATTTGTGGTGGATATTTGATTTGTTTCCAGTTTGGGCCCTTTCAGATACTGCTGCCATAAATATTTTTAGTAAAGCACTTGCGGTGTACATATGCAAAAGTTTCTCTCAGGTTTATAAGTTGAGATTGCTGGGTCAAAGGTTCTCAGCTTGATCTTGCTGTACTGTTTCCAGGAGGTTGTAACAGTTTACACTTCACCAGCAGTACATGAGCATTTCTATTGCTCTCTGTATTTGCCAACACTGGGAATTTTCTGATTTTATTTTTTCCTTTCTGGTAGGTGTGAAGTGGTATATCATTGCACAAGGAAATTGGCATTTTCTTGATTGTTAACGAGGGTTATATTCCTCATTTTCTGTTGGGTTGTCGTTTTCTTATTGCTTCACCAGATTTCTTTATGTAATCTGCAAATGAGTCCTTTGTTGGTTATATGGGTTTCAAATATATTCTCCCAGTTTGGTGCTTGTTCCATTAGTGGGCTTTTTGGTGTATTCCTGGGTTACCTGTGTATGAGTTCATCCTGTTTAGTTTTTCTCATTTTTTGGTTTGTACTCGTAGTTGACCCTGAGTACGAGTTTCCCATTTTCACAGCCTGTGATGATTTCCCTTTCAGCAAAGAATGGCCGTGTGGATTCTGAGGATCGGAGGAGCCGCCATTGCCCGTACTTGGATACTATTAACAGGTTGGTAGGACAGGGATGCTGAGAGCAGCAAAAAACATTGGAATCTATGCAGAAAATTCTTCGAACTGTACATCAAAAACACATTCACAAATTTTATCCCTTTTAAAGCTTTCTGCCCAGAAAATTGTGCCTCCTGCCATGTTTATTAATAGTTACCTTTTATTTATTTATTTAAAAAGATTTTATTTATTTATTCATGAGAGACAGAGAGAGGCAGAGACATAGAGAAGCAGGCTCCCTGTGGGCGATTCCATCCCAGGACCTTGGGATCACGCCCTGAGCCGAAGGCAGATGCTCAACTACGGAGCCACCTAGGTGTCTCCAATCCTTACCTTTTAATATAAAGTGTCAGAGGGCATTTTTTTTTTTTTAGGAGGTGCATGTACATAAAAAGCTTTTAGTTTATTTTGAATCTGTTTGATGGAATATATATGGTGTCCTTAAAATGACAGTGGCAAATTTAAATATTTTTTTGAGTACTTACTACATGCTAAGTACTACTTTAGATGGCTGGAATTTAGTAGAGAAAACAGATAAAAATATGTCCTAAAGCAGAAGTAGTTACTTTATCCTTGTTTCATTTCTCTAATCCCAGATGGCATCTTAAGATGTTTTTAAATTCATGCATTAAGATAGTACTGTTTAATATATAGATTAGATAAGAACTTCTCTCCGTAATGAAATGACTCTTTATAAGGGCTATTTATTGTGGCAGGCGCAAGCCATTTAGGGCTAGAGAGGACTTGAAACATGACTTGAGGGATCCCTGGGTGGCGCAGCGGTTTGGCGCCTGCCTTTGGCCCAGGGCGCGATCCTGGAGACCCGGGATCGAATCCCACGTCGGGCTCCCGGTGCATGGAGTCTGCTTCTCCCTCTCCTCTGCCTGTGTCTCTGCCTCTCTCTCTCTCTCTATGTCTATCATAAATAAATAAAAAATAAGTTTAAAAAAAAAAAAGATTTAAAAAAAGAAACATGACTTGAGGGACTCAGTTTCAAATTTTAATCATCTTGAATTTATTTATTTATTTATTTATTTATTTCAAAAAATATTTATTTATTTATGATAGACAGAGGCAGAAAAACAGGCAGAGGGAGAAGCAGGCTCCATGCCGGGAGCCTGACGCGGGACTTGATCCTGGTACTCCAGGATCGCGCCCTGGGCCAAAGGCAGGCACCAAACCGCTGAGCCACCCAGGGGTCCCCTATTTATTTTTTTAAAGATTTTAAATTTATTTATTCATGAGAGAGACACAGAGAGAAGGGCAGAGACATAGGCAGAGGGAGAAGCAGGCTGCCTGCAAGGAGCCCAATACAGGACTCGATTCGGTATTGGGGATCACGCCCTAAGCCAAAGGCAGATGCTCAACCGGCTAAGCCACCCAGGTGTCCCTAATTATTTTAAATTTAAATGTAAATATTCACTTGTGGCTGTTGGCCTCCTTTAATGGACAGTGCCGCTTTACTGGGACCATTACCAATTAATTAGAGTTAACATTTGAGGAGAAATTTCTTTGTCACCTGTGGATTCAGTGGAAGTAAAAGTTTTTTGTCCCCCCCCCCCAAAAAAAAAAAAGTTTTTTGTCCCTTAACCTGCCATGTACTCATATAACATTACTTTGCAGTTAGATAAGTACATCTATTTGTAGGTATTCTAATATTCAGGCTTCCCATTTATTTTTATGGACAAAAATAGATTTTTCTTTTATAAAAGGATTTGTTCACTCTTGATGTCTTTTCACTGCCTCTCTCTCTCTCTCTCTTTTTTTTTTTTTCCCTAGAGAAGGGGGTGGGCAGAGGAAGAGGGAGAGAATCTTGAACAGGTTCCACACCCAGCACAGAGCCTATGTGGGGTTAGATCTCACAACCCTGAATTATGACCTGAGCTGAAATCAAGAGTTGGGACATTTAACTGACTGAGCCAACCAGGTGCCCCCATCTGTAGTCTTTTATTTATGTATGTATGTATGTATGTATGTATTTATTTATTTAGTGTTTATTTATTTTTTAAAAAGATTTTATTTATTCATGAGAGACACAGAGAGAAAGAGAGGCAGAGACACAGGCAGAGGGAGAAGCAGGCTCCATGCAGGGAGCTCTACATGGGACTCGATCCCGGGTCTCCAAGATCATGCCTCAGGCTGCAGGCGGCGCTAAGCCACTGTGCAAGTGGGACTGCCCCATCCCTAGTCTTTTAATTTGGAATGTTGTTGGGGCCCTGTTGCTTTAGTCCTACTTTTTAGCTTTTCCTCCAGAGAAAGTAACTGCAATAGAACGTTTTCTACTGGTTGTAAATTAGAAAAAGAAAGAGGGTCATTGGCATTGTATGTCTGGTAGAGATACCTTGACATTGCTTTGGGAATTGGTGTGTAGGGGTGCTATATTAAATGTCTAGGGGAGGAATAATGTTCCTCACAGTTTACATATGGTCGTTGAACTATCTCTGAAGGATGCTATGTGATGTTGTGGAATGTGGAGCCAATGCTGCTTCACTTGGGGGCTTTCCTAGACATCTCTCTCTATTAATTGTTTTTTTTTTTTTCTTTTTTTCTTCTTTTGTTTGGCTCTTTTAGGAGTGTGCTGGACTTTGACTTTGAGAAACTATGTTCCATCTCCCTCTCACATATCAATGCATATGCCTGTCTGGTGTGTGGCAAGTACTTTCAGGGTAAGTAAATGTTGTATATTATAAACTTGCTAAGTTTTCAGTGCTAGCTACAGGTCTGCTCCAGAGAGGTTTTTTACTTTCTTTTAAAGAAGGTAAGCTGCTGCCAGGAGTCACATCTGAGAATATCTATCTTTATTCCCAGGCAATTGGGATACTCCTAGGAAATCAATAGGAGGTTCTTCGGTCAGAACCTGTATATGTATGAAAGGGAAGAAGAACTAGTTGAGGCTTTGTAGGAGGTCTTAAAGGCTGTGGGTTTTTGAATCTCTCATGTTTTCTGTACTCATGTCTTATTTTTTATTTTTTATTTTTTTTTGAAAATCCTTTTGCTCTGAGGGCTTTTTCATCCTATTCTTTTCTGGAACTAGTCAATTCATTCAGACCAAGCACATGCTATGTACAGTATGCTGGAGGATTCAAAAGAAACATAAACTACATTCCTTGCTCTTATAAAGAGCTCATAGTCAAGGTTAACACATAAGACAATAAGCAAACTATAAGATCATAAGGATTACTGCTGGACTGTGTGACAGTGAGTATGGATAAGGACTATGGGAGTTAAAATATGTAGAGATCAATATTAGCTGGAGCATTTGTGTTTAATTCGTGGAGGAGGTCAATGTGGGACTTGAACTGGTAGGACATAGAGGATTGAATGGGTTAAGGTAGAGAGACTCTAGAAAAGAGTGGCATTCTGAACAAAGTTACATAGGTACAGGATTGTCCTGAATGTGGGTGTTTGGAAATGCAGGACTGAATGATGATGGATATTTGTATTTGTACATGTATATATGCGTATCTATGTATGTCTGTGCATGTATTATACATAATCTATGCGTAGGTAGTCTTACTTTTAGATAAAGTGGAACTAGCTCATACATAACTGCATGCATACACACATTTCACATTTATGTGTATGAAATTAGTTTCCCTAACCAATGTTTTATGCCATCCAGGGAATAAAGTACTAATGTGCTATTCTTTTTTCCTCTTTTTTGTGATGGGACAAGGTCATGTAAGAGATTCACTGCCCAAATGGTATAGTACTTAGTTTTTGCTGGTATTAGTGTGTTCCAGTACAAAGTTATGAAAGGAAAATCAGATCTGATTTGTGTCTCTCTGGCATCTGTCCTATTCTTACAGCCTTTCATCCTTCCTTACAGGCCGAGGTTTGAAGTCTCATGCCTATATTCACAGTGTCCAATTTAGCCATCATGTCTTCCTTAACCTCCACACTCTCAAGTTTTACTGCCTTCCAGACAACTATGAGATCATCGATTCTTCCCTGGAGGATATCACAGTATGTGTCCATGAGGGTTGATTTGGAACTAGTTCTCTTGGGAGCCATCCCAGGGCTCCTGGGGATCTGCCCCACCTGAGGTTAGGGAAGAATCTCAATCCCTTGGGCTTGGAGGGGCTTCTTTTTCTTTGGGAGGAACCAGGGAGACTCTAGTAAGAAGGTCAGGATTCATAATTGTGGTCTGATCTGTAGCCTAGCTGTTATTTCTGCTTTTCATGTTGAGAGTTAGGACTAAAGAAATATGGCTATTTTCTAACTTTAGGACTAAAGAAATATGGCTACTTTCTAACTTTAGGACTAAAGAAATATGGCTACTTTGTGAACTATATTAAGCTTTCACACTTTGGAATAGGGATATGAATTGGGCCTGGTGTAGGACAGTGGATATCAAGCTGCATACCAGCTCCTGGCTACTTTTGATACGATGCGGCCAGAATGGCCAGTGTATCCCATATGCGGGCTCTGGTGTGTGATCTGTGCCAAGAGTCCCTGTATTTTTTTTTTTTCCTTTTTAAAGATTTTTTTTTTTTAATTTTTATTTATTTATGATAGTCACAGAGAGAGAGAGAGAGGCAGAGACACAGGCAGAGGGAGAAGCAGGCTCCATGCACCAGGAGCCCGACGTGGGATTCGATCCCGGGTCTCCAGGATCGCGCCCTGGGCCAAAGGCAGGCGCTAAACCGCTGCGCCACCCAGGGATCCCTCCTTTTTAAAGATTTTTAAGATTTACTTACTCATGAGAGACACAGAGACAGGGCCAGACACCTAGGCAGAGGGAGAAGCAGGTTCCCTGCGGGGAGCCTGATACAGGATTCAATCCCAGGACCCTGGGATCACAACCTGGGCCAAAGGCAGACCCTCAACCACTGAGCCATCCAGGTGCCCCAAGAGTCACTGTACTTAAGTGGAGAGCATGGAAAGTCTTCTTGGGTTTGATTAATGTTGGAACTGTTGATTATTATTTTCCTTTTAAGCAAGTGTCTACATACATATGTTGACTGCTCTGTTCATTTTCAAGGAAAGCTTGGTGTTCAGAGTTTTGAAACATTATTTATGCTGCTTTTATAAGTTTTATAGGCCTATTAATAATTGAGGTTAAAGTAGTTCTAATACTTGGAGAAAGAGAAACAAATAAATGCAAGGTTTTAAAATGAGTTAGTAGAAGACCTCTGTTCAGCCCTTTAGATAATGACCCTTGTAATTCTGGGACTGGGGAAGGTTCTGTTCCTGCCCCTCTAACCACAGAGAATTCATGAGATCTCAGGTTTGCATTCCTGCTTTTGTGCTGGGCCTATAATGGCTCTGTGTGAAGTCCCATGTGAGATTCCTCCTCCTGCTGCTTGCAGAAACTTGAGTGTCCTCCAGCTTCTGACAGTCATTTATCATGGAGTTGGCCAGACCTGGGGCTTGAGGAAAGACCTAGGATTCAGTGATTTTGGGTTAAACACAGAGATCCCTTTCTACATTAATAATGTGGAGAGGGCCTGTTCCAAATTACCTCAGCCTTTATACCTATTGTTGGGAGCCCTTTGGGTGTGTGGTGAGGCATTCACAACCAAAGTGTTTCTTGTTTCTGGCAGAAATTGCTATTTCAGATAGATCTTGTGAACTCTGTAGCAGTCCTGCAACAGCTTGGAATTTTCTTTTGCTTTGCAGTATGTGTTGAAGCCCACTTTCACAAAGCAGCAGATTGCAAACTTGGACAAGCAAGCCAAACTCTCCCGGGCATATGATGGTACTACTTACCTGCCAGGTATTGTGGGCCTGAATAACATAAAGGCCAACGACTACGCCAACGCTGTCCTTCAGGTAGGATCAGGATGGGAACAGTGGGGGAGGGAGAGAGGTAACCTGGGAATACCATGAAGTTTAGCCAAGAAATGACTCCCTTCTGTTATGATCAATGGTTCTTGAAGACACCAAGTCTTGCTGAGGACTGTACGTGACTATTCTTTTTTTTTTTTTTTTAAGATTTTATTTATTTATTAGAGAGAGGGAAAGAATGAGTGGGAGAAGGGAGGGCCAGAGGAAGAAGGAGACTTTCGGCTGAGCAGGGAGCCTAACACCAGACTGGATCCCAGGTCTCTGGGATCATGACCTTAGCTGAAGGCCCACGCTTAACCAGCTGAGCCACTGAGGTGCCCCTGTACTTGAGTGTTCTATATCAAACAGAACATTTCTGTGTCAGCTCAAAGGGCTGCTGCCAGATGGTGAGGCCTCTTCTAGCCTCTGGAGTCAGTGGCCTCTGGAGTTTTCAAGGAATGAAGGATAGAATGTGTGTATGGCTTGGGAGTACCAAATAAGAAACATATGTGCAAGATGGGGTGTGTGTGTGTGTGTGTGTGTGTGTGTGTGTGTGTGTGTGTGTGAGAGAAATAGTGCAGATGTTCCTGTGCTAGTTGTCTGATGTCTTGATCCTGCTCTTAAGCTTAAGGCTTGAACTGAGGAATGCAGAAAACCAGAGTTGTCTTATTTGCAATTAAGGTTTGTTTATGTAGAGGCGCCTGGGTGGCTCAGTAAGTTAAACATCTGCCTTTGGCTCAGGTCATGATCCCTGGGTCCTGGAATGGAGCCCTGCATCTGTCTCCCTGCTCAGCGAGGAGCCTGTTTCTCCCTTTCCCTCTGCCTGCCACTCCCGCTGCTTGTGCTCTCCCATTCTCTGTCAAATAAATAAATAAATTCTTCAAAAAAAGTTTTTTTAAACAAACTGAGTAATATTATGCATTGTAGGATGGTTAGAAAATGTTGATAAACACAAGAAAATTAATAATTTTGCTTAATTGACCAAAATTAATTAAAAAAACAAATATCTTTTTGGGGGTAGAAGATATAGAAAGTTTAAAGTGAAGTCTTCATTCTTCCCTTTCTCTAGTAGTCCATTATGGACTGGTTTAAAAGCAAATTTTGAAAGAGGCATCTGGGTGGTTCAGTTGTTTGAGCATCTGATTCTTGATTTTGGCTTAGATCATGATCTCAGGGTTGTGAGATTGAGTCCTGCCTTAGGCTCCCTCCTCAGCGCTGAGTGTGCTTGAGATTCTCTCTTCCTCTGTCCCTCCCCCTGCTCATGTGCTCTCACATACTCTTTCTTTTCTTTTCTTTTCTTTTCTTTTCTTTTCTTTTCTTTTCTTTTCTTTTTTTTTCTTTTCTTTTCTTTTCTTTCTTTCTTTCTTTCTTTCTTTCTTTCTTTCTCTCTTTCTCTTTCTTTCTTTCTTTCTCTAAAATAAAGAAAAAATTAAGAAAAAGGTATATTATGAAATCATTACTGGGATACTTCATTTTATTGCACTTTGCTTTATTATACCTCTCAGATGTTCTTTTTACAAATTGAAGGTTTGTGGCAACCCTGTGTTGAGGAAATCTCTTTTTTTAAAGATTTTATTTGTTCATGATAGACCCAGAGAGAGAGAGAGGCAGAGACACAGGCAGAGGGAGAAGCAGGGTCCATGCAGGGAGCCTGATGCGGGACTTGATCAAGGAACTCCAGGATCATGCCCTGGGCCGAAGGCAGACAGACACTCAGCTGCTGAGCCGCCCAAGCATCCGGAGGAAATCTTTCAACACCAATTTTCCAATAGCATTTGCTCGCTTCTTGACTCTCACAGTTTGAGAATTCTTGCAGTACTTCAGGTTTTTTATTATATTTGCATCGCTGCAATCTCATGATAAAACTTTAGTGAATGAGGAGTTGTTTCTTACGAATGAGTGAAGAAAGTGGTTTCTTGAGGTGGAATCTACTGGTGAAGATGCTGTGAGGATTGTGGAAATGACCACAAAGGATTTGGAGTATTACATAAACTTAGTTGATGAAGCAGTAGCAAGGTTGTAAAGGATTGACTCTAATTTTGTAAGTGGTGCTGTGGGTAGGATGCTATCCAACAGCATTACATGCCATAGAGAAATTGTTTATGAAAGGAAGATTCAGTTGTTACCTTATTTTAATAAACTGCCACAGTCACCCTAGCCTTCAGCAACCTAATCAGTCAGTAGCCATCAGCATGGAGGCAAGACCTTCCACCAGCAAAAAGAGAGTGACTCACTGAAAGCTCAGGTGATGGTTAGCAATTTTTTTTGTTAGAGAGAGTGTGAGCATGAGTGGGGTGAGAGGAGGGACTGAGGGTGGGGAAGAGACAGAATCCTCAGCAGGCTCCATGCCCCTTGGGGAGCTTGACATGGGGCTCAGTCTCACAATCCTAAGGTTTGACCTTAGGATTGTGGTCAATCCTAAGGTCATCCTCAGGTTTGACCTGAGCCAAAATCAAGAGTAGGATGGTTAACCCACTGAGCCACGCAGGTGCCCGGATGGTTAGCATATTTTAGCAATAAAGTATTTTTAAATTAAGGTATGTATGTTGTTTTAATTTTTTAATTTTTTAATTTTTTGTATGTTGTTTTTATAGATAGAAGCTATTGCATACTTAAAGATTACAGTGTAGTGTAAACATAACCTTTAGGATGCATTGGGAAACCCCAAAAGTTCATTTGACTCTCTTTATTGTAGTATTATTTATTGTGATGGTTTGAAACCGAACCTGTGATACCTCTGAAATAGGCTTGTACGTATTCTTGTGCAGCATCTTTAATAATTATATTTAATCCATTTTGTGGATGCATTAAAGCTTAATCATCACCTCTGTCTTAGTGTATTTAAGGCATAGGAGGGGACAGTGGGGAGACTGGGCTATAGGATGTTTGTAGCAATTCCCATACCCATCAACAACACAAAAGAGGATTCATCTTGCATTGTCACACTTTCCTCCCCATTTTGATACATTTAATGTACCTTTCCTCATTAGCTTCTAAAATTGATTATTTACATTTTTTATTTTTATTTTTATTTATTTATTTTTTTAATTTTTATTTATTTATGATAGGCACACAGTGAGAGAGAGAGAGGCAGAGACACAGGCAGAGGGAGAAGCAGGCTCCATGCACCGGGAGCCCGACGTGGGATTCGATCCCGGGTCTCCAGGATCGCGCCCTGGGCCAAAGGCAGGCGCTAAACCACTGCGCCACCCAGGGATCCCTGTTTACATTTTTTAATGTGATGTTGGGATGTATGTACTCATTTTTCTATTGGTGGTTTATTTCACTGAGCTTTAAGAGATATATATTAGCCTTTTTTTGGTAGCATATATATATATATATATATATATATATATATTTTTTTTTTTTTTAAGATTTTATTTATTTATTCATGAGAGACAGCGAGAGAGACAGAGACAGAGAGGCAGAGATACAGACACGGCAGAGGGAGAAGCAGGCTCCATGCAGAGAGCCCGATGTGGGACATGATCCCGGGACTCTGAGATCACGCCCTGAGCAGAAGGCAAAACAAACGCTCAACCGGCGAGCCAGGCATCCTATTGTATATGTTATAAACATTTCCTTCCAGTTCTTAGGGCTTTAAACTTTGCTTATGGTATTTTTGCATAAAGAATTAGGGTAAAAAATTATGAAGTTTTTGTTAGTTTTGGTGTGTGTGACTGATGTCATGCTTTAGACCCTGGAAAGGTCAAATTCTTAGGTAGCGAGAGACTTTGCTTCTCTTATGGTCTTTCATGGCTTTGTGAAGACTTGCAAGTGAACAAAGGATTTGAAGCCTGACATTAGCCTTGGCTTTGTGATGGGTTTTAGTTCCTATGGGAAGTTTTTATTTATAAAATAAGGAGATGAACAAACCCTTTGTGATATTATTGCTGCTAGAATGGGATTGAATGGATGAAATACTCCATCTGGAGGCTGAATAGTTTCTCTCTGACACTTACTTTTTGTATTGTTGCCCCTGAGCAGCCTTCCTCCAGAGCTTGGAGAACTGAGAACTAGGACGAACTTTATCCAGATTGCTTTCCTTTAGATAGTAACTCATTTTTTGGTAATTATTCTCTAAGCATGAAGTTCTTGTTTAGCTGAGCTCAGTTTGCAGGGGCTTTCCTGATCATGTCTGTTGTTACGGTACTCCCTGTGTCTGGAGTTGTCCTGAGTTGTCTTCCGCTAAGACACCTGGGTTTATTGTGTCCAGCAGAAACCTGTCCTTCTTTCTAAATGGATTACCTTGCCAAAAAAGTTGTGCCCATAGTAAGCACAGTACTGGTAAGGATTCACAAACCAATTAGGAGGGGACTGTGGGGAGACTCTGTCTATTTAAGGTCTCTTCTGTGGTCTCCCTCCCAGTTTTGTAGCTCATACTAGTGAGCATGTATTTCTTCCTGAACCCACATGGCTAGTATTGATCGTTCTGCCTCATGAGGTAAAATGTATTTTTGTTTTCCTAAATCTTTTGACCATTTCAATCCTATTTTTTTTTAATTTTTATTTATTTATGATAGTCACACACACACACACAGAGGCAGAGACATAGGCAGAGGGAGAAGCAGGCTCCATGCACCAGGAGCCCGACGTGGGACTCAATCCCGGGTCTCCAGTATCGCGCCCTGGGCAAAGGCAGGCGCCAAACCGCTGTGCCACCCAGGGATCCCGACCATTTCAATCCTAACAGAATCAGTCCCTTTTATGTATATGTTCATTTTGTGTCATGTTTCTATAGAATTCATTTTTATTTCATTTTGTTTATATTTATTACCACTCTCTCAGTAAATACCACATTTGGGAAAAACACCCGATTTTAAGATAATTTACATGATATTTCATTTTATTTTATTTTTTTAAAAGATTTTATTTATTCATGAGACAGAGAAAGGCAGAGACATAGGCAGAGGGAGAAGCAGGCTCCCTCTGGGCAGCCCAGTGTGGGACTCAATCCTGGGACTCCAGGATCATGCCCTGAGCTGAAGGCAGGTGCTCAACCACTGAGCCACCTGGGCATCCCCATATTATTTTTATGTACAATGAAGAGATGTGGGATCTTTGGCCTCCAGGTAGTAATCTGTACCCTAGCCAAATGGAGTATTTAGGTTTCTAGCTCTCAATTCCTTATGAATCTAAAGATAGTCACAGGCCTAATTAGAGTAAATAAAGGAAATTATTTTAAAAAGCTGATCAGTGGGGGCATCTAGGTGGCTCAACCAGTAAGCATCTAAGAATAAAATCTTAAAAAAAAAAAAAAAAAGTTGGTCAGTGAATAGGGACTTAAATACTTTTTTTTTTTTTTTTTTTTATTTCTTTGGGGCACCTGGCTGGCTTAGTTGGTGGAGCATGTGACCCTTGACTTGGGATTGTGAGTTCAAGCCCCATTTTGGGAATAGACATTGCTTAAAAAAAAATTAAAATTGGGATCCCTGGGTGGCGCAGCGGTTTGGCACCTGCCTTTGGCCCAGGGCGCGATCCTGGAGACCCGGGATCGAATCCCACGTCGGGCTCCCGGTGCATGGAGCCTGCTTCTCCCTCTGCCTATGTCTCTGCCTCTCTCTCTCTCTCTGTGACTATCATAAATAAATAAAAAATTAAAATTGTAACAAAACTTCTTCATTATGTCTATGTCAGTTAAGTGTCTACAGAACTGGACTTTATGTGAAATAGTACAGAGTTGTTTCTATAACATGAACTTTAAACCTGAGCATTTCCTTCTGCCTCTTGAGGGCCATCACAGGCCCAATTCTAGTAGAAGAGCTTGTTTCCGGGGTTGTGTGCAGGGCCCTGCATGGGGGTTCTGGATTAATTGGAGTGTTCTACTTCTAGGCTTTGTCTAATGTTCCTCCTCTACGGAACTACTTCTTGGAAGAAGATAATTATAAGAACATCAAGCGTCCTCCGGGGGATATCATGTTCTTGTTGGTCCAGCGTTTTGGAGAGCTGATGAGAAAGCTCTGGAACCCTCGAAATTTCAAGGCACATGTCTCTCCCCATGAGATGCTTCAGGCTGTTGTCCTTTGCAGCAAGAAGACTTTTCAGATCACCAAGCAAGGTAAGGAACGAGTCCTTCATCTTTTCTAATGGGGTAGGGCAACAAAACCAGTTTGATGAGCAAATTTACTTGCACTTGAAGTGAACCTTGTTGTAACTGGGTGTGCTTCTAGTTGATAGCATGATTGGGTTCCTCATTCCTTTCATCATTCTGCCCTGCTCAGAATCCTGTGACTTCATCTGGATAGAAAGTCTGTCTTATTTGGTAAACTAAACTGTATGGCTGAGGGGAAGATGAGGAGGCTTTGAGAAAGGCACCAGCCCTGAAGCACTTGCCATGTTTGCTTCTCATTTTGTCATTCTGCAGACTAGATACTCCAATGACCTATTTTGACTCTTTTCATCCCTCCTAAGTACAACTAGTTATTGCCATGTGAGTAGAGAGGACACTCTGTAGCTCTTAGCACCTGGATCTCATACAGCATCCTCTTGCCTCGTGTCTGTTTATTCACCATCCTTTCGTGCTGCTAGTAGGTTTTAGAGCAACAGGGATAAGCTGCACAGTTTTTTTCTTCCAGGAGCTCCTATTCTAGTGGGGAAGATAGTTGTGTAAAAAGCTGACTCAAGGGTGTAAGTGCTATGATAGATGAAGTGAAGTATGCTTTGGGAGGGGGCATGAAGCAAGGAGTCCCAGCTGGGCACCTGGGAAGTTGGCCGGGGTCAGAGTGGAGGAAGAGCTAGCTGAGTTCTAGGCACAGTGGAGATAGGTCAGGGCTGGGCATTCCAGGTAGCGAGGATGCTTCCAACAGCGTGGACATGCCTGGAACAGATGGAAGGCTGCCAGTAGCCAGGTGCCTAGAGTCCAGGGGACAGTGTGAGAGCTGAGGTGGGAGGGAGGGACTAGATCATCCGGTTTAGGTGCCATAAAGAGGAGCTTGGGTTATACCCTGACAACAGTGGGGAGTTAGTGAAGGCCTTTAGGCCAAGATGTGACATCAGACTTAAGTTTTAAAAACATGATTCAGGCTGAGGAGTGATTTAGAGGGGAAATTTAATACTGGCTTTTGGTGGGTGGCGAGATACAAGTTCGAAGTAGAGATGATAATCGAAGGTACTAGTTGGGTCAGAGAGCCCAAGGAGAGAGTGAAGACTGGAAGACTAAGAGCTTGACCTTGAGGAGTGCCAGCATTTACTGACCAAATAGAAGAGGCAGCCAGGGGAAGGAATGGTGAGGCTTAGAAGGAAAGGAAAACCAGGAATGTGACATCATGCCAGCCAGTGCATGGTTTGTGTTATACTAATTGCCAGCTTTGACGTGTCCCACCCTTCCTTCTTTTCCAGGGGATGGAGTTGACTTCCTGTCCTGGTTTCTGAATGCTCTGCACTCAGCTCTGGGGGGTACAAAGAAGAAAAAGAAGAGTAAGTCATTTTCTTTTGTAAGAGCTCTTTTCTGTTTACTTTTTTTTTTTTTTTTAAGATTTTATTCATTTATTCACGAGAAAGAGAGAGGCAGAGACATAGGCAGAGGGAGAAGCAGTCTTCATGCAGGGAACCTGATGCGGGACTTGATCCCAGGATCATGCCCTGAGTCAAAGGCAGACGCTCAACGCTGAGCCACCCAGGGATCCCTGTTTGCTTGTTTTTACGGCACTTTGCAACTTCCCATCCTTTTCTTAACTGTTTATTTTTTTGTGTCAGGGTAGTGTCTATGTACACGTGAACTAAGCTTTATTCCTGAACAGGCTCCTCTCCATTTAAAAAAATTAGGATATGGTTATTATCTGATGGCATGCTTAGTTAATACATGGAAATGGATACAATTGCGCTCTAGAAATCCTGATCCAGTTCTATGCTGAGGGGCTGGCAGCATTTTGTCAACTGGTAGTCTGGTAGTGCAACAGTTAATGTGAGGAGGGCTCACTGAGCTGTTTGTGTGGCTTCTAAATTGGTAAAGCAGAGTAAAAGCTAGTTCCTCCCCCTGAGCCTGTACTTGGAGAAATGAGGCTGTCTTCCAAAAAGATTCTCAGTCTTCAAGTCCTCTATCCTTAATATCCATGTTGGCATTACAACTAGATGGTTTCCATGAATGCCAAAATTAACCGTTAGCTTAGAGACTGCTGAGCTAGATGAATAGTTTTGGAGACCTAATGCAGTTTTTTTCTTGTCCTTTTTTCGGTTCTGCTGGTGTTGATGTTTATATTGATGTGGAATTGTGGGCTGGCGTTCTTTCTACTAGGTTGCCGTGCCACCTCTGCTGGATGTCTTCAGCCTGTGCACATCCTCTGATGAATTCTGTAACATGTGTCCTATCAGGATTCTAGAACCCTGTTGTTGTTTCTCTCTCATTGCTTTGGTTCTCTTCTCTATCCTGTCCCTTAGTCTGCATTTCTTTTATTATTTATTTATTTATTTATTTATTTATTCATTCATTCATTCATTCATTCATTCACTCATTCATTCATTCATTTATTTATTTATTTATTTTTAAAGATTTTATTTATTTATTCAGGAGAGAGACAGAGAGAGAGAGGCAGAGACACAGGCAGAGGGAGAAGCAGGCTCCACGCAGGGAGCCCGATGGGGGACTCGATCCCGGGACTCCAGGACCATGCTCTGGGCCGAAGGCAGTTGCTAAACTGCTAAGCCACCCAGGGATCCCCTCTGCATTTCTTTTATGTCTAGCGCAAGGTGGACTCCTGTCTTCCTTTGCATACAGCGTATGGTTATGGGACATTCTTTGGATCTGTCTTATTTTGCTTATGAATTTTTTTGTGATAAGTCTCTAGGCCTTATAAATCATTCATTCATTTCAAACACACTTAATTTTTCTCTTATGGGCCAGACCCTGTGCTGGAGGGTCAAGGGGCATCTTGTGGAGAAGACAGACATAAAATAATTACTTGCACAAATAATGTAAGGTACCATGGTGGTATATGTTACATAGGTACTTCTGTGTTTAGTGAGAGCTTTAGGTCTTATGCTAGAAGATGCTGGTTTATTTCATAAATTTAGAAGTTAGGACTATATTTTGGAAATGCTTTCCAACCTGACAGAATTTGCATTTTGATTCCCATTTGTACAGCTATTGTGACTGATGTTTTCCAGGGGTCTATGAGGATCTTCACTAAAAAGCTTCCTCATCCTGATCTGGTGAGTTGAACCTCAACCTGACTCTTGGCCTGATTTATCTTGCCTGAGAGGATTTAGGGTTGACAAAGAGAGTCTTAGAGAGCTATCAAGGCCCGTTGCCCCAGGATGAGGTTCTATACAACCCTGCCCAAGTGACAGTTCCTTAGATTCCTGTCACACCGGTGTGTTCATTAAGTTTGGAAGTTAGCCACTGGGTGGTGCTGGTGTGGTTTTTCAGAAAGGTCAGATGAGCTTTCTAAACCATTTGGAAATATTTTAAAAAGTCCGATATTTAAGTTAAATGTCTTTGGAGATGGAAGTCCATCGGTTTTTGCATTACCCTAACCAGGTGGTGCTGCCCATGAAATGCGCAATCTCTTGGGTACCCTTTTCATTCACTTACAAACAAAAGGAAGTAAACGTAACAAAAACGTTTTCTTTTCGTGTGATGGTCTCTACTGCTTATTCTCCTTCCCTCCTTTATCTTCTCCTTCATTTCTAGCCAGCAGAAGAAAAAGAGCAACTGCTGCATAATGATGAATACCAGGAGACAATGGTGGAGTCCACCTTCATGTACCTGACACTCGATCTCCCTACTGCTCCCCTCTACAAGGATGAGAAAGAGCAGCTCATTATCCCTCAGGTGCCGCTCTTCAACATCCTGGCCAAGTTCAACGGTATCACTGAGAAGGTAGCCCATTTGCACAGCTGCCTGCTGATGCCCCTTTCTCGGTTGATTTTTTTCAGTTTCTTTTTATTTTTTATTTATTTTTTAAACATTTTAAAAATTATTTTTATTTATTTATTCATGAGAGAGAGAGAGGCAGAGACACAGGCAGAGGGAGAAGCAGGCTCCATGCTGGGAGCCCTATGTGGGGCACGATCCCGGGTCTCTAGGATCAGGCCCCGGGCTGAAGGCAGCGCTAAACCGATGAGCCACCCAGGCTGCCCCCAGTTTCTTTTTATACTTTGAGGTCACCATGTGTGTGGAATGCATTTATCATAAAACGTATTACCCTGTATTGAGGCTCCCAGACTCCATGCTGTTTCTAGTGGATTATCCCAACTCTTAACTTGATTTGCTGTGCCCTTTCTTATCCTTCTCTTATGTTCCTTTAATCCATCTGCCTCTGGGTAGGTTGGAGAAAGGAGGGGATATTTAGGACAGTAGACGCTCAGAAAAGTAGGAAAAACTCCCATCTTTTAAAAAATGTAGTGTCAATATTAAAGTGGAAAAAAACAGAGCCAAAATATAAATAAAGTGAAATAACTTATTCTGTCACATTACTTTTTTTTTTTTTTTAAGATTGACCTACTTGAGAGAGAGCATACGCACATGTGCATGAGCAGGGGAGGGGAGGAGCAGAGGGAGAGAGAATCCTGAAGTAGACTTCCTGCTGGGTGCAGACCGGATGCAATGCAGGGATCGATCCCAGGGCCCCGAGATCATGACCTGAGCCAAAATCAAGAGTTGAATGCTTAACTGATGGACCAGCTAGGCACCTCTATGATACTACTTTTTATGAAGTTAAAAGTATCTTATCTATTGGATTAACTGTTTCTTGGTTTAATTGCCTTTTTCATGCTAGACAGATTTAATCCTTTTGGTTCTTTACTGGAAGAATTTTTTTTTAAAGATTTTATTTATTTATTCATGAGAGACACAGAGAGAGGTGCAGAGACACAGGCAGAGGGAGAAGCAGGCTCCATGCAGGAAGCCTTATGTGGGACTTGATCCCAGAACTCCGGGATCACACCCTGAACTGAAGGCAGACGCTCAACCACTGAACCACCCAGGCATCCCAGAATTTTTTTAACTTAATGTCTCATTCCCTACTGTTTCTGCCTTTTCATTAGCTAAGGTTCTTTTGTTTTCAGATACTAAATACCCATAAAAAGTTCACTAAAAGAGAAACTGTATTGAAAGGCATCTATCTCTTTAGGATCTTAGGGAGACTTGAACTGAGCAGGACTTGGAAGGATGAAACGAGAGCGCAGGTGTTGTCAGAAGTGGCGGTCTGTTGATTGTCCCTTGTACAGGCTGCCATTACCTTATCTCCAAGGCCCTGCCTCTGCTCCAGGTTCCCTGGACAGAGTTGAAAGGCCTGTTTGAATCAGGTGTCCATTCTGTTCAAGGACCCTGTGACTAGGGGCCTTTCCTTGAAAAGGCTGAATTGTGAGCTTGACAAGCACCCCAGAACTCCAAAACACACCTCACCTGACCTCCATCACTGTTTCTGTCCAGTGCCCAAGTCCGTTGTCAGGTACTGTTAGCAAGTTTAGTAAGCAAAACAGTCTCTTGATGTCATGTATAGTGGCAGCTGCACATGTCTCTCACATACACGCACATACACACACACACAGATTGGTAACAATGATACCTAAGATGTCTAACCTGTGTTTTAGACTCATTTCTTTTTGGGGAGGTGAAAGAGACACTTTAGGGTTTGTGTAGCTCAATTTCTTTATTTCATGATTTTAAGTGACAGAACTGGGAATCTAAACTCAGATTTTTCATCTGACTTTTTCAGCCATGCCACTCTTGGTCCCTGTTATCACTGTTTGTTCAAACTTAAGTAATTTTGAGATTCCCATGAACCCTCAGTATCGATTTAAATTGATTTTTACTATAATAATACTTTAGCTAGTATAAATGTAAACTTCAGTATAAGCTCATTATACCTATAGCTTTTAAGCAAGCATGAAATTATAACACGTTTATAAGTTATGCAGAGGGGGATCCCTGGGTGGCTCAGCAGTTTAGCGCCTGCCTTTGGCCCAGGGTGTGATCGTGGAGTCCCAGGATCAAGTCCCACATTGGGCTCCCTGCATAGAGCCTGCCTTGTCTCTGCCTCTCTGTCTCTGTGTCTCTCATGAATAAATAAATAAAATGTTTTAAAAAAAAAAGTTACGCAGACAAAACTTTGAAACTAATAAAATTGATTAATGGTGCTATTACAATATGATGTGTAGTTACAGCTAAATTATTCCTTGCTATATGAATGTGGTTTGCTGTCCATGGTGAAGTCCCCTGCCCCACCATTTTCTCAGGAACTCCTGAGAAAACTTTGAGGCTGTGATATCATTTAGGTGTTAAATCTTTCCCTAGTCTGAGATAATTAAAAAGAATGCTTCTTGAGGTCTACTTGTTCATAGATTTAGATATAACAGTGAAATCTCTTAGCATTTACCTGATTAAAAATTTTTTTTGGTGGGGGGCACCTGGCTGGCTCAGTCGGGGGAGCATGTAACTCTTGATCTTGGGGTTGTAATTCAAGCCCCACATTGGGTGTAGAGATTACTTAAAAACCTTTGGGGCACCTGGGTGGCTCAGTTGGTGTAGTGTCTGCCTTCAGCTCAGGTCATGATCTTGGGGTCTTGGGATTAAGCTCTGCATTGGGCTCTCTGTTTAGCGGGGAGTCTGCTTCTCCCTCAGACCTTTTCCCCTCCCCGCTCCTGCTTGTGCTCTCGCTCACTGTGTTCTCACACAGGCACACGTGCTCTGTCTCTCAAATGAGTAAATTAAAAAAAAAATTAAAAAAAACCCCAAACTTTAATTTTTCTTTTTTGGCTTTTAACACAGTATGTTATTTCAACCACACAGAAGATACTTGATACCAACAAAAAGATATTTTTTCCAGTAGTGTTTATATTTGTAGATGATCAAAAATTTGTCAGAAGTGTGCCTATGGTGTGTGTACCAGAGATGGAAAGCTTATTTCTCCAGTGTTCTCAGGTTACTCATCATGTGACAGGGAACTTGATTTAAAAAAAAACAACACACAGCTTTATTGAGATATAATTCACATACCATACAGTGAACCCATTTAAGGTTTATAACTGAGGGCACCTGGGTGGCTCAGTTGGTCAAGTGTCACCCTTTGGCTCAGCTCATGATCTCGAGGTCCTAGGATCAAGCCCTTTGTTGGGCTCCTTCTTCCTTAGGGAACCTGCTTCTCCCTCTGTCTCACGTGAATAAATGAATAAAATCTTTAAAAAAATGAAGTTTATAATTGAATGGTTTTTACTATATCCACAGATTTGCTACCACCACAGTTAGTTTTAGAACATTTTCATCATTTGTGTTTTCATCACCCTTTAGTTACCATCTCAACCTTCTCTCCCCTAGCTATAGGCAGCCTTTTTATTTTTTTTTTCAAGATTTTTAAAAATTTATTTGACAGAAAGATATAAGCAGGGGAAGTGGCAGGCAAAGGGGGGGGAGGGTGGCTTCCCACTAAGCAGGGAGCCCGATGCGATGTGGGGCTCCATCCCAGGACCCCGGGATCATGACCTGAGTCAAAGGCAGATGCTTAACAATAGAGCCATCCAGGTGCCCCCCATAGGCAACTTCTAATCTACTTTCTCTCTCTGGATTTGCCTATTCTGGACATTTCTTATAAGTAGAATTCTGTAATATGTGGTCTTCTATGATTTGCTTCTTTCACTTAGTGTAATGTTTTTAAGGTTCATCCATATTGTAGTATGTGTCACTACTTCATTCCTTTTTGTAGCCAAATAATATCTCATTGTGTGAATATACCATATCTCGTTTATCCGTACAGCAGTCAATGGACATTTGGGATTGTTTCTACCTTTCGGCTACTGTCAATAATGCTGCCATAAATATTAGTCTACAAGTTGTCCTGTGAACGTGTTTTCATTTCTCTTGGGTGGTAATTAAGCGAAATTGTTAGGCTTTCTGGTAACTTGTTTAGCCATTTGAGGAACTGCCAGACTATTTCCTGAAGTGGCTACACTGTGTTGTATTTCTGTCAGTAGTGTAGGAGTGTTCCAGTTTGTCTACATCTTCACCTTCATCTAACAGTTGTTATTGTTCATCTTCTGAGTTAGAGACATCCTACCTAATAGGTGTGAAGTGGTAGCTCATTATGGTTTTGAGTTGTATTTCCGTGATGACTAATGCTGTTAAGTGTCTTTTCATGTGGTCCTGGGCCCTTTGTGTATCATCTTTGGAGAACTGTCTCTTTAGATCCTTTGTATATTTTTTAATTGGGTTATCTATTTATTATTGAGTTGGAATGCTTTATATCATCTGGATTCCAGTCCTTTATCAGATATCTGATTTCGCAGACATTTTCTCCTCTTTTGTAGAGTGCATCTTCACCCTCTTGATAGTATTGTTTGAAGCATAGAAGATTTAAGTTTCGATGAAATTCTGTCTAGGTGTTCTTTTGAAGTGTGTGCTTTTGGTTTCATATGTAAGAATCCATTGTTAAATCCCAGGCCTGGAAAATTTACCCTTATGTTTTCTTCTAAGACTTTTGTGGTTTTAGTTCTTAGATCTGCTAGGATACTCTCAAATGATAAGCAGCCCCTCACTGCTTCAAAAGTACTTGTTCAGTGGGTGTATGCCTCTCTGGTCAGGAGGTGCTTCTTTATTTTGAATTCAGTGAGACTTTTGTCGTTTTAATTCTGCAGCTTTTAACAAATCTTGTTTTTCATCTGACATTTTTGTTTTTATTGTAAAAACACACACACACATTGCCATGGGTGGAGTTCAGCAGCATGCTCATGTGCTGGTGTAAACATGGCCCGCAGTTGTATTTTAGGCAACCTTAGCTGCATTGCTGTCCCAGACCCTTTATGTGGCTTCTGGAATCAGGTGTCTTCTGAATTCTTAAGCACAAGGTAGGATTATATTTAAAAATCAAAGGGGACCTGGGTGGCTCAGTGGTTGAGTGTCTGGTTGTGATCTCAGGGTCCTGGGATTGAGTCCTGTATCAGGTTCCCCTCAGGGACCCTGCTTCTCCCACTACCTATGTCTCTGCCTCTCTCTCTGTTTCTCATAAATAAATAAAGAAAATCTTAAAAAAAGATTTTAACAAGCCAAAACAAAACTTACTCCCTGCCCCAGTATTCCAGCACTGATCTGATAATTTCCCTCTTACTATTTCTAGGAATATAAGACCTACAAGGAGAACTTTCTAAAGCGCTTCCAGCTCACCAAGCTCCCTCCATATCTCATCTTTTGTATTAAGAGATTCACTAAAAACAATTTCTTTGTGGAGAAGAATCCAACTATTGTCAACTTCCCTATTACGTGAGTATTCTCTTGCTTCACTTCCTCTTAGGGGTAGTGAGCCTGAATCTCTTTTCATATTTTTGTACCATTAATTTGGGTCTGTCTTAGAGATTGCTGGGAACAGAGCCTACAGACACTGTGTAAGTTAAGGGTTCTTGTTGGAAAGATACAAATATTTCAGGGACTTCAAAGATAGATGTTTACCTTGAGGCGGTCTTCCTTTCACCTTTTCTCCTCTTGTCCTCTTGCTTGTTGGGAAGTGTGTAGTCTTTCAATGTAGGGAAAAATAGTTGATGAAAGTAGGGCAGGACAGGTAGGATGCTGCCTGGCCATGAAGATGCTCTCGGGCAGTTGGAGTCTGACTATCTTGGTAGTCATTGCATCTTCTTGCATATTGTAGGTAGGCATGGATAGTGGTGATGGTTCCACATTTGTCTTGTCATCTTTGGGTCCTTCTGTCTTAATTTTTTCCCCAGAAGGTAAAATCTAGATTGCGTTTAATTTCTCCCTAGTGGCAAGAAAGATAAATTTTGATGTATGGTCTTATTTTTAGTTTATCTTGCAGTTGTTTTTTTACTAACATTTATGAGTATTTTATTATTATTATTATTATTAAAGATTTTATCTATTTATTCGTGAGAGGCACACAGAGAGAGAGAGAGGGAGAGGGAGAGGCAGAGACACAGGCAGGGGGAGAAGCAGACTTCACGCAGGGAGCCCGACATGGGACTGGATCCCGGGTCTCCAGGATCACGCCCTGGACCGAAGGCGGCGCTAAACCGCTGAGCCACCCGGGCTGCCCATTTGAGTATTTTAATGCAAATTGGGAGGAGTTGTACAAGATGCTTTCATTTTGCTGTACTTTCTAACTCAGAAAGTTCCTGCAAGATCCTTTTGGAGGTAGATAGTTGGTTTCCAATTCTCAGGAGATGTGGTTTTTCATACTCTGAACAAAGTATCTTTGAGAACATGGAGAAACCTGGTGGTAGGACTGGCAGGAGGAAGTGTGGGTCTCTTTGCTGGCATTTAGAAAAGATAAGAATGGAGCCCTAAAGTAGTTTTTGGTTAAAAAGGATTTGGGTGTATATATGACAGGATTAACTTGATGTTTAGCTCAGTAGGGTTGTTTTTTGTGTCCCACCCCCCCCAAACCTTCATAGAGTAGTTTGGGAGCTGTGATTTATAAATGCTCATCCCTTCCTTCCTTTCTTTGTCTCTCCATCCCTCTCAGTTTCTCAGTTGCCTAAACTACACCAAGACTGCCAATTTTCTCCTTTGAAAATGGTCCTAGGTCTTACTTCTGTGTAGTGTTTTTAAGACGGTAGTACCTGAAAGTGAAGAGGCTTCAGTGCTGTGCCATTCTAGCTGTGTGACTTTGGGCAGGTTATTTGTATATATACTGGAGTTATTCATACATGGATAAAATGAGAGCTTGGACTAGGTGAACCCTAGGAATCCTTCCAAGAATAACGTTTTATTTTTCCTAGTTCCACAATCACCAGGAATCTGAGAACAATTACAGGGATGAGGAGAGAAAACCTCTGTAGTTAGTATTACAGGAAAATCTCTTCATTTTTCAAAACCACACTCTTTGTCATGTTCTTCACTAGCATCTTGTCTGTGTGACAGATAGAGTGAAATTGGATATGGAAGCCAGCTCTCTGCTATCTTGAGTGAGACAGTAGAGAACCTTTCTCTGTAAGTCCATGTAGTGAGGTTTTCTTTCAGAACTGGACTCTTGTGAATTGTCACAGTCACCAGTGTGTTCCTGGTAGGAGGGAGTGCTCTGGACTCTAGGACAGTTCCAGAGGAAGGAGGACTATGTATTGATAATAGTTCCTGCTCAGTCACCACAGAAATGTCCTTACTCTGTTGGTTTCTTTTACATTGCACTTGGATTATGTTTATTTGGCTACCAGCTGCATTTAGGTTTTTGGTAACTGACTTCAGTAGTTTGTCCTTGGAAAGCTTACTTTGGAGAATTTGAGAAAAAGTTAAATCCTTTATTTCTTTTAGGTTTTATTTATTTATTGGAGAGAGAGTGCACGAACAGGGGAGGGGCAGAAGGAGAGGGATAAACAGACTTCCCGCTGAGCAGGAAGCCTGATGTGGGCTCCATCCCAGGACCTTGGGATCATGACCTGAGCCAAAGGCAGGTGCTTAACTGACTTGAGTTAGTTAAGTGCCTGGGTGCAGGCACCCAAGAAAAAGATAAATTCTTACCTAGTCAGCCTTTCAGAGACTAATTCTGGAAATCTGCACTTTAAATGCATTATGCACTATAATTACTTTTGATGTAATATGGTTCTAGATTAGCTAAAGCCTACACTCTTTTTAAAGAATTATTTATTTTAGAGAGAGAGTGTACACACACACAAGACCGAGAAAGAGCAAGAGAGCAAGCTCGTGCAAGTAGTAGGAAGGGCAGAGGGGAAGGGAGAGGAAGAGGAAAGAATCCCAAGCAGACTCCATGCTGAGGGAAGAGCTAAATGTGGGGCTCAGTTTCATGACCCATGAGATCATGAGCTGAGCCAAAACCAAGAGTCAGACGTTTAACTGACTGAGCCACCCAGGTGCCCCTAAAGTCTCTACTTTTGCAAATGTCTCTTTTCATACCTAATTTTTCTCCTGTGTTTTATTCATAACACATCTTTTTACCAGAGATTGAGCGGACTTGCAATGATTAGGTGCCCTCTGCTGGTTTGGGGATAGGGTTTTGGAGCACAGGATTAAAGCTGTACTTCCAGCTAATTAGGTGTTCTCTGAATTGAGCTGTTTTGATTAGGAGAGGAGTGTGGTGGGCTCCTTTGGCTATTTTCTAAAACAAAATGATTTTTTTTTAAAGATTTTATTTATTTATTCATGAGAGAAACAGAGAGGTGGAGACCTAGGCAGAGGGAGGTGTAGGCTCCCTCTGGGAAGCTGGATGTGAGACTTGATCCCAGGACCCTGAAAGTAGATGCTCAACCACTGAGCCACCCAGGGATCCCAAAGCAAAATGATTTAACATGTTTTCATTCCCTTGTCACTTAACAGTTTTGATTCAGTCATGAAAACTGAAGTATTTATACTTCTGAAGATTCTCTAGGATTTCTTAAGACAGACATGTCTGGACAGCTGTTTTTATGTTTTTGTTTATTTGTTTGTTTTTTAAGATTTTATTTATTCATGAGAGATACAGAGAGAGAGAGAGAGAGAGAGGCAGAGACACAGGCAGAGGGAGAAGCAGGGTCCATGCAGGGAGCCCAACACAGACTTGATCCTGGGTCTCTAGGATCATGCCCTGGGCTGAAGGCGGCGCTAAATCGCTGAGCCACCGTGGCTGCCCAGGACAGCTGTTTTTAAAGCTGAGGATCGCTAGCACTAGAAGATAGCTCTTTGCAGCCAGCAGGCATTTTGGCTCTCTAGAGCTTTCATGGATTTATTTCAACTCATATCTAACTTATCTTCAACAATAAATGTTGCAATCTACACTGTACACTATTAGTCTATAGAAAAGGATAGCTGTTACTAACATGTAGAATGCTATTGGAACAAAGTTGCATGTTTATTACTACATGGTTTACATAGAAAAATTTTTGAATTTTTGAGCAGGTAATATATACACAGTCTATAATTCAGAGGCAGATACACATCTGGAAGTGACCACAGACATGACCACTGTTAGCATTTTCCATGAATCCTTCACTTATGATGTTACTGGATTTCATATTTTGAGCGGTACTATGTCATCAGACAGCACACCAGTTCTATAGAGATTAGGAATATGATATAGTCTCTCTTATTTATATTACTGGTCACAGTTTCCCTGTTTAACTATAGGGAAGTTCTTCACAATTGTCTTTGTCCCATCTTCACAGTTGACAATTATCATAACATTGACTGCAATAACTGGTGTATACATTTATGCTTCAACTGATGGTTAGAATCCAACAAATAAAACGCAAAAGGAGATTTTATTCCAGACTCAAGAATGCTTCTCTATACTTGAAAGTGAATATTCAGATACCCAAAATAAAATAGATATATCCAAGTCCCAGTTGAAGGGACAGCTTCTGGCAATCAGAACTGAGGAATTTGGAAGCTGTGGAGTAGCCATAAAGAAAAGAAAGCCGGGCTGCCAAAGGAGGGAGAAGAACAAAGCGGATGTCAGAAGCAGAAAAGAGGGCAAATGGCCCCCTTGGATTTTGCTTCTTCTTTAAGTCCTAGTTTTGTCAACATTTCTGCTTTACCTTGAGTAAATTCCCCTTTTGTGTTGAAGCTACTGGTTTGCCTGGTTAGCCTTAGTGAAATTGTTAAAATGATTCTCTACAGTGGTGATTCGCAGAATCATGTGGTCAGGCCTTCCCTAGCCAGAGGCTGTCAACGGAACACTGCACCTGTGGGATTCCCAGAGAGAGCAGGGGGGTGATGTGTTACTCCTGTGGTCTCCCTTAACCCTCACCATCTCCGAGGAGATGGGGCCGCACCTTTTCATATCTGAGAAGAGCTTTAGGCTCAACCTGCTCAAATGCTTATATACCTCTGAAGTAGCAGAGCCCTCATTCCAGTTCTAATGTGAATGACACGAGGCTGTGCAGTTTTGATGGCGAGGCCTGCTTTTACAGTGTGCTTTCCCCGTAGAGCCCATCTTGCTCGTTTGACTCATTTTTGTGGCAAAGTATGTGAATTTCCAGCAAGCTGGATTTCATGGTTCTGCAAGTATACCTAGATCCAGGGCCCTAAAGTAGGGGTCAGTAGCTCTCTAGTCCGTTGATGGAGGACAGTTTCCCTGACCTCCATAGCCTTTGTCTGATACTTGGATTTATTTTCATCATCACTAGAAATGTGGATCTGAGAGAATACTTGTCTGAAGAAGTACAAGCAGTGCACAAGAATACTACCTATGACCTCATTGCCAACATTGTACACGACGGCAAGCCCTCGGAGGGCTCCTACCGGATCCATGTGCTTCATCACGTGAGTGGCAAAAATGGTGGCTGTTCCTTTGGCATTTCAGTGGCCTGCTCTCTTCACCTCGCCCTGTCTTGGCCTTGGCGTTCTGCAACTAATAGAGCTATCAGTGGTTAGTTCCAGGCAGTGGGTCTCAGTTGTGGCTGCATGTTGGACTCACCTGGGGAGATTTTAAAATCCTGATTGATGCCTGGGACACTCAAAGCCAGTTATATTAGAACAAATTGTTTTTTCACCTGGAATAGAGGCCAGGGCTGTTGCTAAATATGCTGTAGTGCACAGGAAGCCCCCATAACAAAGAATTATCTGGCTCGAAATGTCAGAGTTAAGAGACTGTATTAGATTATGTGGAGGTGGGAACCAGGCGTCATGGTGTTAAAATTATCCAGGAGATTCCATTGTGCAGCCAAGGTTGAGCACCACTATCCTAGACTAGAGCCTTACCCTCTGAAGTGGAATCCTTGAACTAGTAGCACTGACATCATATGAGAACTTGCTAGAAATGCAGAATCTTAGGCCTCATGCAAACCTACGGAGTCAGAATCTGCATTTTGACAAGACTCTCTGGTATGTAATTACAGTCTATGAAGCACTGGTCTAAAGGTTCCTTTCAGCTAAAAAACTGTTTTGAATTTGTCTCAAGCTAAAAATGGATGAAACATGTACTTAAGATATGTTTGGTATCACATGGATGGTTAGCATAGATTGTTTTAGTTTGATTAGACTTCTGGGAATAGGGGGAAAATAAGTAGCTCTGTTTATCAAAGATTTTACTGTGTGCTAGAAAGTATGAGTGTTTAATAATGTATTATTTGAGAGGGAGAGGAGTGGAGAGAGAATCTTAAACAGGCTGTGTGCTAAGTGCAGAGCCCCATATAGGGCTGGATTGTGTCTGTATTGCATAGCCCTGAGAACATGAACTGAGTGGAAACCAAGAGTCGGATAATTAACTGACTCTGACACCCAGGGGCCCCTGACTTATATCTTTAACACAACCTCTAAGACAGGCATTAATACCGTTTTTTTTTTTTTCCCTTTTTTTAAAAATTGAGAGCGGGAGAGAAAACCATAAGTCAGGGGAGGGATGGAAGGAGAGGGAGAAAGAATCTCGAGCAGATTCCCTGCAGAGGGAGCCTGATGCAGGACCTAATCTCAGGACGAGATCATGACCTGAGCCAAATCAAGAGTTGGACATTGAACTGATTGAGCCACCCAGGGGCCCTAGTACCCTTTTTTTTTTTCTTTTTTTAAATCAACCAAGGAAACCTAGCTTCAGAGTTTGAGTAATTTACCTGAAGTTGGTAGATTTGGGATTTGAACCCTGATACTTATTTTTTTTTCTTTAAGATTTATTTATTTATTTTATAGAGAGAGAAAGAGGGAGAGTGCATGTGTGAGCAGGAGTAGGGCAGAGGGAGGAGAGAGAGAATCCTCAAGCAGGCTCCCTGATGAGTGTGGAGCCTAATATGGGGCTTGATCCCAGGACCCTGAGATCATGACCTGAGCCAAAATCGAGAGTTGGCCACTTCACTGATTGAGCCACCCAGGCGCCCTTGGTTTCACCAGGTTCTTAACCAGTCCTCAATACAGGAATAGGGGCTTGATTATGTGATCCTGAGCATTTCTTATGTTTCCTATATTCTGAACGATTGGACTATCTGGAATATCTATAGTCTGTAGTATCTGTCTTTGGCATTTCTTTGAAGTTTGGATGGATGAGGCAGGTGAGCTTCCAGCAGTGCCCCTGCCATAATCCAGAAGCCTCTTTTTCCCCCTTATGTATGGCATCATGAAGTAAGGTAGGTTTGCTGTATTTGCAGCACTGATTTTATGGACCAAAGGAAACAGGTTAGTATTTTGAACTGTGTCCATGAAGGACACTTTTCTTGGCTCTTGCTGTGTTCTCTGGGATGGGGTGTGGGGATATCTACTTTTAGGCTTTCCCAGTAGTTAACACTGCACCTGCTCAGTGTGTGTAGTCTGTCTTTTTTTTTTTAAGATTTCATTTATCTATTCATGAGAGACACAGAGAGAGGTAGAGACATAGGCAGAGGGAGAAAGAAGCAGGCTCCTCACAGGGAGCCTGATGTGGGACTCAATCCCGGGACCCCAGGATCACGCCTGGAGCCGAAGGCAGATGCAGGCATCCCTAGTCTGTCATTTTTGAACAGCAAGGAGTTATCTTAGATGAGGAGTAGAGGGCTACCTCTTACCTAAATTCTTAAAAGTGTTGGGAGACTCCATTGTACTTCAAGGAATCCTCGGCAGGGGTTGAGTTTGCCAAGGTCAGCACTCCAAAAGCTCTTTAAATTGAATGATGCCAAGCAGAAGTCATGCACCCTCTTAATTATGATTCTTGCTGAGAAATGGTCTAGTGGCTATTCTGATTTTTCTCACTTTTTTTCTGTAGTCCTTTCCTTCTGTACCTTTTGGTTTTAGGGAGGAGACTAACCTATCCCTTAATACTTTTTGCAGGGGACGGGCAAATGGTATGAATTACAAGACTTGCAGGTGACTGACATCCTTCCCCAGATGATCACGCTCTCGGAGGCTTATATTCAGGTGCGTTGGCCACGAACTTGCTGTGTGCTGAACAGATAGGGTGTGGGGCCAGTGATAAGAATGATGTGAGTGAAGGCAAGAAGTGATATTGAGTTAAAGCCTTGGTTAGGCTGGGTACCTGTTGGGATGCACTGAGGAGTGCATCTGGCAAGAGGAGGCCAGATTATATAGTCCTGTGAACCTAGGAGTGATTGTTAGAAAAGAGAAGGGCAGGGAAGCGTGGAAGATTTGTGGATGAGCGAAGAGGTTATGTGTGTGGCCAGGTTAGTTTTGCAGAGAAGTATGTGGTCTGGTTTCAAGGAGGAAGAGTCTAGGCTTATCAGGACCCTAGCTAAAAGTCGACTCTGAAGCTTTCCCCAGCATCCCAGGCCAAGTTAGCACTCTTTATGACCCTACAGCATTTTCTGCATGTCTTTACCAGAGTACCAATCTTATTATTTTAACATCTTCTCTATCGAGAGCTCATGGAACAGAGTATCTCTACTTTTTATAACTGTCTGGTACCTGGCAAAGAAGGAAGACAGAGACTAAGAAAAAGCTATAGCTTTGTTTTGTCTTGTCATGCAATAAGTTTGTTTACAAACATTCTGAATATGTTGAATTTAAGTTTGATCCATTTTTCAAAGAGACTGCACCTCTTAAAAATGTTGTTTTACATCTGCTTAATGGATTAAATAAAATCTGCTTTTTTTTTTTTTTAAAGATTTTATTTTTATTTATTCATGAGAGACACAGAGAGAGGGAGTCAGAGACAAAGGCAGAGGGAGAAGCAGGCTCCATGCAGGGAGCTCGATGTGGTACTCGATCCCGGGATCATGCCCTGAGCCAGAGGCAGACACTTAGCTGCTGAGCCACCAGGCATCCCGAGATAGCTTTTTCTTTAGTAACTTTGTCTATGAGAATAAGCTTAACTATGAGTTCTTTTTTAGAAAGTGAGTTTGGCATGGAAAGTAAAGAGAAGGGGGATGGGTAGAAAAATAAAAAGCAAAAGGGAATTTTCTGAAAGATGATTGAGTTAGTTTCGGAGGACATGCAAATATGGATGTGGAGTGACAGGCTGTCCCTCGCCTAGGGTGGAAGAGGTATTTGATAAATGTGTGTGGATTGAATGCCAGCTCCTACCTGCCTGTTGTATTCATTTCTTACAGATTTGGAAGAGGCGAGATAATGATGAAACCAACCAGCAGGGGGCTTGAAGGAAAAGTTTAGGGCTTTGCTCCCAGTGGCTTTGGCTGAAGATGTAATACCAAGGCTGTAGCTGAACATAGGCTGATTGGCATATTCCTGGAGCCAGCCTGTTTTGTGGATTTGGGTTCACGCCAGGACATCAGAGGGGCCCACCTGCCTGGGATGGGTCTGCACTGTCCCCCAGCTGTTCTTTGATCAGTTGATTATAGACTGATGCCCCCTTCTCCTTCGTATCTAGCTCCCCTCTAGTTTTAGCAGGCCAGAACTCTTTTACATATGTGTGTAATTTTTTTCTGGGCATCTGGAAATATCCAAAGGACAAGATAATGTCTTTGCACATCACAGCCTCAGAATTCTAGGAATCCACTAATACTCTTCTGCCATCATAGATATTTTTTGGTGTGGCTCTCTTCATTTCCTGCTGTGTTTTTTGGAATGGATTAAATGTTTTCCTGTTTTTAAACCAGCCTCTTGTTTTATGTCCTTCCCTTAGGCTGTTGTCAGCATGTGGGTGGTGTGTCATTTGGGATGTATTTTGTCTCTATTGGTAACAAAATATCTGACTAAAGCAATACATTCCTGTGCTTAACTAGAAGTGTGAAGATGGGCTATTTCAGCCTTAGGTGCAGGACTCTGTGAGGGAAAAGGGAGGGAAGATAAGCAGGAGGGACATCTGACTGCAGCACAGTTCTGAGAAAGTCTCAGCCCGGCCAGCAGGGAGCCCAGAACAAAGGTTGCCAGTCAGAAGAGTCAAGCAGAAATGGCTTTCTTCAAGTTCAGTTCTTGATATTAAGACCAGCCTGGAGAAAGTATGACCTCAGCCCAAGCACTGTGGCAGAGCTGAAAATGTGAGAGATCTGGATACAGTGGCTGGTGGCAGCCAGTCAACCACAGCAAGTTCTCCTAAAGGTAGGAGCCCTGCATGTCTGTGGCTGCCACCCTTACTTCTGGGAGTCAGTGCTGTCCCTGGGACATCCCTATTTTCCTTTACCTCTTTGACAGCTACAGTATGTCCTTTGCTGACCCCTCTTCCTCTCCAACTGGTGAAGCTTGAGATTCCTCAGGACTGCTAGGCCCTCTCCTCAGTGTGCTTCCTCCTTGGGCCATTTAAAATATGTCCATGGCTTCACCTGCCCCTTAAGAGAGATGGCTTCTGTCTGGATCCTAGACTTCTCTACGTTCTTGAACTTTAGAGCCAGCTGCCTATTTAATATATTTTGGGTGTCTTAAAGTCAGTTCAAACCCAACATTGTTCAAAACTGAGCTTGGGAATTTTCTTCTCAAACTTGGCCCTTTTCCAGTGGTTTCTATAGAGGTGTAGGGTTCCACCTTCATCCTGTTAATAATTTGGAAATTTATGCCAGAATCCTTCTTTCCCCACCCCCACTTCCCTCATCTAATCTATTACCAAGTCCTGTCAATTTCACATTTTAAGTGTCTCTTGAATCTCCATACTTTAATCCCCTCCCATTGTCTAGGCTAAACTAGTGCCAGCCTAGTCCAGGTCCAGTTAAAAGAGAGAAACCATACAGTAATTTGATCAGGGAAAACTTAATTTCAAGAATTATTAACTATAACAGGATTGGAGTCACAAGGGATTGACTGGTATAAAAGAACTCGAAAGAATTGTAGGAACAGCAGGTGTAAGGAACAGCTATCACCCCTAGGGCTGAGATGGTGTCTAAGGCTGAGATCCAGACCTTGCTGAAAGTCTGACCCCTGAAACCCGTCCGTGGTCTCTAATGTGTCAGGAAACGCTGTTTATGGGGAGTCATCTTTGCTTCCAAACTGCCTGGGGAGGAGAGGAGCACCCAGAGCATCTGTAAGCTCTGCAGGAACCAGGCACCAGGGAATCTGTGAGGCATGTAGGAGCCTGGTGCCAGAGAAAGCTGCACGTTTCCTTCAAGTGAGCACAGGGAACTGGATGCGGAGAAGCCCTGTCTTCCTGCAGTGTGTCTCCAGCACCCTCTTTGGACAAAGCCTCCATGGCAGCTGGCAAGGAAAAATCTAAAGGACCCAAATCCATTTTCCCAGAGCAGGTGGAAAGGATAATTTGTGGAGTTGTGAGGCACAGACCATCCCTTGATGACTCAGCTTCCATAGACAGTCTTCTGCACATTTGAATTCTGTACAACAGCAACAAAGAAAATAGCTCTGTATTTCTGCCTAACAAGAAGCTTGCTACCCTTCTTCTTACAAGTGAACACTTTTTCAACCTTTCCCAAAATGACATGTCCCAAGAGTCCTGTATCCACTGATGGCTGTGTCGATTACTTCTCAAATCCACTTAGTCCCACTGAATATTCTATCATCTAAAGACTAAGTTGTAAAGTGAACTTCCAACGAGTTCTATATAAAGTGAAAGTAGGAAGAAGAGAGAAAAAATGCTTAACATACACAAATTATCATTATATATAATAAGCAAGTAGAGAATACAATCCATATTTCTGTGATAGGGCAAAAGGCTGCAACTGATGTCTGTGCTTCTTTTGCTGTCCCTTCTGGGTTTAGTCTGCCCTTAGCTAGAGCTTTAGCTAGTTGCGGTTCTATACCTGGTAGGGTAACCCAAATCTTCAGTCCCTAAAGACCTAACTCCTTAATCCTACTCCCCACCCTCCTTGTGTTGCTATAGTTTTCCATTAACCTTTACTACTGGATATAGTCCATCTTGCCTGCATTTATTTATAACAGTGACCCAATTTCAATGCTGATAATCAGCATTACTCTGTCAAGTAGATGACACTCCATACCCTACTACCCCCCCCCACTGCCCTCTGTTGATTTAGCAGCATAAGGAGCCCAAAATGTCCATGTGATAGTCTAATTGAGTGGAACCATGTTTCCTGGGTGGAAACCTGCACCCTTGGGAACTAAGACCTCTAAACGAGCAAAGGTTAAGGTTGCTAGAACAGAAGTCAAAATTCTGCAAAGTTACTAAGTGTAATAAAAGTCACATCAATTTCCACTTGTTTTTTTAGACCCATGTATTGTAATAGGAGAGAAAGCACATATAATGTTCTCCGATTCAGAGCATACTGTAGCCTATAAAATGAGCACCAACTGGTACTGTAACTGAGTTTTCAGTAAGCCTTTCTACCTTGTAGTGAGACTAGCTCCTTCCAGGTGATGGTGTATGTGTTAAGACCAGTGAAATCTATGAGCATGAGCTCATTGCTGCACTTCCTTTGCTCTGAAAAGTGTTGCCTCACCAGATGCAATGCGGCATGGAATGCCATGATAGTTGATAAGGCATTCTGAGAATCCATGGTTGGTGGTGGTGCTAGAAACATGGGTAGGGAAGGCAAATGCATATCCAGAATGTGTTTCTATTCCTCTGAGGACAGATCTCTGCCTCCATAATAGAAGATATAATCAGCCTGCACCAGGTAGCTGGCTGCTGCCCACAAGGAGTAGTGGAGACTAACTGTTAATTCCTGCTGTCAGTAAATTAGATATTTGGCAGAAGTTCTACTCAGATCAAGATGGCAAAGCCTGGGTTGTGGAGCCCATGCATAGCCTCGATTGCTGCCACCATGGCTCATGAGCTCATTGAGTAAGCACTGGAGAAAGAGGTTGCTGGCTGACATTCCATAGGTCACGTCACTTGTGTAAACCTTATTAAGAGTCTCCTCTGCAGCAGATGACTTTTGGGGGGCATTCATATGCAAAATAATTATTTTCATAGTATATAAAAATAATTATTTTCATAGTGTATATATTTTATTTCTATGATATATGTAGTATATATGTAGGATATAGTGTATATTATATACATTTATATTTATTCTCCTATTCCATTCCATTCCATTCCATTCCATTCCATTCCATTCCATTCCATTCCATTCCATTCCATTCCAGAGTTTATCCTTATATCTCGTGCCCAGATTTCCTTTTCACTAGTTTTACAATCCTGTTCATTCTGAATCCCTGACCATCCAGCCAAACCATTGGCAACTACCCATGAATTAGTTGAAATCTGTACTTTTGGCCATCTCACACTCCAAATACAGTAAACAACCCAATAGACTGTTTGCAGTTAGGCCCACTAGAGAATTTTCCTTTTCTACTGTCTTCAGTGTCACTCTGAGTGAGGATAAAGTGCTACAGCTGTCCACTTGCAGGGTGTACCTGCATTTTATGCAAATCTATCTATAACTCAGCCTGAGTTTTGTCTTCTTGGTCAACTGGTCTGAAGGAACTCCCTAGGAAGCAACACAACTGGAGTTGGTGTCAAGGAATGTGAGCCACCTGCTCATGTAACTTATTGTGCCTTTTAGACCTGAGATTGGCCCAATACACTACCCATTTAATGATAGCTTGCAGCTGCACATGGCCAACTTTATGGCTAGTTGAGTCAGACAATAGCAGGTTCATGAGTGGAGATTCAGTTTGCATAGTCACCGGATAGCTTACTTTTATTTTATTTTTTTATTTATTTTTTTTTTTTTTATAAATTAATTTTTATTGGTGTTCAATTTACCAACATACAGAATAACACCCAGTGCTCCTCCCGTCAAGTGTCCCCCTCCGTGCCCGTCACCCATTCACCCCCACCCCCCGCCCTCCTCCCCTTCCACCACCCCTAGTTCATTTCCCAGAGTTAGAAGTCTTTATGTTCTGTGTCCCTTTCTGATATCTCCCACACATTTCTTCTCCCTTCCCTTATATTCCCCTTCACTATTATTCATATTCCCCAAATAAGTGAGAACATACACTGTTTGTCCTTCTCCGATTGACTTACTTCACTCAGCATAATACCCTCCAGTTCCATCCACGTTGAAGCAAATGGTGGGTATTTGTTGTTTCTAATGGCTGAGTAATATTCCATTGTATACATAAACCACATCTTCTTTATCCATTCATCTTTCGATGGGCACCGAGGCTCCTTCCACAGTTTGGCTATTGTGGACATGGCTGCTAGAAACATCGGGGTGCAGGTGCCCCGGCGTTTCATTGCATCTGAATCTTCGGGGTAAATCCCTAACAGTGCAATTGCTGGGTCGTAGGGCAGGTCTATTTTTAATTCTTTGAGGAACCTCCACACAGTTTTCCAGAGTGGCTGCACCAGTTCACATTCCCACCAACAGTGTAAGAGGGTTCCCTTTTCTCCGCATCCTCTCCAACATTTGTTGTTTCCTGCCTTGTTAATTTTCCCCATTCTCACTGGTGTGAGGTGGTATCTCATTGTGGTTTTGATTTGTATTTCCCTGATGGCAAGTGATGCAGAGCATTTTCTCATGTGCATGTTGGCCATGTCTATGTCTTCCTCTGTGAGATTTCTCTTCATGTCTTTTGCCCATTTCATGATTGGATTGTTTGTTTCTTTGGTGTTGAGTTTAATAAGTTCTTTATAGATTTTGGAAACTAGCCCTTTATCTGATATGTTATTTGCAAATATCTTCTCCCATTCTGTAGGTTGTCTTTGAGTTTTGTTGACTGTATCCTTTGCTGTGCAAAAGCTTC